CTAGTAGTGGAGCTGTGTGTGGCTCAAGTGCTAGAACTAAAAAAGCTAAGGGAGAGTGCCCAGGCCCCGAGTTCAAGCCCCAGTATCAGCACAAAAACCAAAACCAAACAAAAATTCCCTGCCATGGGGGATTGCTGGAGGGAGGTGGGATACTGAAGATCCCAGCACCCACCGAAGGCCTTGCACGTGCTAGCCAAGTGCTCTACCACTTGGTGGCAGCCCCAGCCCTGTTTGTCTCTCAGTATTCCCTCCCTTCCTCCCTCCCTCCCTGCCTGCCTTCCTTTCTTTTTCTTTTTGGTCAGTTGTGGGGCTTGAACTCTGGACTTGGCTGTCCCTGTGCTTTTCAGCTCAAGGTGAGCACTCTACCACTTGAGCCATAGCGCCACTTCCAGTTTTCTAGTGGTTTATTGGAGATAAGCGTCTCAAGGACTTTCTTCCTGGGGCTGGCTTTGAACCATGATCCTCAGATCTCAGCCTCCTGAGTAGCTAGGATGACAGGCATGAGCCACCGGTGCCCAGCTTTCCCTTATTCTCTGGTGCTACGAGATCTTCATTTCTCCAAGGAGCCCTGGCTTCTTAACTGAAAATGGTGCTGGGTACTGAGATCTGGTGGCAGTAGCAGGAGCTATGCCTCAGGCATGCCACTGGCCCCACTTCTAAATGGGAGCTAAGGCTCAGAGAGGTTAAGCAGCTCATCCAGGTCAGTAAGCAGCAAAGCAGGGAAGGCAGGCCAGGGAGTCCCCTAAGCCAATCTCCCGGCCACATGCTGCCCTCTCCCCTGAGCGAGCAGAACTCCCTGGCAGAGTGCGCGGATGAGTGACACGACACCCACCACACGGTACCGTACGAGGTGCTTTCCACGGACAGCCCAGCTCATGACAGCCCCTGAGACACGGAAGTCGCCAACATACAAGGGGCACCATCTGCAACAGGAGTGAGGGTGAAACGGAACACATTCTGGTTGTGGGAGGACAAATGAACAAAACTCTTGAATAACGTCACGGTGGTGCTCAGCTCCCATGCAGTCAGCCCGTAGCAGCCAGGCTCCCGAGCGAGCCTCCCCCACACCGGTGGCACCTCAGCCCGTCAACAATGAGATCACTACCTAACCAAAGCATGGAGAACAACCAACTCTTAACACTTTGGAGTTGCATCACTAGAATGGCTAAAATTAAAGACAGGCAATACCAAGTGTTAGCAAAGATGTGCAGTAAATGCTAGGTCATACACTAACAAGAAACAGCCGGAACAGTAACGCTAACACCTTCACAATAACAGTGAAACAATCTAAGAACAAAATAGAAGATATGCTAGCCTTGACAGAAAAAAATCAAGGGTGAGCTCCAGGCCCTGAATTCAAGCCCGAGAACCAGCACACACACCCAAGAAGAAACAGCTTAGCAGTTTCTTCTAAAGTTAAATATATAAAACACACATAAACCAGCTATTCTCCTCTTAGGAATTTGTCTCAGAGTCAGGAAAATAGTCTCACACAGACTGGTACATAAAGGTTCAAAGCAACTTTCTTAACCAGAATCCCTAACAGGGAAACAAGCCAAGTGCTCAGAGTAGGGAATGGATAAATGCACAAAGATACACATACAATGGGACCCTGCTCAGAAAGCTACTGGCTTAGACTACAAGTTATCATTTTTTCAAAGAAGCCAGATTCAAAAGACTATGTATCTTTTCCTCCCACCCCAGGTACCGGGGTTTGAATGCAGTTTTTGCTTGTTCAGCCGGATTTTACCACTTAAGCCACATCCCCAGCCCTAAATTTTGCTGTTTTTTTTTTTTAATTTTTAATTTTTGGGTCCGGTTGTGGGGCCTGAACTCTGGGCCTGGGCGCTGTCCCTCAGCTCTTCAGCTCAAGGCTAGCACTCTACCATGAGCCACAGTGCCACTTCCGGCTTTTTTCTTTTTGTTTATGTGGTGCTGAGGAATTGAACCCAGGGCCTCAGGCATGCAAGGCATGCGCTCTACCACTGAGCCACCTTCCCTTGCTGGTTATTTTGAAGATAAGGTCTTGTGGACTTATCTGCCTAGGCTGGCTTTGAACTGTGGTCCTCTGGATCTCAGCCTCCTCATGGCTACGATTACAGGTGCACCGCAACCAGAGCCCTGCAACCAGGGCACATACTTATATATATTCATGCCTTACATTTAATTGTTAGTAAATCCTAGAAAAGGCAACATTTTAGCAGCAAAAAGCATATTAATTATCCCTGAGCCAGAGTGAAGGAGGGCACAGAGAAAAGTGGAAGCAATAGGAGAGGCCGCATCTTAACTGTGGAGGTATAGGCATGGCACTTCTGTCTACAGTGGCCAAAAGTCAGCAAACTACACTTCAAACAGGTGTTTTTAGCCAGGCACTGGTGGCTTACAGCTATAATCCTAGCTACACAGGAGGCTGAGATCTGAGGATCATGGTTCAAGGCCAGCCCAGGCAGGAAAGTCTGTGAGACTCTTATCTCCAATTAACCACCAGAAAACCAGAAGTGTCACTGTGGTTCAAGTGGTAAAGCACTAGACTTGAGGAGAAGAGCTCAGGGACAGGGTCCAGGCCCAGAGTTCAAGACCCACAACCAACCCCCCCCCCCCCCCCCCCCCCCCCGCCTGCAAAAGAAAGGTCAGGGTGGGGCTGGGAATGTGGCTTAGTGATAGCGTACTTGCCCAGCATGCATGAAGCCCTGGGTTTGATTCTGCAATACTACAGAAAAACCAGAAATGGTGCTATGTTGCTAGTGGTAAGAGTGCTAGCCTCAGTTCAAGCCCCCAGGACTGGGAAAAAAAAAAAAAAGTCAGGCCAGGTGCCAGTGGCTCATGCCTATAATTCTAGCTAATCAGGAGGCTGAGAATTGAGGAAAGTTTGTGAGATTCATCTCCAATTAAGGACCAAAAAAACTGGAAATGAGGCTGTGGCTCAAATGACAGAGTGCCAGTCTTGAGCAGAAAAAGCTTTCTTGTCCTGGCTGGCTTTAACAGAGATCTTCAAATCTCAGCAATGTGAATAGTAAGAATTATAACCAACACCTGGCTCAATGTACTCTCGTACAATTGAAAGCTTTCAATTTAAAAACTTGGGAAGAGGGGCTGGGAAGGTGGCTCAGTGGTAGAGCGCTTGCCTTGCATGCTTGAGGCCCATGGGTTCGATTCCTCAGCACCACATAAGAAAAAAGAAAAAAGCCGAAGTAGAGCTGTGGCTCAAGTGGCAGAGCGCTAGCCTTGAGCTGAAGAGCTGAGGGAAAGCGCCCAAGCCCAGAGTTCAGGCCCCACAACCGGACCAAAAAGAAACAAAAAACTTGGGGGGCTGGGAAGGTGGCTCAGTGGTAGAGCGCTTGCCTTACATGCCAGAGGCCCTGGGTTCGATTCCTCAGCACCACATAAGAAAAAAGCCGGAGTGGCGCTGTGGCTCAAGTGGTAGAGCACTAGCCTTGAGCTGAAGAGCTGAGGGACAGCGCCCAGGCCCAGAGTTCAGGCCCCACAACCGGACCCCCAAAAAAAAAACTTGGGAAGAAAAAAAGGAATATAGTCTAAAATATATGTAAATATAAACTTTTGTAGGTTTTGTGACACAGTGATGAAAATATACACATAGAAATAAAACCAGCGAGAAAACAAAAATGTCTTGGAAGGGTGAATGAGATGACTTACATAAATATGTTATGTAATTCAGTTAGCTTAAAAAATCAGCAACAGTATGCCGATGCCTCCCCCCCCCCCAACGTGGCTCAGTGGTAGAGTGCTTGCCTCGCATGCATGAGGCCCTGGGTTCAATTCCTCAGCACCACATATGCAGAAAAAAAGCAAGAAGTGGCACTGTGGCTCTAGTGGTAGAGCGCTAGCCTTGAGCTGAAGAGCTGAGGGACAGCGCCCAGGCCCAGAGTTAAGGCCCCACGACAGACAAAAACAAACAAGCAAAACAGTACTGAGTTAGAACCTGGGTGATCGAGCGTGCTAGGCAGGTGTTCTAATGCTAAGCGGTAGCCCCCAGCAGTTATGCAATTGACTACAAACATAAATTACCACATGACAGCCAGCACACAATGCAAGCTTAACATTATAACTACATCTAACATAATTAATCTTCACAGCAAAGGTAGATGAAATTTTTCTGCACGTCTGGCTAACAAGCACAAATGACAAGATCTGTATAATTATGTTTTTTGGTTTTTGCTTTTGTAGGTCGTGGGGCTTGAACTCTGGGCCTGGGCGCTGTCCCTCGCCTCTTCAGCTCCAAGCTAGCACTACCACTGGAGCCACAGCGCCACTTCCGGTTTTCTGGTGGTTTATTGGAGATGAGAGTCTCACGGACTTTCCTGCCCGGGCTGGCTTTGAACCGCGATCTTCAGATCTCAGCCTCCTGAGTTGCTAGGATGACAGGCGTGAGCCCCCGGCGCCCGCTTAATCATGTTTTTAAAATGTAAAAGTCTAGCCATTCCAGTTGGTTGTATTTGGACTGTGATAACCCACAAGCACCTTCCTCTTAACCCCTTACATGCTCTAGGCTGACTTAACTAGAAGTAGCCGTTGTACAGACTTCCCCAAATAACGGTTTGTAACTGTTTTAATTGTTGCCTCAAAGTTCCCATCGGAACACTGCTGCGTGGTGCTCTCCGCCCAATGTCCAGGTCACCACCTGGCGTTTGTTCTAATACAGCAACAAAAAGGGCAACCTAGCACCCTAGCACCGAAACGGACCGCGGAAACCCAGCACCGCCGCGCGGGCGAGGCCGGCGCGGACCTGGGTCGCCGGACGGAGCCCGGGGCCCCGGCTCCCCGGGCGCGGCTCAGGCCCGCAGCCCGCCCCGCCCACGGCGGCGGGACGGCAACCGGCCCCGGCCCGGGCCCCGACCGGGCCCGCGAGGCCCCCCGGCCCCACCAGCCCCGGGACCCCGGCCGCTCCCCGGCCCCACCAGCCCCGGGACCCCGGCCGCTCCCCGGCCGCTCCCCGGCCCCACCAGCCCCGCGACCCCCGGCCGCTCCCCGGCCGCACTCACTCTTCATCCTGGGTGCAGACGCCGGGGACAGCCCCTCACCGACACGGAAGAGAAAAAGAGCGCAGAAAGCGCGGCACCCCGCCGTCCACTTCCCGAGGTCGGTCTGGCGCGAGGACCGCGGTGGCCCCTAGCCGGAGAGCGTTAGGATTCCGCCGCCATATTGTATCCCCGTCACCTTAGCAACCGCCAGGCCCTGAACGCCCCCAGGCCATGTCCTGCGCGTGCGCAAAGGGAAAAAAGCCCCCCCCCCCCCGCCGGTACACGCGTGCGCAGTAGGGACTGCCTCCTCAGCCTGGTTGCTAAGCAACCGATCACGCAGCTTTAAATTGAATACATTCCCCGCCCTGGCGCGTGGGCTCTTCCGAAGAGATGCTCCAGATTTGAGCTTTCACTGGTTCGTGAGCTGTGACACTAGTTGGCACCAATGAATTCCCAGCTCCTGCTACAGTCTGAGCACACAATGGAGGTGCAGTAACTTTGTAGTTTTTTTGTTTTTGTTTTTTTGGTTGGTCGTGGGGCTTGAACTCTGGGCCTGGGCGCTGTCCCTCAGCTCTTCAGCTCAAGGCGAGCGCTCTACCACTTGAGCTACAGCACCACTTCCGGTTTTCTGGTGGTTTATTGGAGATAGGACTCTCACGGTCTCTCCTGGCGGGGCTGGCTTTGAACCGCGATCCTCAGATGTCAGCCTCCTGAGTAGCTAGGATTACAGGCCTGAGCCACCAGCGCCCGGCTTGGTTTTTCTTTTTTGGAAACTAAAGAAGCAACAGTTGAGGCTGAGGACACTGGTTAGTGCTTGGCTTCCTGAGGCCTGGAGTGGAGCCTGCTGGGTGAGGACAGAGGAGGAGGAGGAGAAGAGAAAGGGCCTGCAACTTTTGGGGGTTAAGCTTTCTGACCGAGGAAGACTGTCTGTTGTTTCCCCTTGTAAGTGACAGGGAGTGGGGGAGACTTGGCTGCCCAGAGACTAGCAGATTCGGAAGCCAAGTGCTGTGGCTCACACCTGTTATCTTAGCTGCTCAGGAAGCTGAGATCTGAGGATCAAGGTTTGAAGCCAGCAGAGGCAGAAAAGTCCTTGAGACTCTCATCTCCAATAACCAGCAAAAAGCTGGAAGTAGCGCTGTGGCTCAAGTAGTAAAGTATTAGTCTTACAGTGAAAAAGCTAATGGAACATGCCCAGGCCCTGAGTTTAAACCCCAGCACCTACATGCTACACACACAGAGTTGATAATCATGGTAAGTTGAGCGTACACCTGGGCTTTGCTTTGACAGAGTTGGGGACCCAGCACACAACAAAGTCTGTGGAAGATGTCAAGGCCTGCTTTGTAGGCCAGTCCTAGGACTTGAACTGTGGACCTGGGCACTCTCCCTAAGCTTCTTTACCTCAAGGTTAGGACTCTACCACTTGAGTCACGGCACCACTTCTGGCTTTTTTTATGTGGTACTGAGTAATTGAACCCAGGGCTTCATGCATGCTAGGCAAGCGCTCCGCCACTGAGCCACATGCCCAGCCTCCCTGTGTTTCTCTAGCTGTGTGTTATGTCCGAGAGAGACTTGGCAAAAACTTTGCAATGATGTTTATGCCTTAGGAAGGATCTTTTTCCAAACAGTGGGACTCTGGAACCAACTGATTTATTATAGCAAATTAGAAGCAATGTTTGCAAAGTCCTTCTGCTTGTTATTCATTTGTATTGTCTGAAAGGTTTGACACAGAATATATTGTATGATGAAGCATTTTATTTGTATTTTTTAAAATGGGTTTTGCTTTCTTTTCTATCACAGAATTGGTTTGTAATTCCAATATTGAAAGTGTCTCACCTTCTGAAAAACTTTTCTTGGGCAGACACTGATGGATGTTTAGAACCCAGACAAAAGGTAAACATGGGGTAAAACACAAAACCTGGGGTTGAGAGGAAGAAAATGTAACACAGAAGACATGGAAAATACTTCTCAGGATGAGCATCCTGGGATAGCCATTAGTAGGGCTGGAGAGTGTACAGTCCAGATTTTAGGGCAGGAAAACAGGGAGAATGTCACCCAATTAAAAGAGGATACACAGCTGCTATAGGATCTCATGTGTTTGATTTTATTAAGAGGAATTTTAGCTAGGTACAGGTGGCTCACAACTCCAATGCTGACTACTCAGGAGGCTGAGATGTGCAGATCCATTTTCTAAGCCAGCCTAGCCAGAAAAGTTCATGAGACTCTTATCTCCAATTAACCACCAAAAACAAAAACAAAAACCCTGAATCAGAGCTGTGGCTCAAGTGGTAGACCGTTAGCCTTGAGCACAAAAGCTCAGGGACAGTGCCCAGGCCCTGAGTTCAACACCAGGACTGGCACAAAAAAGGAGAGGGAAGATTGGGCAGACACCCAAGGGGCCACGCACCGCTTCTGTGGATGCCAAAGGAGGCAGAGATTGCCAACCACGCTGGAAACAGAGACAGGTCTGGGATGCAGGAGCGCTCAGCCTCAGGAAGAACCAGGCCTGCCAGGCCTTGGGGGGGGGGAAACTTGGCCCCCACCCCAGAACTCGGGGTGCTTTCCTAAGCCACCTGAGCTTGCCTGCTTTGTTAAGGCACCTTTGGAAGCTAATAAAGAGGTCTTTATGGCCACACCAAAGGTTTCAAATGAAGAAGCAGACAGCTGTTTGTAAATCGATTTCAAAGGAAACAATATAAAACTTCCAGGTTGCTTTCTTTTTTATGGTACCGGGGCTTGAACTGCTGTCCCTCAGCTCTTCAGCTCAAGGCGAGCACTCTACCAGTTGAGCCACAGCGCCATGTCCAGCCTTTCCTGCGTATGTGGTGCTGAGGAATCGAACTCAGGGCCTCATGCACGCAAAGATCGACCACTGAGCCACCTTCCCAGCCCTGGGTCCCTCTCTGCGCACCACACCCTTCCCACCATTGAGACGAAGCGAATGACACGCAGCGAGTGCGAAAGCGCGTGCGCTCCTCCGAGAAGGAGACTTAGGCTGTGCGTGGAAGAGCTGTGCGGGCAGGGGGGAGGCTGCGGGGAAGGGCGCCCTGCCGCCCTGCCCGCGCCTCCCGGGAGCGCGCGGGCCGAGCGGGGATCGCCTGCCCCCTGGCGTCCACCTTCCGGAACCGCCTGCTCGGCCCAGCTCCCCCCCCCCCCCCCCGAGCGGGGATCGCCTGCCCCCTGGCGTCCACCTTCCGGAACCGCCTGCTCGGCCCAGCTCCCCCCCCCCCCCCCCGAGCGGGGATCGCCTGCCCCCTGGCGTCCACCTTCCGGAACCGCGCCCCCGGCCAGGGGAGGCACCTGCTCGGCCCAGCTCCCGCCCCCCCCCCTCCGCTGAGTCCCGCGAACCCGCGCGACCCTGACTCGGTGACAGCCAGGCTTCGAGGTGCTGGCGCCCCTGCGGGCGGCGGCCGCGGGCCGGCCGGGCTGCGGAGCGCACGCCACGCCGGGACACCCGGCGCCGACCGAACCCCGCGACAGCGTTGGCTGTGCCGCGGCGTGGCCCGAGGGGACGGCACCGAACTGGGCGCGGGCCTCACGCGTTCCCTCAGGGCCAGTCAGGCTCCCTTTCTGCCTTTTGTGCGTCGGTTCCGTGGTTCACGGGCGATGAACCGACCCGGCGGGCTCGGAGCCGCGATCCTCGCACCCCGGCCTCCCGGGAGGACCGCCCCGCGCCCGCGCGCCGGCCCCGCGCCGGCGGGTGTGAAGCTGGACGCTAAAACACGCATGCGCGCGCGGTCTCCGCCGTGAGGAACTGAGCGGGCTGGCGTGCGGGGGCAGCCGCCCGACCTCCGGAGCCCGCGGCCTCCGTTTCTCCCTCTCGCCCGGGGCGTTGATCGTGAACGCCGCCGCCCGGCCCTGTGAGGAGAGCAGAGCGCGGCGGGCGGCGGGCGGCGGGCGGAGCGCCGAGGGAGATCCTCATAGGCGTCCAGATGGCGCCGGGTAGCCGAGTGGCCGGTTAGCTCAGTTGGTTAGAGCGTGGTGCTAATAACGCCAAGGTCGCGGGTTCGATCCCCGTACGGGCCACGATAGCAGTTTGCTATTTTTTCCTCCCTGCGAGGGAAGGAAAACCGGGTTCCCGCCCCTGAACCCCGAGCTCCTGCAACCCTTAGAGACCATTGGGGAGAGGAGACAAGTAGACTTGGGGCTCTTCTGAGACCAGTTCAACCGAGAGACTCAGGTGCGGGACCCTGGCCGGTCCGCGGAAGGCGCCATGCGGCCGGCGGGGAGGCTGCACCCGGGGCTGGGGAGGGGGCGGCCGGGCCCGGCCGGCCTCCGGGGGCAGCGGACGTGGAAGGGGAGGGCGGGTCCGGGCCGGGGGGGGGGGGGGGAGGGAAGGGGCAGGGAGAGGGGGCCGGAGCGGCGAATGGGGAGGGCGGCGCCGGCCTCGGAGACGGTGGGCGGGGCCGAGCGGCCTAGGCGGGCGCGGTCGCCTCCTCAGTTGTTTTGGCCCGTGGGGCTCCCGTAGCCCGCCCTTTCCCCCCGTGACGCACAGTCGCGTCGCCTTCTCAGGTGATGCGGGTTCGAGTCCCCGCGGCGGCCTCCATGGCAGGCGCGGAGCCGGGGCCGGGCCCCGCGTGCGGCCGGGAGGACGGCGGCGGCCCGGCCCGGCCCGGCCCGGGCGGCAGCGCGGCCCCGTTGGCTCCCGAGCAGCTGCGGCGGGTCCTGGAGCGGGTGACGCCCTGCGCGCCGCGGGACGCGGCCCAGCGCGCCGCCCGGCAGCGGGGCCTGGGCGCCGCGCGCCCGCCGCGCCTCCTGCCGCCCCAGGTGAGGCCGGGCCCGCGGCGGGGAGGCCCGGGGCCGAGGCGCCGGCGCGGAGCCCGCCCGCCCTCGCCCCCGAGGCCCCGGCTCCCGCGCGGCCGCGGGCCCCCGGGTCGCGTCGGCGGCGTGTCGGGCGGGGAGGGCGCGGGTCCCCGCCTCCGGCCCCTCGCCTCCCGAGGCTGGCTGGGGCTCGTGGGCTCCCTGCTTGAGGGCGTCTCTCCGCGGCCGCTGGGCCGGAGTCTCGCGGGTGTGTCCGCCCGGCGCGCCCCGGCGGCCGCGCTGAGCGGTGTCCGCCCGCTGGGGCGCGCTCGGCCAGCGCCGGGAGGGGTGCGGGGTGCACGCGGGGCCGCGGGATCGCCGGGGTCACAGGACGGCCCCCCCGCGGAGGCCCCGGCCCACCGCCCACCCCGGCCCGGCGTCGCAGTCACGCTGGGAAATGGCAGAAGCACCGGTCACCTCCGAGTCGCCCGAACCAAGCGTGGACCTGTGCAGCGCGGCCCCCAGCCGGCGCCAGAGCGGCCGGGATCGCCCGAGTCTGTTTCTTTTTGAGTCTTTTAAACTGAGATTTCCGCTCTTACAGAGGTGATGTGCGGAGGGGCTGCAGTTACGAAGGTCAGGTCAAGAGCACAGTTCCTTTTGGACAGTGTCACCCTTTCCCCCGTTCTCCCCCAGTTTTTCCCGCCCGTCCCCACCCACAAGGTATCTATAGTTCATACTCAACATAGTTCCCGGTGAGTACCACGCCTGCAAAAAAAGAAGAAAGGTGGGGGGGTGAACATTCCTTTGGTGCTGGTCCTGGGGCTTGAACTCAGGGTCTGGGCACTGTCCCTGAGCTTTCTTTGCTCAAGGCTGGAGCTCTACCACTTGAGCCACAGCCCCACTTCTGGCTTTTTTAGTGCTTAATTGGAGATAAGAGTCTCATGCCCTTTCTTGCATGGGCAGCCTTTGAACTTCAATCCTTGAATCTCAGTCTCCTGTGTGGCAACGATTACAGGCATGAGCCATCCATACCCAGCCATGCTATACCTGTTTTTAAAGCCCCTACTCTGCAGGAACTCGGCTAGGCACTTAGCTCTAAGCATCCACACAGTAGTGGGTTTGCATCGGTGTTTTACAGGAGGCAAACAGCTCAGAGGTTGAGTAGTGATTGTGTTGCAGGTCCAGAAAGTTTGGCTGTACCCCACAGCCTGTCTTCACACTGCTGAATGTGGCTGCCGCTTTTTCACTTCGGTGTGTGAGATTGGGCACATGATCAGTGATGACACATTTTCCACCTGATGAAAGCAACTTAAACTAGGGAACATGAACCAGATGCTAGTGACTCACGCCTGTCATCCTAGCTACTCAGGAGGCTGAGATCTGAGGATTGGAGTTTGAAGCCAGCGTGCACAGGAAAGTGTGATGAGACTCATCTCTAACCACCAAAAAGCCAGTAGTGGAGCTGTGACTTAAGTGATAGAGCACCAGCCCCACATCCCATAAATCAGACAACATGATAGGATTGGAGTCTGTAGCTAATCTAATGGCAGTGCCATACAGTGTGCCTGCACTCACAATGGTGTATCTTGTGGCCTATTACAACAATAATCTTCCAGCCTACACTGCCATGAAGTCCTCAAAGACAAAGCAGACATACCTACCCTTGAGGAGTTTATGATCTAACAGAGTGACCTGGATCAAGAGCTAGAGGTACAACACAATAAATGGATCAGAGAAAGGGAGCTATTCTGAGTGGAGCAAAAGCCACCCATGAAAAGGCAGAGTTGGGACTAGATTTGGGAGAAGGATTTGAGTAGAAAACGTGAAGAGCAGAGGAAGCGTTCCAGGAAAGGGACAGCTGGGGCCATGGGTCACAGCGCTCTCCCTGTCCCCACCTCAAAGGAACACTGCCAGTGCCACTGAGCTCTGGGGCCCTCCTTCATGCATCCATGAAAAGCAAGCTCGTTTTTCTGTCATATGTAAAGTTCTTTCCAGCCTTCAAGGCGCCCTGACTCTTAAGGCTTCTCCTGCACTGTGGTGTCATTGTCTTTTTACCTGCCTCATCTGCTCTGCTCCCTGGAAAGCCTTGGCTCTCTTTACAGTCGTCACTGGAACTCTTGAAAGGCCAGGTCTCAGGAGATCCGCTTCAGAGGCCTGCATGGACTGAGGCAGTCTGGAGAGACACCCCAGGGTGAGGCTGGGGTGACGAATGTTGAAGAGAAGACACCAAGGGAACTTAAACTTTGCTAAGTGATAAAACACAGCCAGAGAGAGTACCACATGGTGAGCCAGTCTTTATGCCCGATTTGTAAACTCTTCCACTAGCTTTGCTGCTTGCTCATTCTGAGACTACAGGGTGTGTGCGCGCGTGTGCACCTATTATAATGAATGACACCTGGTAATGTCACAAGAGATAATGTGACTGATAGTAAAATGAAATAATGTTTTGGGGTTTGCTTTTGGTTTTACCAGTCCCAGAGCTTGAACTTTGGGCCTAAGTGCTGTCCCTGAGCTTCTTTTGCTCAAGGCTAGTGCTCTTGAGCTACAGCACCGTTTCCAACTTTTTCTGAGCAGTTTATTGGAGATAAGAGTCTCATGGACTTTCCTACTCTGGCTGCGATCTTAGAGCTCAGCTACCTGTTGCTTGTTTACATGGTACTGTGGATTGGATCTAAGGCCTTACACCTACTAGGCAGGCAATTACCACTTAAGCTATGCCTTTATCACCTTTTCCTTTCTTTCCTTCCCTTCCCTTCCTACCTTCCTTTCTTCCTTTCTCTCTCCATCCTCCGCCCTTTGTCAGTCATGGGGCTTGAACTCAGGGCCTGCATGCTGTCTTTGAGCTCTTTTGCTCAAGACTAGCTCTCTACCACTTTGAACCACAGCACCACTTCCAGTTTTCTGGTGGTTAATTGGAAATAAGAGTCTCATGGAACCTGGGTGCTGGTGGCTCACACCTATAATCCTAGCTATTCAGGAGGCTGAGATCTGAGGATCGAGGTTCAAAGCCAGCCTGAGCAGGAAAGTCTGTGAGACTCTTTTCTCCAGTTAACCCAGAAAACTGGAAGTGGTGCAGTGGCTTAAGTGGTATAGTGCTAGCCTTGAGCTGAAGAGCTGAGGGACGGTGCCCAGGCCCAGAGTTCAAGCCTTATGACCGACAGAAAAACAACAACAACAACAACAACAAAAAAAAACAACTTTCATGGACTTTTCTGCCAAGGTTACTTTGAATCATGATCCTCAGATCTTAGCCTCCTCAGTAGCTAGGATTACAGACATGAGCCACCAGTGTCCCTTTTTTCATTTTTGAAGTAGGATCTTGAATAATTTCCTGGCCAGTCTAGGCTGAGATCCACCTAGTTACATTTTCTTGAGCCTCTAGGATGCTAGGCACATGCCACCATGCCCAGCCATTGTTGCTTCCCTATTGCTGGGATAATGTGCACTGGTGTGCCCAGCCATTTGTCAAAATGGAGTCTTGTATGCGCCAGCGCGCATCAAGCTGGAGTCTCATGAGCTTTTGCTTTGCAAGAGTTGCTTAAACCTCAGTCTCCCATCTCTGCCCTAGCATCACAGGCTTTAACTACTACCCTTGACTGAAATAATAGTTTTTGAAGGCTATGCGAAGTAAATCAAGTCACTACGTCACAACTAGTTCAGGAACTGAGGACTCACTGGACATTGGCACTGTACACCTCATAAACCAAGACATCAAATTCTGTCGGCTGGCTGTTGATAATTGTGTATAGCATCCATACACACAGGAGCTTGGTTTTAGTAAAGGTTTGTGTGTGTGTCTGTCTCGAACTCAGGGCCTGGGCAGTGCTGCTCAGCTTTTTTGCTCAAGGCTGCTCCACTTCTGGCTTTTGCTGGTGAATCAGAAGTTAAGTGTCTCATGGTCTATCCTGCCCAGGCTGGCTCTACCACATCCTCAAATTAGAGGTAACCTGGGCAGACAAATCTGAGGATCTCATCAGCATCCCTGCTTTGCCTACATCTTGTCCACAGCACCCCCAAGTTGTGACCATCAAAAATATATATACCCAGGGGCTGGGTATAACTCAGGCCCTGGCTTCTTCACCCTCAGCACCAAAAAAAAGGGGAGGAGAGGGGTTCAGTCACTGTCAGAGCACCTTCCCTGTGGGCCCTCGCTTGAGAACCATCACTTCTGGTCTGGCCCACATCTGACTGGCCCACCAACAGGCCTTTGAACTCCACCCTCTACCAGTGAAGGGTCAGCAACAGTGCTACAAAGTAGAATACAAATCTTCACTCAGCCAGAGCCAGAGGTTCATCCCTGTAACCCTAGCTACCTACGAGGCTGAGAGCTTGAGCACAAAGGCTCAGGGACAGTGCCCAGGCCCTGAGTTTAAGCTACAGTACTGGTACCTACCCCCCTTCCCCCCCCCCAAAAAAAAAATTGCTGATAGCTCACACCAGTAAATCCTGGCTACTCAGAAGGCTGAGATCTGAAGATCACGGTTCAAAGACAGCCTGGGCAGGAAAGTCCAGGACAATCATCCCCAATGAACCACCAGAAAACTGGAAATGGTGCTGTGGCTCAAAGTGGTAGAGCACAAGCCTTGAGCAAAAAGAGGTCAGGGACAGTACCTAGGCCCTGAGTTCAAGCCCCACAACTGAAAAAAAGAAAAAATTCAACTGGGTGTCAGTGGCTCATAATTATAATCCTAGCTACTCAGGGGACAGATCTGATGGTGGCAGTTCAAAGCCAGCCTGGTTAGGAAAGTTCATGAGACTCATCTCTAATTAGCCAACAAAAAGCTGGGAGTGGAGCTGGGCTCAAGTAGTAAAGTGCTAGCCTTGAGCAAAAACAGCTGGCAGGGGGGTGGCTCGGGAAGGTGTCTCCATGGTAGAGTGCTTGCCTTGCATGCATTAGGCCCTGGGTTCGATTCCTCAGCACCACATAAGCAGAAAAAGCCAGAAGTGGCACTGTGGCTCAAATAGTAGAGCACTGAACTGCTGAGGGACAGTGCCCAGGCCCAGAGTTCAGGTTCCACTACCAACCAAAAACAACAACAAAAACCCAGTTCAGGACCCAGACCCTGAGTTCAAGCCCCAGGACCAGCATGTACACACATGTGCACGCATACACACACACACACACACACACACACACACACACACACACACGGGTAAATCTAACACAAGGTATAATGTCTTCATGAGTCATGAAGTCATTTAGTGGATTATGACTGATAGCTTTTGAAGTGATACAGGCTAAATACCATCAGAGCATTTGTGTAGGAAGGCTAAGTGGGTTCATGAACTCTTAATTTCATTTATATCTGACAGTGTTGCAGGAACTGTGTAGTTGGTTGTAGAAGTGACAGGAATCCCTGTGCTCTGTGATCAGAAAGGTGTGAGTGGCCACTGTACCCATGTGGTCCATGTTACAGCGATGCTCTACATGTCTAAAGTGTACAATTTCGAAAACAATTTCTTCAGTAGGTTGTGATGAGGGCAAAATGGCAGACACACTGACAAGCAAACATTTCTCCATTTCCTCTTTCTGTATTTAAGCAACTAGAAGCCATTTGTGTCAAGGTGACAACTGGTGACACGAAAGGTCATGAAAGGCCAATGCCACCACTTGCCACCATCCAGCCCAAAGCAGCAAGACAGAGCCAGCTGCCACCTGCGACCAACCCCAGCCTGGTGGGGCTCTGTGTGGTCAGCCCTCAGCTGCTCAGGGTGCAGCCCCTTGGGAGGACTGGGTCACCCCCGAGCCTCCCCCGAAGCCCACCTCAGCCTCCTGCTTGTCGGGTGTTTGTACAGAGGCCACTGCCCGCCCTCCAACCGCTCCCGACCAGGGGGGCCCCGGCTCTGAGTGGGCAGGCCACCACCCTGAGCCCCTGGGCCGCCGCTGGCCAGCCCCCAGCGACGCCCGCCTTGTCCAGCTTGCCTGCAAAACATACCGGGAAACTGAAAAGGTCTCTCAAAGTGAAAACACGCTCTGGACGGATATCTCGCCCTCCCAAATTCAAAGCCAGAGATTACAAATTCATCAAAAGAGAGGGCTTGGCAGATGGGCACCCGTCGGATTCCGATGACTACTCGGAACTGAGTGTGGAAGAGGAGGAAGAGCAGAAGGAGCCGTGGGCGCTCTTCCACCTTGAGAGCTGTGCGCTGCGGCCCAGGGCCTTCAAGTGCCAGACCTGTGAAAAGTCATACATAGGAAAGGGAGGCCTGGCCCGGCATCTCAAGCTTAATCCCAGCCACAGCCCGCTGAAGCCCGAGAAGTCCCTCACTGAGAAAGCTAATGGGAGCCTGACCCAGGAGTGCGTGGAGGCAGGGGGCAGAGGCTTGGTCTCCCCAGAGTGGAGGGCACCAGCTGCTCTCAATAAGGAAGGAGCAGATGCGGCAGTGGGTGGCCTGCAGGTATGTTTCTGTCTGGTGATGGGTCCTTATTGCTCCCTTCCCACCGTCCTTAGCTATTACAATGACATCTGATGGGGATTCAGGACCCAAACCAGCGTACAGAGGATCTGGGGGCCGGCTTCGTCCTCACTGTTGCCAGCCATGGAGGAGCTCTGTGCTCTCTGCCTGGGAACTTCACTGTGAGTCCGTCAGCTGGGAACGTGGTCAGCTCTTTAGATCTGACCAGCACAGCATTCTTGGTGCATGCTCGGCTGATGCCAGTATCACAGACAGTGTTAGAAAGATCAGAATCGGGGTGACAGTCCATAGGGTGCTTTCTAAGTAGCCACCAGAAGAGGCCTTTAGCTTTGTCTCTCTCCGCCCTCTCCTTCCCAAAGCCCCAATAAGACACATGGGTCACATGGCCACCTTCTCACATCAAAATACTTTTCCAAATTTTTTGTGATTATATACATAGCATGAAAATTATGATCTCAACGGTTTTATGTAGATGCATTCATAATGCACAAATGTCACCATCTCTAGATTCATTTCATCTTGTAAAAGGAAATCTTGTACTCACACTGTTTTTGTGTGTTTATATGCCAATCCAGGGCCCTGCCGCTATCTCTGAGGGCTTTTTATATTGTTGTTTTGTTGCCAGACCTGGGGCTTGAACTCAGGACCTGGGCACTGTCCCTGAGCTGCTGTTGCTCAAGGCTAGCACTCTACCACTTGAGCCCACAGCACCACTTCTGGCTTTTTCTGTGTATGTGGTACTGAGGAATCAAACCCAGGGCTTCATGCATGCTAGGCAAACACTCTACCACTGAGCCACATTCCCAGACCTCACCTGGGTTTTTGTTTTTGTTTTTTGGGGAGGCTTGAACTCTGGGCCTGGGCACTGTCCCTGAGCTTTACCACTCAAGGTGAGCACTACACCACTTGAGCCCCAGAGCCACTTGCGGTTTTCTGTGGTTCATTGGAGATGAGTCTCTCGGACATTCCTGCCTGGGTTGGCTTTGAACTGCGATCCTCAGATTTCAGCCTCCTGTGTAGCTAGGATGACAGGTATGAGCCACCTGTGCCCAGCTTACTCCCCAGGGTTTGTTAGCCCAGATTCATCTTCTTATATGGTGTTGAGAAAGATGTATTGACAGGTCTGAAACAAGCAGAAATGGTCAGATAAGTTGATGTTAGGTGAAATGAACCCCAAGATAAGGACTCAAATGATTTTTCTTTTTTGCTATTGTTTCTAACATATTTATATAAGATGATTTTTTGTGTTGCTTTGTATGTCCCTCCCCGACAGCATAACCTGCTTTCACTGTATTTGATGTTGGTATAATTTGGGGAGGGGAAGGGAAAAAACAAGTTGTTTAAACAATGAGATGTACAAGACATGTCGAAAAACAAACTTTACAGTTTTGGGAGGGTCGGGGAGGCGGGGGAGATGGGAAGGCAGGGATGGTAAGGGGAAACAAAGGGTGTAATTGTAACCCCTCTGTATGGTATTTTCACAATTAAAAAAACTTAAGAAAAAAAGATGTATTGACAGTAGTTAAGAGTTCATTAAGGAAGAAATAGTGTAGCTAGTTCCTTGTCTTAGACTTGACAGTTTTGTGCTTTTGAATTTACGTGATGGTGTGTGAAGCATTTTTATAGCTTTTTTTTCCTTTTTGGGTTTCACACTGTCTAGAATGGTCAGTCTGTGGAAGTGGAAGACACAAGAGTGCCTGAACCAGAAAATGGGAGTCAGTTAGCTCTCTTGGGATCAGAGGACCAAGGACGGAGACATGGAGGCTCAGAGACCCTGACAGAGCGCAGTAGAGCCATCCGCCAGCGGGGAAGAGCAGCCGCGCTGCGCCAACGCCCTGCGGTGGCTGCCAGGCTGCGCGCCCAGCTGGAAGAGGTACATCACTCGCACACCCGTGGGCCAGATCTGTTTCTCTACCATGGCATATGGCAATTCACTATTCGATTTTTGAACTTAGAAGTAAAACATCCCAGCCTGGCATGGTGGCTCACCTCCTGTTAACACAGCCCTCAGGAGGACTGAGTCAAGACCAGACCAGTTACATTATGAGACCCTGTCTCTCTCTCTCTCTCTTTAAAATAAAATAGCCTGATGAATTAAAAAGCTCACAAGATGGCATTGGATAAATTCCAGTGACAGTCACAGGCTGACCTGTTTATAATGAATCACTTCTCAGTGGGGCATTTCCCATGTTCCTCAGCTCTTGGGTTCTATCTGGAGGAGCCATGATGAATAAGAGTAGAGCAAAGCCGGGCGCTGGTGGCTCACGCCTGTAATCCTAGCTGCTCAGGAGGCTGAGATCTGAGGATCACGGTTCCAAGCCAGCCCGGGCAGGAGAGACTGTGAGACTCCTATCTCCAATAAACCACCAGAAAACCGGAAGTGGCGCTGTAGCTCAAGTGGTAGAGTGCTCGCCTTGAGCTGAAGAGCTGAGGGACAGTGCCCAGGCCCAGAGTTCAAGCCCTTACGACCGACAAAAAAAAAAAAAAAAAAAAGAGTAGAGCAGAGTGCTTTATTAGGAAAGGAGAATCTGCCTGGGGGTGAGGCTCCCAGCTCAGATAAAGGGAGTTTTATCGAGCAGGGAGGGTTACTCAGCCTTGTGCAACGGAGACCTTCTTCAGATGGTTTAGCCTCAGATCTCAGCCTCGTGGGTAGCTAGGATTACAGGACCAAGTCACCAGCACTGGCCCATAGTTCTTTGTTAATGGATGGAGCCATGAACTACTTAATAAGGCAGAATGTCCGTGGTTGAGTGTCTGGCTTGCGGGGACGTCCTGTGTCTTCTGCTCAGAGTCGCATTGGCCCTTGCCGTTGGAAGGTTCCCAGCAAGTGCTTCTCTTGGTAGTCTCTCCAACAGTGTGGCCGTGAGGATCTGGTGGAATTGGTGCTGCCTCGGCTGGCTCAAGTCGTAACTGTGTATGAATTTCTTCTGATGAAGGTGAGTCTTCAACGTGCTCACCAACAGCGGGGGTGACTTGTTACTTAGAAAGGCGTCCTTCCTATTTCCTTTAGAGAGAGCCCGGCCATGTGGGATCACTTCCCTTCCCCAGCAGAGCAGTGTGTGCTCCTACTGAGCCCTGTCAGCCCCTCAGGACACATCCAAGTCCAAAGCCCATCCTCAGCCTTTTTGCCTCCCCTCCCTACTCCTGGGCCTGCCCCCTCCCCTGAGCTCTCTGGCTGCCACATCAAGGGTTTGTTTCTGGTCCTCTTCTCAGGCCACCCTGCCTCCCAGAGCTGGGTGTGGTGCTGGCACACAGTAGGTACGCACTGGGCGTGGTGCTGGCATGCAGCAGGAATGCACTGGGCAGCTCCTGCCACCCAGTAGCTCCAAAGGTTGAGGGATCCATCCATCCTTTTTTTTTTTTGTCGGTCGTGGGGCTTGAACTCTGGGCTTGGGCGCTCTCTCTCAGCCCTTCAGCTCAAGGCCAGCACTCTACCACTTGAGCCACAGGGCCACTTCCTCATCCATCCTACTGTCTTGACATTCTAGTCTTGTTGGGGTTAAAAGCATGGCTCAGGTGGTAGAGTGGCAAGCCAGTGAGCAAAAACGTGAGATACTGAGTTTAAGTTCTGATCTCAGGCATTTCCATGTCATCGCCTCAGGTGTAAAACTCTACTTGTCATCTTTGTCTTCATGAAGGTTGAGAAGAGTCATCTAGCAAAGCCTTTTTTCCCAGCCATCTATAAGGAATTTGAAGAGTTGCATAACCTGGTTAAGAAAACATGTCAAGACTACCTCAGCAGTGCGGGTCCGTATCCGCGGGAGCCCCTGGAGATCAGCAATGACAAGGTAACAGCCTTGCAGCACAGCCCGGCACTCAGAGCCAGCAAAGGAACAGCAAGGGTGCCTCCGGACGCCGTTCTCCTTACTCAGCCACTAGCCTGTCCCATCTAGTGAGTTTCTGTTTCCTTAACATTAAAGCAATAAGTGCTTGTAAGCCGGCGCCGGTGGCTCATGCCTGTCATCCTAGCTACTCAGGAGGCTGAGATCTGAGGATCGCGGTTCAAAGCCAGCCCAGGCAGGAAAGTCTGTGAGACTTCTTTTTTTTTTTTTTTTTTTTTGGTCAGTCATGAGACGTAAACTCTGGGCCTGGGCGCTGTCCCTCACCTCTTCAGCTCAAGGCCAGCAGTGCCACTTCTGGTTTTCTGAGTGGTTTATTGGAGATGAATCTCATGGACTTTGCTGCCCAGCTGTCTTTGAACTGTGATCCTCAGATATCAACCTCCTGAGTAGCTAGGATTACAGGCGTGAGCCACTGGTACCCAGCTCCATGAGATTCTTATCTCCAACTATCCACCAGAAAACCTGACATGGTGCTGTGGCTCAAGTGGCAGAGTGCTAGCTTGAGCTGAAGAGCTCAGGGCCAGTACCCAGGGTTCAAACCCTAAGACTGACAAAAAAAAAAAAGGGCTTGTTTCACAGAACTGGAAAAAAAAAAAAAGCAGAAAAGCAGATAAGCTACAATAGAAAAAAACAAACCAGGGCTGGGAAGGTGGCTCAGAGGTAGAGCGCTTGCCTTGCATGCATGAGGCCCTGGGTTCAATTCCTCAGCACCACATAAGCAAAAAGAAAAAAGCTGGAAGTGGCGCTGTTCCTCAAGTGGTAGAGCGCTAGCCTTGAGCTGAAGAGCTGAGGGACAGCGCCCAGGCCCAGAGTTCAGGCCCCATGACCGGACCCCCCCCCCAAAAAAAAAAAAAAGAAAAGAAAAAAAAGAAAAAAACCAACCCCTGTGTTCCTCTGGCTCTCGGGTGCCTCTGGGGCTGTGGCCCGGGCCAGCAGTGCACTTGTCATAGCCTTTAGTAGATTGGCTCATTTACCAGACAGGAAGCTTGAGTTGGGTGCCAGAGCCAGTGGCTCACACCAGTAATCCGAGATCTGAGGACCATGCTTCAAAGCCAGCCCGGGTGGGAAACTCCGTGGTACTCTTATCACCAATAAACTACTCAGAAAAAGCCAGAAGTGGTGCTGTGGCTCAAGTGCTTGAGTGCTAGCTTTGTGCAAAAGCAGCTCAGGGACAGCATCCAGGCCTTGAGTTCAAGCCCAGGACCTGCACAAAAAAATTTTTTTTAAAAAGTAAGTTTGGGGGCTGGGAAGATGGCTCAGTGGTAGAGCGCTTGCCTTGCATGCATGAGGCCCTGGGTTCCATTCCTCAGCACCGCATATGCAAAAAGAAAAAAGCCGGAAGTGGCGCTGTAGCTCAAGTAGAGCGCTAGCCTTGAGCTGAAGAGCTGAAGGACAGTGCCCAGGCCCAGAGTTCAGGCCCCACTACTGGACCCAAAAAAAAAAAAAAAAAAAAGTAAGTTTGGAGCCACCAGGTTTTGCCAATTTTAGAGAAAGCCTCGGGCTGGGTGTAGCATGGATCACGTGACCCTGCCACCTCGTGACTTTTCTCAGTGACTGGTGTTGGGTCTATGCAGCAAGCCCCTCACTGAGCCCAATCCTCAGCCCCTCCAGGTCTCAGCTTCTGCTCTGTGAAAGAGGAATGTTTACTGAAAGGTCCTTCGGGGCTCTCACAAAACGGTTGTGGCTTAGTTAGACCAGACCCTCCTTTATTTAACAATGGTCACACACACAACAAAAAAGGCCATATTGCTGTTCACTGTCCTGCTGTTGAACTAACCTGAGGGATGTGCTGGTCTCAGTGAGGGGGGGGGGGGCAGTAAGAGAGGCGGGGGAAGAAAGGGATAGTGGGAGAACAACAAAGGAGGGGGTACCAATGCTGGACAAGAAATTTATTCATTACCTTACTCGTGTAACTGTAACCCCTCTGTATAGCATCTTTTGTTGTTGTTGTTGGTTGTGGGGCCTGAACTCTGGGCCTGGGCACTGTGTCTCAGCTCTTCAGCTCAAGGCTAGTGCTCTACCACTTGAGCCATAGTGTCACTTCCGGCTTTTTCTGCTTATGTGGTGCTGAGGAATGGAACCCAGGGCCTCATGCATGCAAGGCAAGCGCTCTACCACTGAGCCACCCCCAGCCCCTATATAGCATCTTTACAATAAAATAAAATTTTTTTTAAAAAGAGGAGGAAGGCTTCATCACCGTAGCTCTGCAGGGACTTCTGTAGCAAGCAGCCTCCATCCAGCCATGATGAGATCTGAGCACAGGGATTTTGTTTAGTTTTGTTATTTTGGGAGGATGTCATTATTGTTTTACACAAGTTATTTAGAATATTTCCTTATAAGCCTTTGAATTTTCTTTTTCTTCCTTTTTTTTTTTTGTCAGTCATGGGGCCTGAACTCTCCTGAACTCTGGGCGCTGTCCCTCAGCTCTTCAGCTCAAGGCTAGCACTCTACCACTTGAGCCACAGTGCCACTTCTGGCTATTTCTACTTATGTGGTGCTAAGGAATCAAACCCAGGGCCTCATGCATGCTAGGCAAGCACTCTACCACTGAGCCACTACCATCAGCTTTTCATGCAGCTTTCTTCATCTTCGTTTTTCTCATTGTGAGGTGGCACCTCACTGTGTAAAGAAGCCTTACGGATTTAAACGCAGCCATTCATTCTTAAGAATCAGTGAAGGAAGTGGCGCTGTGGCTTAAGTGGTAGAGTGCTAGCCTTGAGCTGAAGAGCTGAGGGACAGCGCCCAGGCCCAGGGTTCAAGACCCACGACCGACCAAAAAATAAATAATTAATTTGGGCTGGGAAGTTGGCTCAGTGGCAGAGCACTTGCCTTGCATGCTTAAGGCCCTGGGTTCGATTCCTCAGCACCACATACGCAAAAAGAAAAAAGCCGGAAGTGGTGCTGTGGCTCAAGTAGTAGAGCGCTAGCTTTGAGCTGAAGAGCTGAGGGACAGCACTCAGGCCCAGAGTTCAGGCCCCACGACTGGATCCAAAAAAAAAGAATCAAGCTGGGCGCTGGTGGCTCACACCTGTAATCCTAGCTACTCAGGAGGCTGAGATCTGAGGATCGAGGTTCAAAGCCAGCCCGGGCAGGAGAGACCGTGAGACTCCTATCTCCAATAAACCACCAGAAAACTGGAAGTGGCGCTGTAGCTCAAGTGGTAGAGCGCGCACCTTGAGCTGAAGAGCTGAGGGACAGCGCCCAGGCCCAGAGTTCAAGCCCCACGACCGACCAAAAAAAAAAAAACAAGAATCAGTGAAGCCACTGACTTGTGTCTGCTTCAAGCAAGGCTTATGTGTCCTGGTCCCTTTCTCTTCAGGTTGCTGAGTCATTAGGAATCACAGAAGAATTTCTGCAGCAGAAAGAAATACACCCAGACTGTACTGCACGGAAGCATGTTAGCGCGGAGATGCACGTGGACAAGCTAGAGGGAGCCGGCAGACAGAAGAGGGAGTGTGAGGTGGGCATCGCTGTAGTGGTGCCACGCTGGCACCACTGGGTTGCAGGGCGGTGTGGTCAGTTCACAGTGCTCCTCTCAGGGAGGAGGGGTGCAGGGCTCTCCTCACTTCTGGATTTCAGCTGAAGGGACTCTTCTCTTCTCAGGCTGCAGGCGAGGGGCTGGCCACAGAGAAGAGGCCCCGAAGACTAGTGGGGCCATCAGACAGCCCTGAGCCTCTTGTGGTGGACAGCAGAGACCTAGAGGAGTCCAGGCCCTTGTGTGTCACAGCTGCCTGTGAGGGTAAAACGGCTTCTTGGGCTCTCCCCAGGTTAAGGGCCCCCGCGGCTGGATTTAAGAGAACTTTTTGGTCTCTCAGATTTGGTCCCAATCTCCCAACACTCTTTCCATGTTCATGTCCCAAGAGTCTTCAGGCCTTTGATATTTTTAGAGCTTTCTTTTAAAGTGAAGAGTCACTTGTGGTGGTGAGTGGGTACCACCAGGCTGGTCCAAGAGGTTGGGCAGAAATGGGACCCAAAGACCACAGACACCAGCTGGAAGTGGGGCTGTGCCTCAAAGTTTGTAGAGTACTAGTCTTGAGCAAAAACAGCTCAGGGACAGTGCCCAGGACCCAGGTTCAAGCTCTACAACTGATAAAACAAACAAGACCAAAAAAAAATCCCCCAAAACACAGGCACTTATGACTTGGTTTTCATGAGACTTGGCTCTGACGGGTAAAATTTAACATTTGAAAACAAGATTTTAGCTTTTCCTTCTGGCTGTAACCAGACCCTATCTTCTGTGCATGTGAAAAATGCCTGCTAGATGAATACTCTACCATTCTACCACTAAGTGACATCCCAGCCCTTATAAAAAGGTCTTGTCCGCCACCCGATGCCTGGCCTGATCCTCAGGTCTCAGACTGGCAGAGGCAGTCTCCGTTTTCGAACTTATTACTGGGGAAAGCTGATCTGTTCAGTGGGACCAACCAACATGGGTGTGCAACACACCTGCTCAAGGAGTCACTTTCACATTTTAGCTCCACTTGGAAGCAAAGTAATCCATGTTTTAGTTCACTTCCATTTAGCTTGCAGTTCTTAAGTGTTCATACACACACACACACACACACACACATCCTGAATTGTCCTTGTCCCAGGTGTCCAAGGACAAAGACTGAGTAAGGCCCCCCCCTCACCCTCAGGGTGCTGACCTCAAGACTGTGGCCCTTGGGCTGAGAATGTGGCTTAGTGGCAGAGTGCTCACCTAGCATACATGAAGCCCTGGATTCCATTCCTCAGTATCCAATAAACAGAAAAAGCTGGAAGTGGTGCTGTGGCTCAAGTGGTAGAGTGCTAGCCTTGAGCTAAAGAGCTGAGGGACAGCGCCCATGCCCACAGTTCAGGCCCATGACTGGCAAAAAAAAGGGGGGGGCTGGGAAGGTGGCTCAGTGGTAGAGTGCTTGCCTTGCATGCATGAGGCCCTGGGTTCGATTCCTCAGCATCACATAAGCACATAAAAGCTGGAAGTGGCACTGTGGCTCAAGTGGTAGAGTGCTAACCTTGAGCTGAAGAGCTGAGGGACAGCGCCCAGGCCCAGAGTTCAGGCCCCACGACCAGAGGATTAAAAAAAAAAAAAAAGCTCAGAGATGGCCCCAGTAACTGAATTCAAGCCCCAGCACTGACCAAAAAAAAAAAAAAAAAAGAAGCCGGGTGCGGGTGGCTCACGCCTGTAATCCTAGCTACTCAGGAGGCTGAGATCTGAGGATCGCGGTTCAAAGCCAGCCCAGGCAGGAGAGACCATGAGACTCCTATCTCCAATAAACCACCAGAAAACCAGAAGTGGCGCTGTAGCTCAAGTGGTAGAGCGCTCGCCTTGAGCTGAAGAGCTGAGGGACAGCGCCCAGGCCCAGAGTTCAAGCCCCACGACCGACCAAAAAAAAAAAGATTGTGGCTCTTGGCTGGGCATGTAGTCAGAGTACCTGAGAGGTTGTTTTGAAATGTGGGGTCAAGGGTTCCAGGGTAGGCATGGACGTGATTAGACTGGAAAACTCCCAAGTGACCTGCTGCTCGTTTTGGTGGAGACCACTGGTGAGTTGCTCAGCATTGGAATGAAACCATTGCCAAGTATTCTTGGACTATATTTTTAGGATAAAAATCTGCCTCTGGGAATTGATACTAAGGACTAATATAGAAAAAAAAAAAAAAAGGCCACCTACCATCCCATGCAGCAGGAGTGTTTCCGTGTTGTTTGTGACAAAGTCCATTTGGGGGTGCTGGCTGGGATGAGGGTGGTGACTGGTGTCTTTCTGAACTCTCCAGGTTTTCCGCCCCCTGTTGGCGGGCGGGCCCCTCTGCTCCGGGCCGGAAGCCTGGGGACGATGGTCTCCGATGGTGATGGAGGCGCATTACTTGCGAGCCAGAAGCTGGTGGCAGCTGCGTTGGCTGACTTGGAATGGATAAGTGGGTGTGCAGGGCCTGCACTCCGGTGTCGGTGTGTCACTGAGCCTGCTCATTGCACGCAGGTAGAAGAGCTGGGGAGTTCACCCTCAGCCCCGGAGGCAGTGCTCCCTGAAGAGAAAGCCCTCGCACACGCTGCAGACCTGCACACTGCAGACAGCCAGAGGCGCCCAGCCGGGCATGGCACCATGGCAGCGAGAGCAGGAGGGGAGCCTGCGCTTGGCACGGAGGCGGTGAACCTTGGCCAGTTGAGTGGCTCCCACCTGGATGGCCAGCAGGCCTGCCCCAGCCACGTCCTGCTTGTGGATGCCACGGGCCCTCTGCTCGACAATGTTTCACCCATGGACATGGCCCCAGAAGATGCTGCCTCCAGCACTGGGCCTGAGCCAGAGCCTCGGCCTGGCCTGGACAGACTTTTGTCAGCTACAGGGAGCACGGGAAGCCACGCTCGGGGAGCCAGCCAGCTCTCCTGTGCGGGGGCACGTGTGGGTCCGGGGGAGTTGGAGAGTAAGGTGGCTGTAGGGGACACCCAGGCTTTCACGGTGACCAGCAGGTGCCAGGAAGGACAAGAGAACATTCTTACTGAGACCCCTGATGGACGTGTCTTGTCCCATCTAGGTACCCTCATGTCTCAGGAGGATGTGGTCATAGTGACTGACACAGAGGGGTCCCCGGTCTTGAAGGTGGGCCTGCCAGAAAGGGGTTCATCTTGGAACTTCAGGGACACTTCTCACTGTGGAAACAGAGACTCTCAGTGACAAGCAATCAGAATCTCAGTCTTAGATCTGCATATGATTTATCAGAGAAGACCTATATAAGGCAGGGCATATTTTTCTAATGTGACTACTGACACAAATGAGCCTTTTATTTATAAAGAATAATACCTATCTACTCTGTTTTTCAGAAGAACTCATTACAATCATGGCAATATGTTTTTGGTTGTTTTGCTTTATTTTGAGGTCTCACTATTGCCCAAGCTGGCCTCCAACTTGTAATCCTCTTGCCTCAGCCTCCTGAGTGTTGGGACTATAGGTATGTACCAATGGCAGATATGTTACTTGGTGACATACCTTGTAGGAGTATTTAGTGACTTGCAGTTAAGATCACTTCATTGTTACTTACCAGTCCCATTACTTATCTCAAAAAAATGGTTTTCCCTTTCTCCTGGTGATAATACTGCTACTGCTTCTCCATCAGACTTGATTTATACTAGAAGCTTCTTGACGGTTAAATTTGAGAAGTTAAAAAGCTAGCTATGGGGGGGGCTGGGAAGGTGGCTCAGTGGTAGAGCGCTTGCCTTGCATGCATGAGGCCCTGGGTTCGATTCCTTAGCACCACATAAGCAGAAAAAGCTGGAAGTGGTGCTGTTGCTCAAGTGGTAGAGCACTAGCCTTGAGCTGAAGAGCTGAGGGACAGCGCCCAGGCTCAGAGTTCAGTTCCCACGACCAGCAAAAAAAAAAAAAAAAAAAAGCTAGCTATGGGGCTGGGAAGGAGGCTTGGTGATAGAGTGCTTGCCTCAAGCATGCATGAGACCCTGGGCTCGATTCCTCAGCACCACATAAATAGAAAAGGACAGAAGTGGCCCTGTGGCTCAAGTGGTAGAGTGCTAGCCTTGAGATGAAGAACTGATGGACAGCGCCCAGGCCCCATGACCGACCAAAAAACAAAAAAAAGCTATCTAGGGCAGGGCACCAGTGACTCACACCTGTAGCCTAGCTACTCAGGAGGCTGAGATCTGAGGATTACAGCTCAAAGCTAGTCCAGGCAGAAAAGTCTGAAACTTTTTAAAATTTTTTTTTCTATTTAAGTAGTTGTACAAAGAAGTTCCCATTCTACAAAACAGTATATGAATACAAAGTGTCTGATCATTGTTACCCATTGCTCCTAACCCACCTTTTTTTTTTTTGAGATTAAGTGATTACATAAATTTCACATATATTCCACAGTATTGTAGAATAGTGATACTTAAAGTCAAAACTCTTCATCTCCAATAAACTACTCAGAAAGGCAGGAATGCGGAAGCCTCGTTGCTTATGCCCTTCATTGCTCACAGCAGAGCCAAGTGCGCCTTGTGTTTTTTGGCTTTGTGTAAGTTTTTGTGTATCCTGGAGTCACGTCTCACACATTTTCTCCAAATCCATGAGTAGGTTTTCATGTTTCTGTTCTGTCAGTTTGGAGGATTTGTAGAGGTAGGGGACATAACTATGTGATCAGCCCTCTATTTCATTGTTACTCTCAGAAGTTACTCCTCAGGGTTTGTGCGCGTTTGTTTCTACAGCATTGAAACTTGAACCAAGAGCCTGAGAATGCCTGGCAAGCTATACACAGTCATAAAATTTATTTAAAAGTTAAAAAAAAAGTATTTCGAGGTCTAAGACACTCAGGATGGCCTTCAACTTGTGATCCTCCTTGTCTTAGTCTTCTGAGTATCTGGAACTACAGGCATGAACCACCATACCTGGTTCAGATTCCTTGTTCACCTCTTAGCTCTTTTGCTTCTGTAGTACTTAGGAGAAGCAGTCGTTTAACTTTGCTGAGCAAGGGCTGATGGGAGTCTGGGAGCACATTGGGATGTCTTGGAAGGCCGTCATGGTGGTGAATCTTCAGCGTCCTCTGTGGAGAATATTTATGCTCTTGTGTGTGTACGTGTGCTTGAACTCAGGGCCTCGTGCTCTTGCTTGGCTTTTTTTTTTTTTTTTTTGCCAGTCGTGGAGCCAGAACTCTGGGCCTGGGCGCTGTCCCTCAGCTCTTCAGCTCAAGGCTAGCACTCTATCACCTGAGCCACAGCGCCACTTCCGGCTTTTTCTGCTTATGCGGTACTGAGGAATCAAACCCAGGGCCTCATGCATGTGAGGCAAGCACTCTACCACTGAGCCAACTTTCCAGCCCCTCACTTGGATTTTTTTTTTTTTTTTTGGGTCCGGTCATGGGGCCTGAACTCTGGGCCTGGGCACTGTCCCTCAGCTCTTCAGCTCAAGGCTAGCGCTCTACCACTTGAGCCACAGTGCCACTTCCGGCTTTTTTCTTTTTACTTATGTGGTGCTGGGAATCGAACCCAGGGCCTCAAGCATACAAGGCAAGCACTCTACCACTGAGCCACCTTCCCAGCCCCGGATTTTTTTTTTTTTTTTGCGCCAGTCCTGGGGCTTGAACTCTAGGCCTGGGCACAGTCCCTAAGCTTCATTTGCTCAAGACTAGCTCTCTACCACTTGAGCCACAGTGCCACTTCTGGCTCTTTCTGTGTATGTGGTACTGAGGAATCAAACCCGGGTTTCATGCATGCTAGGCAAGCACTCTACCACTGAGCCACCATCTCAGCCCCCTGACTTGGCTTTATTTGTACCACTTGAAGCACAGTTATACTTCTGTTTTTTTGGGGGGGGAGGGGTCCAGTAGTGGGGCCTGAACTCTGGGCCTGGGCGCTGTCCCTCAGCTCTTCAGCTCAAGTCTAGCACTCTACCACTTGAGCCACATGCATGCAAGGCAAGCGCTCTACCACTGAGCCACCTTTCCAGCCCTACTTCTGTTGTTTGATGGAAATACTCTCTTGGACTTGTCTGCCCAGGCTGGCTTTGAATCTTGATCCTCAGATCACAGAATTATAGACATTTGCTACCAGCTCCTAGCTAAATGTGTTTATTCTTTAAGCCCCTCCAAACACGAAAATGGCTGCCAATAGACCTCATGCCAAGCTTCTCCCAGGCTGGAGAGCAGTGTGTCCGGCAGGTCTGTCCACATATAGTCACCTGATACCCCCTTTTATGATAGACTCTAATACATACAGCAAAGGCGGAGGAAAGGGAAACCCCAAGAAAGGCTACCTGGAAATGCGTCTGAAATACCTGCATGTGCAACCAAGAGAACCTAACTTCCTCTCAAAGTTCTTCCCTGTCATATGTAGTCTTCCGCCAACACCCTTTGGCTTTCTGATACAAGGTCCCATGTAGCTCAGGTTAGCCTTGAACTTAGAACCCTTTTGCCTCAACTGCCCAAGTGACTGGGAAGACAGATCTGAATCACCATGCTTTGCTATAGTTTTTTTTTCTTCCAGTAATACTGGAGTTGAACTTGACCATGTCCCCCATTCTGTAGTTTTTTGTTGTTATTTTCTTTATTTTTGTGGCAAGCATTTGCTCCTTGGACTCTAGAACTTCAATTCTGTAGGATCATGCTACATTTTTTGCACAACAAGAGGCTTTAGACTTCCTTCTCTGGGAAGGATGGTTATTTTTATTTTTATTTTTTTGGCCAGTCCTGGGGCTTGAACTCAGGGTCTGGGGGCTGTCCCTAAGCTGCTTTTGCTCAAGGCTAGCACTCTCCCACTTGAGCCACAGCACCACTTTTGGCTTTTTCTGTTTATGTAGTACTGAGGAATCCAACCCAGGGCTTCTTATATGCTAGGCAAGCACTCTACCACTAAGCCACATTCCCAGCCCTGGTCCACAAGATTTTATGGCTGCTTTGTGTTTCAGCTCTTTGTTCTGAGCTCAGGACTGAACATGCAGTAGGTGAAGTGCTTAGAAAACAAGAAAACAGAGGCAGGGGCTACGTAAGGTTTCAGTAAAAGTCAAACTGTGCTAAAAGACAGCCAAGTAGGGGGTGTGATCAAGGACCCTGGAGAACTGCAGGCCTGATTGCAGTTTCTTCTACCTAGAAAGGAGGAAGCAGGAAGTCCTTATTTGGTGAGTTAAATAGCCCTAAGCTTATAGATAAGTAGTATGCTAAGGGTGCAATATAAAAAAGCTAATGTTGGGTTGGGAATGTGGCTTAGTGGTAGAGTGCTTGCCTAGTATGCATGAAGCCCTGGGTTCAATTCCTCAGTAACAAATCAATAGCACTAGCCTTAAGCAAAAGAAACCCAGAGACAGTGCCCAGGCCCTGAGTTCAAGCCCCAGAACTGGCAAAAAATAAAGCTAATATTATTAAACACTATCATTTATTCAATATCACAATAATACACAGCCCCACAGAAAAGTTTGAGATTACAGAAATTTGATTGGTGTGTCACATCCTCAGCATGAGAACAGTGCAATGTTTTGTTATTTTTCATTACCATAATAACAAGCTTTTAATTCAGTTAACTCTATGGGATTTAAAAGTTACAAATTACAGAGCTGGGCACTGGTGGCTCATACCTGTAATCCTAGCTATTCAAGAGGCTGAGATCTCAGGATTGTGGTTCAAAGCCAGCCCAGGCAGGAAAGTCCGTGAGACTCATCTCTTTTAACCACTGGAAAACCAGAAGTGGTGTTGTGGCTCAAGAGGTAGAGTGCTCGCCTTGAGCTGAAGAGCTGAGGGACAGCATCAAGGCCCAGAGTTCAAGTCCCACAACCAAAAAAAAAAAAAGGTTACAATTACAGAACTAATATCCTCATAGAAATTTAAACAGATGTTTAGATGTTTGGGGATGTGACTCGGGTACAGAAAGAATATGAAATGGGATGCGTAGAGTTACCTCTCAGGAGCGCTGAGTCTCATGCAGGTGCCTCAGGGGGAACTTCTCAGCAGGTGCGGGCGCATGCATGCAGGGGAGGGTGATATTGTCCCAGGGCCAGACCTGGGGCCCTGTCCATCTGAGGGCAGGGGAGAGTCCACTGGTCTGGTGCCTGGCTTGGTTGGTGTGGTCTGTCAGGCATCACAGCCCCCGGTGGCCTGTCTCCCACAGCATGCTCTCCAGAAGGAGCTTGCTCCTGCCCTCCACATAGGGCTGGTGTAGCCACATGGACAGGTAGCTGAGGGACAGGTCTCGGTCGGCCGTGTGTGCCAGCTCTGCAGCCACTGTGTGCTTCAGGAGGAGGTCCTTCCGGTACATGTCAGAGAGCTGGCGGGAAACCTCATCTGGAACAGAACAAGCTGCCCTGGAGACATCATTGGAAGACTCACTTGACACAGACTGAGCCACCTGGTGGCTCCTTATTAAAACCGGAATCAGGGGCTGGGAAGGTGGCTCAGTGCTAGAGCGCTTGCCTTGCATGCCTGAGGCCCTGGGTTCGATTCCTCAGCACCATATAAGCAAAAAGAAAAAAGCCAGGAGTGGCGCTCACAGCGGTAGAGCGCTAGCCTTGAGCTGAAGAGCTGAGGGACAACGCCCAGGCTCAGAGTTCAGGCCCCACGACCGGACCCAAAAAAAAAAACAGAATCTTCAGAGGCACTGAGCTAGGGAAGGAGCAGGTGTGTTTACTAACCTAGCCAGTGCCAATTAGTCCATGATGTGAAGCATGAAGTCACAGAGGAAATACAGGGTTTTCAGCTTAACCCTTAGGTTACTTGCAATGACTATAAACAGGAGTCATCGCAAACCAGCTTTATTCCAATAAATATATAATGGTAGATACTTTGCCCTGTCTTCCCTCATTTTAAAGAAACCAAGTCTCAGGTGGGCACCAGTGGCTCACACCTGTAATCCTAGCTACTCAGGAGGCTGAGATCTGAGGATCATGGTTCAAAGCCAGCTCAGGCAGGAAACTCTGTGAAACTCTTTATCTCCAATAAACCATCAGAAAACTGGAAGTGGCACTGTAGCTCAAGTGGTAGAAGGCTAGCCTTGAGCTGAAGAGCTGAGGGACAGTGCTCAGGCCCAGAGTTCAAGCCCCATGACAGACAAAAAAAAAAAAAAAAAGCCAAGTCTCAAGTCAACATCAAACATCTTAGCATTTTTTTTTTTTTTTTTGCCAGTCCTGGGTCTTGAACTCAGGGCCTGGGCACTTTCCCTGAGCTGCTTTTGCTCAAGGCTAGCACTCTGCCCACTTGAGCCACAGCATCACTTCTGTCTTTTTTTTCTGGTCACGAGGAATTGAACTTCATGCATGCTAGCCAAACACTACCACTAAGCCACATTCCCAGCCCCTTAGCCTCTTTTTTTTTTTTTTTCAATTGTGAAAATACCGTACAGAGGGGTTACAATTACATGGGCAAGGCCCTTAAGCCTTCCTTTTGAACTCAACTAAAAGTAATCCTTTATAAAGTATTTCACAAAGCTTCAATAAATTTCACTTTGCTCAGTTTCCTATGAGGTTAACTGCAGTGCCCACCAATTTTTAAAATTGAAACAAAACCAAAGTAATAAAAAACCTTAGTAATAAAAGAAAATGAGAGCTTTTTGTCTCCATGGAAGAAGTAGAATTCATTCTATTCATTGGCTTTAAAGGGTGGCTAAGCGCAACTTGCATCATGGCCTCTAATTATGCTCTGCTGATGATCTCTGTTAATTAAAGCCTGGGAGAAACACTCGTTTTAAGATGTCCCACCTCCCCTCCTGAGGACCAGGAAGAGGTACTTACAGAAATAGGTGGTAGGCCAGGTATGGAACAGGGGGGGGCGTCTGTGCTCCTCCCCATAATAATAATTTTCTAGCTCACAAATTCCCTTGGTAGTTGAAGATAGCTTTTCCATTTTCACCTGTATTTTAGCCTGAAAAGATATTTAGAATATGAAAATATGAGATGAGCCAGACACCGGTGTCTCACACCTGTACTCCTAACTTCTCAGGAGGCTGAGATCTGAGGATTGCAGTTTGAAGCCAGCTTGGGCAGAAAAGTCGGTGAAATCTTTTTTTTTTTTGGTTGTGGGGCTTGAACTCTGGGCTTGGGTGCTGTCTCTTAGCTCTTCAGCTCAAGGCAAGTGCTCTACCACTTAAGCCACTTCTGATTTTCTGGTGGTTAGTTGGAGATAAGAGTCTCACGTACTTTCCTACCCAGCTGGCTTTGAACCATGATCCTCAAATCTCAGCTTCCTGAGTAGCTAGGATTACAAGCACGAGCAATCAGCACTCAGCGCTCAGCGTTGTAAAACTCTTATTGCCAATAAACAACTCAGAAAAAGCTGAAAGTGGTGCTATGGCTCAAGTGGTAGAGCACTAGCCTTGAGCACAAGAGAGTTCAAGGCAGTGCCCAGGCCTTGAGTTCAAGCCATGGGACCAGCAAACAAAACAAAACAAAAAACAAAACATGAAATCTCTAGTCTCAGATTCAAGAACTAGAAGATTTCAAAACTCAGAACAGGTCTGTGGTGCTACAAGTCCTCTAACTAAACACCATCAACTCCACAAGCAGCCAGTTTCCAGGGAGATGAAAGGAGACGGTTATGGTTTCATTAATTTGGATTACTTCAGTAATAAGCTGCGGATTTGCTTATCAGAGGAGAGAGCTCGCTGAGCTTCACATCACTAGATTTCCCCACATTACTAATGCTTTACCTCCAAAAGCCTGAAGGGATGCCAGGCCATGAAAGATGGGAGAAAAGGCATTCAATGAGCTCATTTCTATCATTTATTAACTGCCTTTGGGCTTACTGAAGCCTCTTTGTGCCTCCATCTCCCTATTTATGAGACAATAATAATGAAAAGCTGCCCCACACATGAAGGCAGTGGTGAGAATTTGATCTTGGCAGAGCCTCAGAAGACCTCAGGCTCCACCCCTAGCCTGTCACCGTGTGACACCAGCAGGAACCATCCACCCCGCCCACTGTGATCTGAGGCTGATCTCACAGCCCTCATAGCTGGGTAAGGTATGGATCCATGTTTGTGAAAAACCTACTCGATTACTAATCTCAGAGTCTGGAAAGTAAAATAATTAGAAGTAATGAGGATTTCAGTAGCACAGGTCTATTAGAACCAAATTTTGGACTCCTAGGTATATGTAAACACGTTAATCAAAATCCTCGCTCCTTGCATGGGGTCCTTCCAACCACCCTCCAATCACATCTGAAGTGGCATGTGCTCAATTTAGCTGGCATAATCTTTGAAGAATATTACTTAGCTCTCAAGTCTTGCTAGACTCAATATCTCACTTTTCCCAGCCTCAAGAGGTAGGACTCATTATTTCCACTTCACAGCTGGGAAAATTACTCAGGGCTGAGCTAGGGAAGGACAAGGTCAGAACCTGATACCAGACCTCTGGTACCAGTTTTTTAACACCCAATTCTCTGCTCTTTCCTCTACATCTGCACCAGTATCTGCACAAGCTGCCTGCTACTACCTGACTGTAAGAACAGCTTACAGCAAGGCAATCCTGGAGGTCTGACCCGAGGCCAAGGGCCAGCACTCAGTTCTGTAGCTTGGCTGTTATCGAGGACAGTAGCAGGCATATGTGCAGCTGCACTGCCAGCCAAGCGCGGGTAGTGCTTCCTAGCCACAAACAAGAAATGAGCGTCCAGCTCAGGGAAATGGGCACATCCAACCCCCAAGCCAAGTCTGGGAAACCACTCTCTCTAAAGGCTGGGGAAAAATAGAAAAAATAGAAGATCCTTATGGCACCAACTGTTTTGGGTGTGTAGGTGGGTACTTGGACTTGAACTCAGGGTCTGGTGCTTTTGCTAAGCTTGTTTGCTCAGGCCTGGCACTCTACTACTTGAGCAGCACCACAGTCTAGCAGTTTGCTAATTAATTTAAGATGAAGTTTCAAAAACTTTTCTGCTTGGGCTGACTTTGAACCTCAATCCTGTTTAGCTAGCATTACAGTTTTCTTTTGGTTCTTCTTTTTTATTTTTTGTCGGTTATACTGCTTGAACTCAGGGCCTGGGTACTGTCCCTGAGCTTTTGGGCTCAAGGCTCGTGCTCTACCACTTTGATCCACAGTACCATTTCCAGTTTTCTGGTAGTAATTTGGAGATAAGAGTCTCTTTCTTGCCTAGGCTGGCTTTGTTTGTTTTTTTGCCAGTCCTGGGGCTTGAACTTGGCCTGGGCACTGTCCTTGAGTTTGTTTTGCTCAAGGCTAGCACTCTACCCACTTGAGCCAGTGTCACTTCTGGCTTTTTCTATGTACATGGTACTGAGGAATTGAAACCAGGGCTTCATGCATGCAAGGCAAGCACTCTACCACTAAGCCACATGCCCAGCCCCCTAGGGTGGCTTTGAACCATGATGCTTAGGTCTCAGCTTCCAGAGTGGCAGGGATTACAGTTGTGAACCACCAGTGCCTGATACCTCTCTCTCTCTTTTTAAAATCAGCATCAGGGCTTGGACTCAGGGACTCACCCTTGTTCAGCTTGCTAGGTTGATGATCTGCCACTTGAACCATACCTCTACTTCCATTTCACCTAACAAGATTCTCTATAAAAGGCATGAAGCTGGGGCCGGTGGATCATGCCTGTAATCCTAGCTATTCAGGAGGCTGAGATCTGAGGATCATGGTTCAAAGCCAGCCTGGGCAGGAAAGTCTGAGACTTTTATCTCCAATTAACTACCAGAAAGCTGGAAGTGGCACTATGGCTCAAGTGGCAGAGTGCTCGCCTTGAGCTGAAAAGCTGAGGGACAGTGCCCAGGCTGAGTTTTGGGCCTGACCAAAAAAAAAAAAAAAGCACCAACAAGCTGGGTGATGGGGGCTTGTGTCTGTAATTCTACTACTCAAGAAACTAAGATGTAAAGGATCGTGATGCAAAGCCAGCTGGAGTAGAAAAATCCATGAGTCTCCATCTCTAAAATAACTAAAAAAAGCTGGCTGGAGGCCTGCTCAGGTGGTAGAGCACTAGCCAAGAAAGCACAAAGCTCTGAGTTCAAACCTCTGCACCAGCAAAATAAATAAATAAATGTAAAATATCAAGTCCAGATTGATACAAATAAATAATTGAGTAGCAGGTAAATCTCCCAAGTAGAATTCTAAATAATTTATAGATACTCTGCCCTTAGAAGGCTCTTACATTTAAATGTCTGAAAACTAACAAAAAAAGTAGTATTTTACTACACAAGAAAATTATATGAGGGGCTGGGAAGGTAGCTCAGTGGTAGAGCGCTTGCCTTGCATGCCTGAGGCCCTGGGTTCGATTCCTCAGCACCACATAAGTGCTGTGGCTCAAGTGGTAGACCGCTAGCCCTGAGCTGAAGAGCTGAGGGACAGCGCCCAGGCCCAGAGTTCAGGCCCCACAACCGGACCCCCCCCCCAAAAAAAAAAAAAAAGAAAATTATATGAAATCCAAGCTCTAATGAGCATAGAGTTTTATGGGGACAGAGCCATCAGTTTGTCTATGTACTGGTTATGGTTGACTTAGCAATACAGCTGAGTTGAGGAGCTGCAAAAAGAGATGTTCTGGCCCACAAGTCCTCAGATATTTACTAGGCAGACCATCAAAGCTGTTGGGGCTTCCTCAGACAATGCACAGGACAGGGTGTGGTGATGCTCACCCATATTCCCAGCACTCAGGAGGCTGAGCTAAGCCTGTCCTTGTCTCAAAGCCAACAAACAAGATTTGTGGGATGGATGGAGGAGGAGACCATTAGAGGAGAGGGAGGTGGAGAAAGAAGGGCTGGGGGGAGGAGGGGAGGAAGGAGGGGAGAAGGAAGAAAGGATCAACAGTGGTTTTCAATGCCTCTAGTGGTCAAGCAAACCCCAAATAGGTCCGCTGGACTCAGGGACAGTGACCACAGATGGCTGGCGTCTTCAGGTCTTACCAAACCATCCAAAGTGACCTGCAGTTCCTTGCACAGTGACTCAAGTTCTTTATCATCTTCTGGACATCTCTTTTCTTCATTTTCACTGAACACTGGGTTGATGTTTTCTAATTCTATCTGTTCTTTATTCCTGGACAAAATAAAAGGGGTAGAAATTACACTCTAGAAACTCACCTCCTGACAGATGTGTTGGCACATAGAGAGAATCCTGACGCTTAGGAGCCTGAAGCAGGAGAATTACAATTTCAAGACTCATCTGGGCTACATGACAAGGCTCTTTCTCAAAAGCAAAAACCTCTTCAAAAACAGCCTTGTAGTGGCTCACACCTATAATTCTAGCCAGTCAAAAAGTCTGAAATCTGAGGATCACAGTTCGAAGCCAGTCCAGGCAGGAAAGTCCATGAGACTCTTATCCTAAAGCTGAAAGTAGAGTTGTGGCTCAAGTGGTAGAGTGCTAGCTTTGGGCAAAAGCTGGGGGATAGACTCCAGACCTTGTCCCGACCAGCACAAAAACAAAACAAACCCAACCTCACTTTGTTACAGTAAATTCCAGAAGCTCACTAGCCACATATGTCAGCCATCTTGCATAAGCACTGCTGTTTTATGTCATTCTAATACAGGCTTGGTTATTTTCAGCAGTACTAAGGTATTAACTCAGGGCATTGTGATTGCTAGGCAGACATTAAACCACATGAACCACACTCCCTGCCCTTTTTTTTTTTTTTGGTCGGTCATGGGGCTTGAACTCTGGGCTTGGGCACTGTCCCTGCGCTCTTCAAGGCGAGCACTCTACCACTTGAGCCACAGCACCACTTCCGGTTTTCTAGTGGTTTATTGGAGATAAAAGTCTCATGGACTTTCCTGCCTGGACTGGCTTTGAACTGCTATCCTCAGATCTCACCCTCCTGAGTAGCTAGGATTACAGGCGTGAGCCACCAGCACCCAGTGGTTTAGTTATTTTTTTCAAACAAATGTCTCATGTTTTTTTTTGCCTGGAGCTGCCTCAGACTATATGATCTACGTATGGCTCCCCTGTAACCTTGTGTGTTTGTTGAGATGGGATCTCCCTAAATTTTTGCCAGAGCTGGACATTAACTGTGAGATCGCTTAAGTAGTTGGGATTACAAGCATGAGTTACAATATCTGGCCTTGGTTATTATTTACATACATAACAAATATGTTTACTGGTCAATCTCACCATAGATAAAACCCAGTACCCAGACAAGTGCTCTACTGCTGAGTTATAACCCGGCTCTTCACATTCCTTTTGCTCTAGACTTTTTTCCAGTTCAGCCCTGAGGGCATCCTTGACAGAGGGCTTAGTGGGGGTTATACACAGATGAGTAAGACATGGATTATTTCCTGCAAAAGCCCTCAATCTGTGAATATGCCTTTTATTTATTTATTTTTGTTTTGTTTTTGGGTCCGGTCGTGGGGCCTGAACTCTGGGCCTGGGTGCTGTCCCTCAGCTCTTCAGCTCAAGGCTAGCACTCTACCACTTGAGCCACAGCACCACTTCCGGCTTTTTTCTTTCTGCTTATGTGGTGCTGAGGAATCGAACCCAGGGCCTCAGGCATGCAAAGCAAGCGCTCTACCACTGAGCCAACTTCCCAGCCCCGTGAATATGCCTTTTAAACAGAAGGCTGTGACTCCAGCCACTGGTGCTGTTGGAAGGCTTCTGGTTACAGGGATGTGTGTGTTCCTGAAGAGGTTTTGGATCCTGATTTTTTTGATTCTTCCTCTCCCCACCACCCACTTTTTTTTTTTTGCCCATCCTGGGACTTGAACTCAGGGCTGAGGCGCTATCCCTGAGCTTCTTTTGCTCAAGGCTAGCGCTCTACCACTTGAGCCACAGTGCCACTTTCGGCCTTTTCTGTGTATGTGGTGCTGAGGAATTGAACCCAGGGCTTCTTGCATGCTAGGCAAGCTCTCTACCACTGAGCCACATTCCCAGCCCAAGGTTCTTCCTGTTTTGGTGCTGGCCACGAGGTAAACAAATATCCTCAGTCATGAGCTACCAGAATGCATAGAGACAATAGGGCCAGCTAACCATGGACATAAACCCTTCTTTTTTTCTTTTTTAGTGGTTTAAGGCTGAATACAGGGCCTTGTATAACTATATCTCCAGCCCAAATCTTTCCTCCTTTTAAGTTGGTTTATTTCCAGTATTTGTCCAGAAAATAAACAACAAATCAAAACTAAAGTGGAGCTATGGCTCAAGTGGTACAGTGTTAGCCTTGAGCAAAAACAATCTTAGGGATAGTGCCACACACATACCCACACACAAATTATTCATGTTGATAAGTTCTCTGAGAAGATGCTTGTGATTCTTCTGCTCAATACGTAAGGAAAAAAGTCCAGAACATGAGGGTTTGTGTGTACTTACAGTAAGCTGATTTTCAGATTGGCGATGTTATTGGCAGTGGTAAAACCTGCATCACTGAGGGTTTCCCATTTCAGTATTAAATTATGCCAATCAGCTGCATTGTCCTTAATTTTTCTTGCACTGACTGATAAGTCAGGTTTTCTGGGAGTTGTAGTTTCAGGAGTTTTTGCTGATAGGGAGTAAGAGAAACATAATATGGAATGAGTGATTACAGTTGGAAGGTAAACACTCTTTTCTTTTTTTTTTGGTGCTGGTCCTGGGGCTTGAACTCAGGACCTGGGCACTGTCCTTGAGTTTTTTTGCTTAAGGCTAGCACCCTGTCACTTGAGCCACAGCACCACTTCCAGCTTTATGGTGATTAGCTGGAGATAAGAATCTCATGGAGGGGGCTGGGAAGGTAGCCCAGCGGTAGAGTGCATGCCTTGCAAGCATGAGGCCCTGGGTTCGATTCCTCAGCACCGCATAAACAGAAAAAGCCGGAAATGGCGCTGTGGCTCCAGTGGTAGAGCTCTAGCCTTAAGCTGAAGAGCTGAGAGACAGCGCTCAGACCCAGAGTTCAGGCCCCATGACCGGCAAAAAAAAAAAAAAAAAAAAAAAAAAATCTCATGGACTTTCAGTTTCCTTAGTAGCTAGGATGGTATGAGCCACCAGCACCTAGCAGTAAATGTCCTTTTGACTTTCAATAGCACAATGATCTGAAATGCTACATCACTGGACAAATAACTTCATACAAACTAAGAGGACTTTCCCAGTTTCACAGTTCCATAAAGTCTTTGCCTTTAGAGGCTGGAGATGAGGCACACTTTCTGCTGAAGTTCCTGTTTTCTTTTTTTTTTTTGGTTGGTCATGGACTCTGGGCCTGGGCACTGTCCCTCAGCTCTTCAGCTCAAGGCTAGTGCTCTACCACTTGAGCCACAGTGCCACTTCCAGCTTTTTCTACTTATGTGGCTGAGGAATTGAACCCAGGGCCTCACACATGCAAGGCAAGCGCTCTACCACTGAGTCACCTTCCCAGCCCTGGAGTTCCTGTTTTCTTTCCACAGGATAAGCCAGCCTTGAGGCTTAGCACTCTCCTCTCTAGTCTTAGGCACTCTGACACTTGTTCAGTCTCGTGGCTCACAGGCAACTCATCATGCCAGAATGCCTAGAGGGTGCCAGGGAGCCAGACCTGACCTCGACTAGGCTGTCACTGACCTGCAAGAGTCCCATCTCCTCCATCAGTACATCTCTGCCTCAGTACTTTTCTCAACCCTCATCTCCTGCTCCTCCATGTGCAGCTAAAATGAGCTACTTGGAAGCACTTGAAAGAGCTTTGGCACATTCAATTTTCTCTGAAAGTTTCTTCCTTCCTCAGGCTAGTGCTATTGATCATCTCTCAAGACTCACCCAGATCCCAGTGGAAGTGCTCTCTAGACCAAGGATGAACTCAGATTATCTGTCCTCCTCTAGACCCTCTTGTGCCCTCCCATCTCTACTCAGAACCCTTACAAAGGCTTGTCGGAGCCCTTGAGGAGTTCCTAGGTCACACAATAGATATATGCTTTTGAGTCTAAACTCTGAAGACTAAGCTGCCTAGGTCCGAATTCCAGCTCTGCCAGCTGTGAGGTCAGGGCTTAGCTAACCTCTATGTTCTCATCTGTTAAGTGAGGATATAAATAGGATCTGCTTCCTAGGGTTGTTAAGAGTAGACATGTGCTCATCCCTTTTCCAGGGTGGTTTTCTCCCACTTAATACAGTGATTTTGAACTCAAGGCCCTATACTCCTCCCCCACACTCTAAATAACAGAGTGGCTTTTTTTGTTGCCGTTGCCAGACCTGGAACTTGAACTTGGGGCTTGGGGACTGTCCCTGAGCTTCTTTTATGTTCAAGGCTAGCACTCTACCACTTGAGCCACAGTGCCACTTCCGGTTTTCTGAGTGGTTTACTGGAGATGAGAGTCTCACGGACTTTCCTGCCCCGGCTGGCTTTGAACCGCGATCCTCAGATCTCAGCTTCCTGAGTAGCTAGGATGACGGACGTGAGCCACCGGCGCCCAGCTGTTCACTCATTCTTTAAACAATAAATATGTTTTCTGGTTGCCTATTTATTATCCTCTGCACATGAGAGAGAAGTAATTAAATGAGGGAGACCAGGACTGCCTCCACGGAACTTAGTTTCCAAAGGAGAGGCAGATCAAGAAGTTCGGACTTACTCTAAAAACAAGTGAGAGTGAGCAATAGGAATGAGCTTTGAGTCGAGCGGTGACAGGACTGGATTAGGTTTCTGGAAAGTCAAGAACAAGTCTGCCTGGATCCCGCCAGCTGGGAGAGGCCTTGCTGCGCCGGATCCCTGACGTGATTCCCCAGTGAGGTGAGGAACGCACGGGGTCACGGCGAGACGCGAACGCGGTTCCGCGTCAGGTTCGTAGACGCTCCTCGGTCAGCGCGAGCCCTGGGCGCGACAGCGTGACAGCTTTCATTACAGGCGGCGCGCGCCGCCGGTAACGCTGGCCGAGGGGGCGGCAAGGGCTCACGGCGGCAGGCCCGGGCACCCGGAGCTGTGTGCGGCCCGGGCACCCGGAGCTGTGTGCGGCCCGGGCACCCGGAGCTGTGTGCGGCCCGGGCACCCGGAGCTGTGTGCGGCCCGGGCACCCGGAGCCTGCGTGCGGCCCGGGCACCCGGAGCTGTGTGCGGCCCGGCGGCCCCCTCGGCCGTCACCGGCCTTCACTCCGCACGTGAAGGAGGCCGAGCCTGGGTATAACTGGTTCCCGCGCAGGCTGCGGAGCTCGTGCGGGGCCAGCGGGTTGAGCTGGAGCCCAACACGACCACAGTGGTCCGGGGAGTTGCTCCGAGGCTCAAACCGCTAAGAGGGGCAACCATAGTCGCAGCCACCCCGCCGAGAAAAGCGAATCCCACCTGACCCACCTCCGGAAGCGTCCGCAGCCATCCCGGGAAGCAGGCCGAAGCCCCGCCCCCGCCGGAAGCTGCGTCACTTCCGCCCCACCGGCTGACACTTGTGGAGGCGCCGCTCCAACCCCCCACAGTCAGCTGTCGCTCCCGGGGGCGGTACCCGTTGCCTAGGGAACGGGCTCCCGGCAGCCCCCGCGGCCCCGCGTCCATCCCGCCTCCTCGGGCCCGGCGGGGCCGACGAGTCCGGAGGGGCCGCTGCGGGAGGTGAGTCTGGCACCCCCCCCCCGGCCCCGCGCCCTCCCCGCCGCCCCCCCGCCTCTCTCCCCGCCTTCGCCCACGAGGGTCCCCGCCGCCCTCCGGGCCCGCCGCCTCCCCTCAGTGGTGGGACCCAAGGCCACCGCTCGCCGAGAGCCTGCCGGAGCCGGTGGTCGGCCGCGGGGAGCCGGAGGCCTTCGGCGGGGGTCCGGGTCCGCCGCCGCCGAGCGCCCTGCGGCCCGCCCGCGCCTCCTCTCCCGGCCCCCCCGCGGCATCCCGCCGGCACGCGCTCCGGGCGCCTCAGCCCCGGTCCAGACGGCGCCGTCCGCCCCCGACCCCCGCCGCCCGGCCCGACCCCCAGCGGCGGGCCCGTAGGCGCGCGCCGAGCGGACGCGCGAGCGGCCCCTGTGCTCCGTGGGAGCTGAAGGATGGTACCCTCGGCCGGAGCCGGGGCCGGTCGCGGCGCCCACCTTCCCGCGGAGCGGGAGAAGGCGCCCGCCGCCTCGCGAGCTGGCGTCGTCGTCACCGAAGTGCGCACGGCCGCAGCTTCTGCCTCGGGGGAGGAGGGAGGATTAAATGGGTCACGCTGTGTATTGCGTGCGGCGCCGAGCCTCCGGCAGCCCCAGGGACGGCTGTCGTCCCTACCCCTGGGCTCCCGGCTCTAGTCCCTTAAGTCTCGTCACCTACCTTCCTTGCCGTCCTCTTCCCCGATCTTTGTTCTTCCTGTCTTTTTCAATGAGATTTAGGAATTTTCTTCTCTTCTGTCGTCTCTGTTCTACTTGGTAGAATGTGGGGTACTGGCGTAGGTATTCCCCTTTTCCACCCACTGGGGTACTGTACCCTTGCAGCAAGATCTTAGAAACTTTCAAGGAAGGGAGTTCTGGGAAACCTCCAAACCCAGATTCCAGGCATCGGCAGCGAGTCCTGGGACTGCCAAGCTGCAAGACTTTTTATAATGTAGTGCACATTGATACACTTTTTTATTTTTTGGTTACCTGACTTAACATCCTGTGTATTTATTCAGCAGGTATTTACTTGGGGCCCCTTGTATGCTAGCCACTGTGCCAAGTCCTAGGCATGCTGTGGTTTGCCCTGCAGAGCCAGCTGTCAGAAAGATTATAGTCTGGTTTTGGATCTTTCAAGCCAAAGACTCCTGTGGAGGGAACACTGCTAAGGTTTTCAGGACTGGTTTGGAAGCCAGGGGTGGGGAAGCTGGAATAAATAGTATAGCCTTCTCCAGGAAGGGCTGGTGAGAAGCTCTTTGTAGGTGTAAGTTATTTTGTAGCCATATTGTCTTTTCTTCTTCTTGTTGTCCTAGGGCCCGAACTCTGGGCCTGGGCGCTGTCCCTCTGCTCTTCAGCTCATGGTGAGCACTCTACCACTTGAGTCACAGCGCCACTTAAAACCTTTTCTGCTTACGTGGTGTTGAGGAATTGAACTCAGGGCCTCATGCATGCAAGGCAAGCACTCTGCCACTGAGCCACCTTGGAAGACTGGCCCTTACTGCACTTTGTTTTCACAGTTTTTCACAGAGAAGTTATATGTCAGGTTTGAAGGGGATCTCATGTCATTATCAGTCTCCATTTAATTTTAGCAAAATGGCTGCTGGAACTTGGAAGTCTGCATCAGGCAGAACAATTAATTGAACTTGGAAAGATGAAGAACAGATCAGGAAATGGTCATACACAACATGAAATAGGCTTTGATGGCAGTTATGGAGGGTGTATATGTGTGTGTGTGTGTGTCTGTCTGTCTGACTTTCTTTGTCTGCTTATCTGCCTACCTCTGCATGTTTGTTGATACTGGGGCTTGAATTCAGCATGGTTGCTGTCTCTTAATTTTTTTCAAGGCTAGTGCTCTACCCCTTGAGCCACATCTCCACTTCTGGCTTGTAGGTGGTTAATTGGAGAGAAGAGTCTCACATCCTTTCCCGCCTGGGCTCACTTTGATCCATGATCCTCAGATCTCAGCCTCCAGAGTAGTTAGGATTACAGATGGAGCTACTGGACATAAAAGTTTTGGAAATTCCATCTCATCCAGTGACTGGGCACTGTGGTCAGAGCTGTCATCCCCAATGACATGGGGAAGCACAAATAGGAGGACCAGAGCCCAGGCTGGCCTTGGCATAAAGTGATTCTACCTAAGCTGGGTACCAGTGGCTCGTGCCTGTAATCTTGGCTACTCAGGAGGCTGAGATCTAAAGATTACAGTTCGAAGCTAGCCTAGGAAGGAAAGCCCTTTGTTCATCAAAAGCTGGAAGTAGTAGAGCTGTAGTTTAAGTGGTAGAGTGCCAGCTTTGAGCAACACAATTAAGCAACTTCCAATGAGTGCCCAGGCCCTGCCTTCAAGCCCCAGGACTGACACCAAAAACAAGAACAAAAATAAAATGAGCCTACTTCACAAATAACTAAAGTATAAAAAGGCCAAAGACATGGATGGCCCAACTGCAGAGCTCTTGCCTGGCAAGCAATCAGGAGGTGGGCTCAACTTTTTTTTTTTTCCCAGTCCTGGTGCTTAAACTCAGGGCCTGGGCACTGTTGCTGAGCTGCTTTTGCTCAAGGCTAACACTCTACCACTTGAGCCACAGCACCACTTCCGGCTTTTTCGGTGTATGTGGTACTGAGGAATGGAACTCAGGGCTTCGTGCATGCTAGGCAAGCGCTGTACCACCTAGCCACATTCCCAGGCCTGGGGTCAACTTTTAGTACCACTAACAAACAAATAAATAAATGATGCGTTTGGATTGAGAGTGTTCTTTGTTGTTTTTTTGTTTGTTTTTGGTTGGTCATGGGGCTTGAACTCTGGGCGTGGGCCCTGTCCCTGCAGTCTTCAGCTCAAGGCGAGCGCTCTACCACTTGAGCCATAGCGCCACTTCCGGTTTTCTAGTGGTTTATTGGAAATAAGAGTCTCATGGACTTTTCTGCCTGGGCTGGCTTTGAACCGTGATCCTCAGATCTCAGCCTCCTGAGTAGCTAGGATTACAGGTGTGAGCCACCGGCGACCAGCAAGAGAGTGTTATTTTCCAGTGAAACCTGAGGTTGGTATTTTAGTTTGCTTATTCACTCAATAGCTCTTTTATGGGGCCTTGCTCCTGCTAGGCAGGTACTCTACTTTGGCCAGACTCCCACTCTTTTTGCTTTATCTTCCAGCAAAGTTCTCGTGTTCTTTTTTTCCTGGGATCAGCATCAGATCACGGTCTTCCTACCTATGTCTCTTACATAGCTGGAATCCTAGGCACATGCTGTCACACTCAGCTTATAGTGCAGATGAGAGAGCCGTGTCCAGTGAGGCTCCATGGAGTTGATGAGAAAGGGCAGAGGTGAGGTGGATTTGGAAGGAGAATTTCTGGGACAGGAAGATGGGTGGTATAGGTTAAAGGAATGGAGGAATCAAGTGTGTGTGCCAGGCTGGGCGCCGGTGGCTCATGCCTTTAATCCTAGCTACTCAGAAGGCTGAGATCTGGGGATTGCCGTTCAAAGCCAGCCTGGGCAAGAAAAGCCATGGGACTCTTATCTCCAATAGACCACTCAGAAAACTGGAAGTGGTGCTGTGGCTCAAGTGGTAGAGCGCTAGCCTTGAGCTGAAGAGCTGAGGGACAGTGAGCAGGCCCAGAGTTCAAGCTGCACAACCGAAAAAAGAAAAAAAAGAATGAGTGCCAGAACTTTAGCTTGGAGAAGCGATACAAAAGTTGGTTATTCTGTTTCCTGTGGTGGATTTGTGACAGTTTTTAATCCCTTCTGTGCTTTTTCTTTGTGCATTTGGAAGTTGCTTTGGCAGTATTTCAGTTTTCCAAGAAGACAGTTCTAGGGATCCTGTTTTTCTATAATATCTATTAAAACATTTCTAAGCCACAAAACACATGTCTTATCTCGGAATAGAATACCTGCTGTGCAAATGCAGGGTCTAGGCAAATTTCCCCCCTGGCCTTTTAGTGAGATATTAGTTTCAAAGCCCCTCCTGTGTAGAGATTATAAAGTTGTCAGTGAACCATATTGATTCAAGTAAATGAATTATGAATTTTTGGAAACTAAATGTCTTGATTTGACTGAGTTGTTTTAGGACAAAGTTTTTTTTATTTTTATTTATGTCGGTTGTGGGGCTTGAACTCAGGGGCTGGGTGCTGTCCCGAGCTTTTTTGCTTAAGAATAGCTCCCTGTTACTTTGAGCCACAGTACCACTTCCAGTTTTCTGGTGGTTAATTGGAGATACGAGCCTTATGGGGACTTTTCTGCTCAGGCTGGCTTCAGCCCGTGATCTTCAGATCTTAGCCTCCTGATTAGCTAGGATTACAGGCATGAGCTACTGGCACTATCCTGCTTTGGCCTGGTACTTTTGATCTTTCTTAACTAAGTGCTGGAATTACAGGCTTGGCCTCCAGGAAGAAAATACTTTAAAAGAGGAAATAACACTGATGTTGTAAAATACCTGGTACTTCCACCAACCATTGCAAAGTTCAGCTATGCTTTGAGTGTGTCCACCAGAATTCACATATTGGACACTTAGTCCTTCAGGTCTTATGCTAATTGTATTTGGAGGTGGGACCTTTGAGAGGAAGTTAGGATTGGATGAGCTCATGGGGACCCCATGATGGTATTACTGGCTTCATGAACAGGAAGGAAAACCTGAAGTAAGCTGGCCACCAGTGGCTCATGCCTGTAATCCTAGCTACCTAAGAGATCGGTCTGAGGACTGGAGTTTGAAGCCAGCCGGGGCAGAAAAGTCTGTGAGACTCTTATCTCTAATAAACTAGTCAGAAAAAGCTGGAAGTGGTGCTGTGGCTCAAGTAGTAGAGTGCTAGCCTTTAGCATAAAAGAAGTCAGGGCCAATGCCCAGGCCCTGAGTTCAAGCTCCAGGACTGGTGCGTGTGCATGTTACTATACACATGTGGGCACACGTGCACACGCATACACACACACACACACACACACACACACGAGAAAAATAAAAAAAACCTGACGTGATGTATCACACTTGTTTTACTTACCTTCTGATGCATTGCATGGCCTTGAGGCTTTTCAGAGTCTGCACCAGCAAGGAAAAATTCATCAGATTTGCCACCTGACCTTGAGCTTTTCTGCCTTTGAAGCTGTGAGCTTCTGTATAGATCACTGCATGTTATTTATTTATAGCAATAGCAAATGGACTAAGACAAGTGGTTAGTAGAGATAAAATGTCGAGTGTGTGAAGACCAGTAGGTGAGGGAAGGAGGTTATTACAGTTAGAAGTAGTTCACTGTGGTGGGAAGGGGTTAACTTACAGATCCTAGGGCTGAAGAGGGGCAGTCAAGGCCCATCACAAGGGCATGGGCAGGAAGTGGGAGGTAGGCAGATGGTAGTGTCATAGAATGTGTAAGAGAAGGACTGCGGGGTGCATGCCAGGTGTATGAGGGAGTAAAATGGTCAGGTTTGGCTGAATGGACAGAGGAAAAGGAAAGGGGCCCTTGTTATGGTTCGGACAGGGTGGTTCAAACAGCTTTGTAAAAGTTATAAGGTTAAGTGTCTTCTAGACATTGCCTATTTATTCTGTGTAATGCACCTGTGATGTAGGTTTTTTGGTGGGTTTATTTTTTATTTTTTGCCAGTCCTGGGGCTTGAACTCAGGGCCTGGGCACTGTCCCTGAGCTTCTTTTGGTCAAGGCTAGCACTCTGCCACTTGAGCCACAGCACCGATGCTGGCTTTTTCTGTTCATGTGGTACTGAGGAATCAAACATGCTAAGCATGCTAAGCAAGCACTGTACCACTAAGCCACATTCCCAACCCAGGTACCAGTTTTTTGTGTTTTTTTTTTTTGTCGGTCGTGGGGCTTGAACTCTGGGCCTGGGCACTGTCCCTCAGGCTCTTCAGCTCAAGGCGAGCGCTCTACCACTTGAGCTACAGCGCCACTTCCCGTTTTCTGGTGGTTTATTGGAGATAAGAGTCTCACGGTCTCTCCTGCCCGGGCTGGCTTTGAAGCACGATCCTCAGATCTCAGCCTCCTGAGTAGCTAGGATTACAGGCGTGAGCCACCAGCGCCCAGCTCCAGGTGCCAGTTTTATTACCCTCATTTTCAGTGGGTGAATGGAGATCTAGACAGATAGTTTTAGAATATCATTGGGATTTGAGCACAGGTCTATTTTACACAACTGTCGCTAACTTTTTTATTATTGTAAAGGTAACATATAGAGGGTTACAGTTAGATAAATCAGGTAAAGAAGACATTTTTTTTTTAAAACAATGTCACCCCTTCCCTCACTCTCCCAGTTTTTCCTTCCCATCCTCACCTGCAAATCACATAATTCATTTTTTATTTTTATTTACTTATTTATTTTTGGGTCCGGTTGTGGGGCCTGAACTCTGGGCCCGGGCGCTTTCCCTCAGCTCTTCAGCTCAAGGCTAGCGCTCTACCACTTGAGCCACAGCGCCACTTCCGGCTTTTTTCTTTTTGCTTATGTGGTGCTGAGGAATTGAACCTAGGGCCTCAGGCATGCAAGGGAAGCGCTCTACCACTGAGCCACCTCCCCCCCCCCCCCCCCCCCCCCCCCCCCCGCACATAATTCATTTTTAACACAGTGTCTAGGAAGTACCATTGCTACATTTTTTTTAACCTTTGTCCCTCCATTTCTGTGCCTCCCCTTACCCTCCCAAAGACAGATAATGAACAAACATGACGAAAAGAACAAAAAGAGCAACAAAGGAAAAACTTCTTGTTTCTATTTCCAGCAGTTCATTTCCCACTGTCATTATTAACCACTATGCTGCTTTTCTACAGTGGGAAGAGGCAGGGTTTTTTTGTTTTTATTTTTGGTTGTTGTTGTTGTTTTTCAGTTGTGGGGCTTGAACTCAGGGCCGTTTGCTATCTCTGAGCTCTCTACCACTTTGAGGCACACTGTACTTCCAGTTGTTGTTTTTTTTTTTGGGGGGGTCCAGTTGTGGGGCCTGAACTCTGGGCCTGGGCGCTGTCCCTCAGCTCTTCAGCTCAGGGCTAGCGCTCTACCACTTGAGCCACAGCGCCACTTCCGGCTTTTTGTTTATGTGGTGCTGTGGAATCGAACCCAGGGCCTCAGGCATGCACGGCAAGCACTCTACCACTGAGCCACCTTCCCAGCCCTGTACTTCTAGTTTTTGAGTAGTTAATTAGAAATAAGAGTATCATAGGAACTTTTCTGCCCAGGCTGGCCTCGAACCACCATCTTCAGATCTAGTCCTCCTGAGTGCTAGAATTGCAGGTATGAGCCACCAGCCTCCTGGCTCGAAAGGGCAGTTTTATGGCAGAGAGTCTGGACCTGGCTAGAGCAGTGTAGAGTATCTGGGCTATTTTAAATCGGGCAATGTGAGCACAAAATGCACTAATAGGAAAGTTTGTTGTCCAAATATTTTTTCCAGCCACGCTTGGGTAATCACACATGTAATTAATTAATCAATCCTAGCTACTCAGGAGGCTGAGATCTGAGGATCCCAGTTCAAAGCCAGCTGGGGCAGGAAAGTCTGTGAGACTCTTTTTTTTTTTTTTTTTGGGTCCGGTCGTGGGGCCTGAACTCTGGACCTGGGTGCTGTCCCTCAGCTCTTTAGCTCAAGGCTAGCGCTCTACCACTTGAGCCACACAGCGCCACTTCCGGCTTTTTTCTTATGTGGTGCTGAGGAATCGAACCCAGGGCCTCTAGCATGCAAGGCAAGCGCTCTACCACTGAGCCACCTTCCCAGCCCCTCTGTGAGACTCTTATCCCCAATTAACCACCAAAAAGCCAGAAGTGGAGCTGTGGCTCAAGTGATAGAGTGCTAGTTTTTTTGTTTGTTTTTTGTTTTGGGGTCCAGTTGTGGGTCCTGAACTCTAGGCCTGGGCGCTGTTCCTCAGCTCTTCAGCTCAAGGCTAGTACTCTACCACTTGAGCCACAACACCACTTCCGGCTTTTTTCTTTTTGCTTATGTGGTGCTGAGGAATCAAACCTAGGGCCTCAGGCATGCAAGGCAAGCGCTCTACCACTGAGCCACCTTCCCAGTCCCTAGTGCTAGGTTTTGTGTGTGTGTGTGTGTGTGTGTGTGTGTGTGTGTGTGTGTGTGTGTGTTTTCTGGTCATACACTTGAACTTGGGGCCTGAGAGCTCTATCCCTTAGCTCTTTTACTCAAGGCTACTACTCTACCTCTTTGAGCCACTGCACCACTTACGATTTTCTGGTGGCTAATGAGGTAAGAGTCTCATGGACTTTGTTGACTGGGCTGGCTTTGAACCGAAACCCTCAGATCTCAGCCTCTTGAGTAGCTAGGATTATAGGCATGAGCTACCAGCACCCAGCCAAGTGCTAGTTTTGACCACAAAAGCTCAAAGACAAGGCCAGGTGCTGGTGGCTTATGCCTGTAATCCTAGCTACTCAGGAGACTGAGATCTGAAGATTGCCGTTCAAAGCCAACCCAGGCAACACAGTTCATGAGACTCTTATTTTGAATAAACCACTAGAAAACCAGAAGTGGTGCTGTGGCTCAAGTGGTAGAGCGCTAGCCTTGAGCTGAAGAGCTGAGAGACAGCGCTCAGGCCCAGAGTTCAAGTCCCCCAACTGAAGTTCAAAGACAGTACCAGGCCCAGACTTCAATCCTGAATACTACCAAAAAATAAACTTTTGATCTTTGTCTCTTGATGGACTGTGCTCTCACAGTCCAGATTGCTTGTTTGCTTGCTTCCCTCTTCCCTTCCTCTCTTTCTTTGTTTAGTACTGGAGATAAGAAGCTCATGGACTTTCCTACTCAGGCTGGCTTTGAACCATGATCCTCAGTTCTCAGCCTCCTGAGTAGCGAGGATTGCAGGTGTGAGCCACCTGTACTTAGCTAATTAAGTTCATTAATAATCAACTGAGTGATACGGGTATTTGCTTGGCTTTAGGAAGTTTCTCTTTCATAGATTTTTACTTTGCATTGGTGGTTGTGACTATTCTGAAAATGCTTGGAAAACTGGATCTTACTCTGTTTGCTAGCCTTTGGTTGGGCTGTCATGAACAAAAGGTGGTATTGTGGCTCTTTTTGATTCGTGTCACTCATTCTTTCCCCAAACAGATTCCTCTTCCATTATCTACCTACCTATCCAATGCAGACTCACCCAATGCCTCTCACACACTAGCCCTTTTTCAGGTGCTGGGCTAAGGGGATGGGTAGGGTGGGTGTGGCCTCTGCTCCTGTGGGGTTTACTGATTGTGTGTGGGAGGGTGGGTGTACGCCTGTGTGTAGGTACACATGCATGAACAGGAAAGCAGGGCGCTATGGGAGAAGCAAAGCAGCCATTGTGTTAGTGCTTTCCTGGGGTGGGTAAAGTCAGACAAGACTTTGGGGCCTGAGGCCCTTCTTCAGCAAAAGATACACGGTGCCTAGAGAAAGCACTCCAAGCAGCCAGTGCAAGGACCCTAGGTGAAAACGAGGTGGGAGAATTTAATCAGAAGGATCGTTAAGTCCCTTGGTCAGCTATATAGAAAAGGTCCACAGATCAAAAAGACTATAAATCCAGTGTCCTAAAAAATTTCTACTACAGACATAAAGGGTTAAAATCCCTCCAGATTGAATCAGGTGATTATCCATCAGTACTGTATCCAAGGATCTAGGCCTTGGAGGGAATGGCCTATATTCAAGTCTTGGCTGTATGGTCTCTTGTTGGATTTCATGATTTTCTGGTCCTCAGTACTGGGGGTGATACCACCTTATTTTCCAGATAGGGCAAGGATTAAAGGAGCAAGTAAGCGCTTGCTTAAACGCAGTGTGCCGGGCAAAGGTAAAGTGTCTTGCTTCGGGAAGCCTGGTATCACACATGCACAGGGGTATGGGGGCCCTCAGGGGGCCCATGTGGGAAGTGCTGGGTGACTGGACTCTGAACACTGAGGCAGCCGTGAGTAGTAGGGGACCGGCTTCTTCACCATTTCATTACCACAGGAAGCACATTTCTGCATCTGGGGTGGGTTCACTGTCTGCTTATATGCAAGAACTTTTCTCTTTCTCTTCCATATGCTGTGCAACCTGGTGGGCTTCATACCTCAGGATGTTTCCAGTGAAGTCTTCCACACTCACATTAATCCATGCTGATCTCTCCCTCTTCTCATCAAGACCCGAGGAGTAACGTGTAATTATTGGTGATTTTGTATTTCTTTATTGTGTTACCTGACTGGCTGACAAGATCATGAGAAAGACTGTTAAACTTTTCCTCCTCTTCCATACTATTTACAACATAAATCTTAGGTGCTGGTACTTTCCGAAGTGCTTTTTGAATTAAAATGCTCTAAAGTGATCTTTAGTAGCTGCTAATTTACCTTTCCTTCCTCCGTTCCTTCCTTCCCCATCCTGGGGCTTGAACTTAGGGCCTAGACACTGTCCCTGAGCCTCTTTGTGTTCAAGACTAACGTTCCACCTCTTTGAGCCACAGCACCACTTCCAGCATTTTGGTGGTTAATTGGAGATAAGAGTCTCACAGACTTTCCTGCCCAGGCTGGCTTTGAACTGTGATCCTTGGATCTCAGCCTCCTGAGTAGCTAGGATTATAGGTGTGAACCACCAGTGCCCAGCTTTCTTTCTTTCTTTAAGCTGTAATTCTTCCCTGCCTGAAAATTCCATATTCCACTGTTTTCTTTCTTTTTGGAAGTACTGGGGTTTGAATACTGCCTCTCACTTGCTAGGCAAGTGTTCTGCCATACCAGCTATGCCCTATCCCCCATGTTCCACCATTAAACACTACTTCTTTTTGACATGACTAGCCATTCAGTATAATATAATAATCCTTATTATGACATATTTATTTATATATGTACATATATGATACTGTTTCTTATTCTGTAGCCCCAGGTTCTCCTCCATGAGGAATAAACATTCCTTTCCCTGCCTGAAGACCATCTGTGGAAACCTTGGTCATGGCATCCATGTCAGAGCCTGTTACGTTCAGAGAGTTCTGCCCTTTATACTATCTCCTCAATGCCATTCCCACAAAGATCCAGAAGGGTTTCCGCTCTATTGTGGTCTACCTCACAGCCCTGGATACCAATGGGGACTACATTGCGGTGGGCAGCAGCATCGGCATGCTATATCTGTACTGCCGGCACCTCAACCAAATGAAAAAGTACAACTTTGAGGTGAGTTGCTCTTCTTTGAGTCTTAGCACGCCTGAACGATGCTTGAGGGTTAGCACATTTGTGTTCTAGAAAAGGGTAATTTACTTCTGAGTTTCTACATACAATATAGCTTCATCCCTCACCCAAACAATGCTTCTAAACCATTTTTAACTAAGTAGAATACAACAAGTAAAGTCATTGGTGTTTTCAATGTTTTTTCTGTGTCTCAAAAAATCCTATTGCTTTACAACATTTTTGGGTTTTTTTGGGTCAGTTGTGGGCTTTGGCACTCTCCCTCAGCTCTTCAGCTCAAGGCAAGTGCTCTACCGCTTGAGCCACAGTGCCACTTCTGGTTTTCTGGTGGTTTATTAGAGATAAGAGTCTCACGGACTTTTTTGTCCAGGCTGGCTTTGAACTACGATCCTCAGATCTCAGCCTCCTGAGTAGCTAGGCTGACAGGTAGGTGTGAGCCACCAACGCCTGGCTACTTTACAACATTTTATAGTATTTAACACTTACTAGAAAACTTTAGAAATAGATATGTTTGTTAACTTATGTTTCTTAAAGTGCCTTGATTAACTTGAGTGATGTCTAGATACTGCCTTGAAATTATTATTATTTTTGTCGTGAGGCCTGAACTCTGGGTCTGGGTGCTGTCCCTGAGCTCTTCAGCTCAAGGCTAGTGCTCTACCACTTGAGCCACAGCGCCACTTCCAGCTTTTTCTGCTTATGTGGTGCTGTGGAATTGAACCCGGGCCTCATGCATCCAAGGCAAGCATTCTACCACTGAGCTATCTTCCCAGCCCTGTCTTGAAATTGTTATAAAAATAATTATATTGGCAAATTGCCAGATTATGCACATCTGAAATAAGTTTTATTTCTATAGCACAGATAACCTGACCAATTGTTTTATGCCCTAACTCTGGTGTCTTTGTATTGTAGATGATGCTAGGGATGTTTTATAGTGGGGGAATGGCTGGTACCAGGTACTGATAAACCATAATTTACCCATTTTGTTTATTGAGTACATAGTTTATCTTCTGATAAATCCATACATGAAAGATTATATATAAATATGCACATGTATATACATATATGTATATGTATATATATGCACATATATGCATAGTTATTATAAAGGTGATGTACAGCCGGGCGCCGGTGGCTCATGCCTGTAATCCTAGCTACGCAAGAGGCTAAGATCTGAGGATCGAGGTTCAAAGCCAGCCCAGGCAGGAAAGTCCATGAGACTCCAATAAACTACTAGAAAACCGGAAGTGGCGCTGTGGCTCAAGCTGAAGAGCTGAGGGACAGCACCCAAGCCCAGAGTTCAAGCCCTACAACTGACCAAAAAAAAAAAAAGTGACGTACAGAGGGATTACAGTTACATTAGGAGGCTGGGAAGGTGGCTCAGTGGTAGAGCGCTTGCCTTGCATGCCTGAGGCCTTGGGTTCGATTCCTCAGCACCATCTAAGCAAAAAGAAAAAAGCCGGAAGTGGCGCTGTGGCTCAAGTGGTAGAGTGCTAGCCTTGAGCTGAAGAGCTGAGGGACAGTGCCCAGGCCCAGAGTTCAGGCCCCACAACCAGACCCTCCCCTCCCCCCCAAAAAAAAAAATACAGTTTCATTAGTTAGGTAAAGAATACATTTCATTTTATACAGTGTTACCCCTTCCCTTGTTCTCTCCCTGTTTTTCTCTCCTATCCCTACCCACAAGTTTTATAGTTCATTTTCAACATAGTGTCTAGTGACTACTAGTGACTACCACTGCTGCATTTGTTCACCCTTTGTCTCTCCGTGTCTGTGTCTCCACCTATATATTTTTAACAACAACAACAACAATCCCATGTTTCCATTTCCTGGAGTTTGTTTCAGTTCACACACACATACACACACATTTCTTTTCTTTTTTGCCAGTCCTGTGCCTTGAACTCTGGGCTGGGATGCTGTCCCTGAGCTTCTTTTTGCTCAAGGCAAGCACTCTACCACTTTAGCCACAGTGCCACTTCCGGCTTGTTTTTGTTTTTGAGTAGTTCATTGGAGATAAGAGTTTCACAGAGGCTGAGCACTGGTGGCTCATGCCTATAATCCAAGCTACTCAGGAGGCTGGGATCTGAGGGTCACAGTTCAAAGCCAGCCTGGGCAGGAAAGTCCATGAGACTCTTACCTCTAATTAACCACCAGAAATCTAGAAGTAATGCTGTGGCTTGAGTGGTAGAGCACTTGCTGTGGGCTGAATTGCTGAGGGACAATGCCCAGAGTTCAAGCCCCATGACCTACCAAAAAAGAAGTCTCAGTTTTCTACCCGGGCTGGCTTCGAACAATGATCCTTAGTTCTCACCCTCCTGATTAACTAGGATTAAAGGCATGAACCTCCAGTGCCCAGCCAATGAGTAGTATTTTAAATGTTCAGAGACAGATTCACTTTTGTGCTGAAAGATCATAAGTAATCCAGGCACTGGTGGCTCATGGTCCAGTGTTAGAGCACTAGCCTTGCACACAAAAACTCAGGGACAATGCCCAGGCTCTGAAGTTCAAGCCCCAGGACTGGCTCCAAAAATAAAAAATAAAGAAGAAGAAAGCTGACCTTTCATGTGGTAAAATAGTCTGGCATGTGCTTTTAAGAACAGTGCTTTTGAAGGAAGCTTCCTTCTTTAGAAGTTAGTGGGAGAAGTCAGGTAGAAGCACAAGAAATTCTTCCTAGCAACTGCCAAGTCACAAAAAAAAAAAGGTACAAAAATATTATAAGCTTGTGAAGTATATGGCTGGAACATGTGTGAGCACGGACCATAAAAAGATTACTTGACTGAAGTTTCTAATTTTTGTTTTGAAACTAGCTTTTTTTTGGGGGGGGGGGGTCCGGTCGTGGGGCCTGAACTCTGGGCCTGGGCGCTGTCCCTCAGCTCTTCAGCTCAAGGCTAGCGTTCTACCACTTGAGCCACAGCGCCACTTCCAGCTTTTTTCTTTTTTTTTTGCTTATGGGGTGCTGAGGAATTGAACCCACGGCCTCAAGCATGCAAGGCAAGCGCTCTACCACTGAGCCACCTTCCCAGCCCCTTGTTTTGAAACTAAATGTATGCTATCTTTTAGTATTCAGTCACTGAAATTCCATGGGTTTGCCTTCAGGACTAACTGCATGTGTCGTGTGCTGATCACAGCAGACTGCTGGTGGAAAACGCTGCTTTTCATCTCTGCAGCCTCTCCCTGTGAATCCTTCAGCAAGCATTCATGGAGTGCTCTGGGTGTTCCTGGCCTATGACAAGTCCTGAAGCTGGAGTTGAGAGCGCAGTAGGCAGTCTCTATCCTTGAGCTTAAATCTAATGAACGAACCAGTAAAATAAGTAAGAGAAGTTAACATACAGAAACATAAACAAGGCATAGGAGAATAAAGCAGTGAGTGAGCTAGGCAGTGCCAAGAGGGATGGTTGCAAAGTCCAGGAAAGGTCCAGCAGGGAAGGTCGCACTGGAACAAAGAACTGATGGAGGAAGAACCGTCATGCTGTGCTGATCTAACTGAGGTAGCGGATTTCCATAGGAGAACAGAAGGGTCCTGAGCTTGGGTAGTGTCTACGCAAAAAGGTAATGCTGCTGGGTGTCGGTGGCTCACACCTGTAATCCTAGCTACTGAGGAGGCTGAGATCAGAGGATCACCGTCCAAAGCCAACCTGGGCAGGAAAGTCTGTGAGACTCTTATCTCCAATAAACTACTCAGAAAACCAGAAGTGGCACCGTGGCTCAAGTGCTAGAGTGCTCTCCTTGAGCTGAAGAGCTGAGGGACAGCGCCCAGGCCGAGTTCAAGCCCCACGTCCAACAACAACAACAAAAAGTAATGCTTCAGAATGGCATGTGTGTCTCATTGGCTTAAATCTATTGCATTTTCTAAAGTGATGTAGAAATGAGTTTTTATCTCACCTGTGAACCCAAGGCACAATTACCTAATGCCTTTCCTTGGCTTTTCTTGTGGAAGTAACCACCAGGTTACTTCCCAATGAGTGTCATGGGACAATTGGATATAAATATCAGTGGAAAAGTGAAACTGGATCCCTTGTCTCATTTCATCTAGTTAGCAGAGGCTGAGACACAGCTCAGTAATGGAGCACTTGCTTTGCATGCTTTGGAAACTGGGTTTAACTCCTAGCGCCACCGAAAGGAAGAAAAAGGGGAGAGGAAGATGGGGAGGAGAAGAGAAAGATTGTAACGTTGTCACTTTACTGCCAGGACTTGTACAGACTGGCATGCTCTATTCCCCTTATTCAGTTCCTCTGCTGTGTGGGCCCTTAAACTCCAGGTTTCATTCTTGACTCCATTTTGCTGTGGAGTTAGGAAAATTATTTCAGGAAAGTAGATTCCTTTGTATAATGTTGAGTTCATCAGCAGACTGTATAAATATTCAGTCTTCCTTGGGAAAGAAGAAAATTAGCAAAACAATCTATGAATTCTTAGTCTTTACAAATATTTCAGATTTAGTAGTTATTTAGAATGCTAGCAGTTGGCTGATGATTAAGCTTTGGCCTACCAAAAGAAACTCGTGAAGAAAGCTTTGTCAGACTTCATGGTTCTCATGAATATACTCACAAAGAGCACATTGTCCTGATGTGGTTGTGTTCTGCGTAGAAAGGAAAAGTGGACTGCCAAGGTGCCTAAGCAGGTAGCCGATGCCAGTCCTGACACCTTTCAAGGCAGGACTTTTTTAGGTTGACAGCTATAATCTTAACCACTCAGAAGTCTGCAATCTGAAGTTAAAGGTTCAAAGTCAACCTAGGCAGGGAAATCCATGAGACTCTACCCATCCATCCCTATCCCTGACTTACAGAAGTGAAGGTGCTCTAGTAGTAGAGCATCAGCCTTGAGCATAACGGCTCAGGGACAGTGCCCAAGCCTTGAGTTCAAGTCCCAGTACTCACACACACACATACTTACTTCCTCAAAATTTCTGCTTGAGGAAATTTTGTTGTTATCAGGAGGGCAGCAGCACATTCCCCTTAGAGAGTTAGAAATGAAGGAAGAAGCCAAGGGAAACACAATAGATGAGATCCTTGACAGGCAAAGTCATCCTAAAGGGTCATCGTATGGGTATGTCTCCCAGCCAGACTAAGATGGGACTGTCCCCCTATCAGAAGAGAGTATAGCAGAGGAGAGTGAGGACGGTCTGTGTTACATAGGAAGACTTAGCACCAGCATGGACCTCCTGAGCAGCAGGGCGACTTCCAAGTGCTCTGACCCCGATGTGCTCTGTGCCCGGGCTGGTGTGCTGTGCTCTGTGCACAGTAACCTCTCACCTCCTCTCACAGCTTTTGGGATGTTCTTTGCTTTCTATGTTGATTGGTCAATGAGGAAAGCACATATAGGCCAGACCTCTTGAGTGTTCTGGTTTTTATGACCAGTACTTCATGGTAAAATTAACAAGTTGGCTTTTTGGCTTCACGTCAGCCTACTTTTTGTAGACATAAAACCTCTTCTCAGGATGGCCAAATAGACACATGAAGAAATGCTCAGCCTCTCTAGCCATAAAAGAAGTGCAAATCAAAACAACATTGAGATACTACCTCACCCCAGTTGGAATGGCTATAATCAAGAACTCTACTAACAACAGATGCTGGAGGGGATGTGGACAGAAGGGAACCTTACTGCATTGTTGGTGGGAGTGTAAACTTGTTCAACCACTTTGGAAAGTAGTATGGAGGTTCCGCAAAAGACTCCACATAGAGCTCCCCCACTTTTGGGCATTTACCCAAATGTTCACAAACAAGACCACACTAAAGCTACCAGCACAACTATGTTTATTGCAGCCTTATTTACCATAGCTAAGATATGGAACCAACCCAGATGCCCCTCAGTAGATGAATGGATCAAGAAAATGTGGTATATATACACAATGGAATTCTATGCCTCCATCAGAAAGAATGACATTGCCCCATTTGTTAGGAAATGGAAAGACTTGGAAAAAATTATATTAAGTGAAGTAAGCCAGGCCCAAGGAAACATAGGTCCCATGGCTTCCCTTATTTGCAATAACTAGTATATATCTGAGTCAATCAGAAAAGGTCAGATATGTTGATGTTCGGGAAATGTACCCTAAGATATGTATTCAAATGTTTTTTTCTTTCATGCGATTGTTTCTAACACATAAGATTATTTCTTTGGGGCTGGGAAGGTGGCTCAGTGGTAGAGCACTTGCCTTGCATGCATGAGGCCCTGGGTTCGATTCCTCAGCACCACATAAGCAGAAAAAAAAAAAAAAAAAAAAAGCTGGAAGTGGCACTGTGGCTCAAGTGGTAGAGCGCTAGCCTTGAGCTGAAGAGCTGAGGGACAGTGCCCAGGCCTAGAGTTCAGGCCCCACGACCAGACCAAAAAAAAAAAAAACAAGATTATTTCTTTGTTGCTTTGTATGTCCCTCCCCCACAGTATAACGCCTGCTTTCACTGTATTTGATGTTATAATTTGTGGTGGGGAAGGGAAAAAAACAAATCGTTTAAATAGGGATACAAGTGGCCCCATTGCAACAATGAGATACACAAGTCATTATGTCCAAAATGAACTTTACAACTTTGGTGGCAGGGGTGGGGGAGTAGGGAGGGTTGGGGGGAGGAGTTGGGGGGGACAGGGGAGGATGGGATGGGAAGGGGAAACAAAGGAGGAGGCTACAATGCTTGATAAGAAATGTACTCATTATCTTGCCCATGTAATTGTAACCCCTCTGTGCAGTATTTTCACAATAATAATAATAAAAAAAGATTTTCAAAAAAAAAAACCCTCTTTTCTAGGCTGATGAATAGCAAGACACTTAAAATCACGGAGTGTGTAGGTCAGGATAGTTGAGGGCCAGACCTGTAACAGGCACATGGTACAGGGTTTGGAGGCATGGCTCAGTTGGTAGACCGACCGCTAGCCAATGAGTGAAAACGGCAGGTATTGAGTTTAAGTTTGAGTCCCGGTCTTGGACCTAAAGGAAAAGAAGAGAAAAGCAATGATTCGCATGTACATGTGTGGGAGCTATAATGCTAAAAGCAGAGAATGTTTAATCCTAAAATGAAGAGTGTGGTTTTCAGTAGGACCATGCAGTCAGGAAGAGGCATATGGAGCCTCAAAGGTGATGTAAATGATCCCTTTCCCAAGCTAGATGGGGATCTATAGATGCCTATTTTGTAACTCCAGGCTGTTCATGTGCTATAAGTAGCCATGTATGTGATAGTCAGGAACCAGTGGCTCACACCTTTTATCCTAGCTACGTAATAGGCTTATGTACGAGGATTACAGTTCAAAGCCAGCCTGGGAAGGTTGGTCTGTGAGACTCTTAATCTAATTAACCAGTAAAAAGTCAGAATTGGAGTTTGGCTCAAGTGCTTGAGTGCTAGCCTTGAGCACAAAATCTCAGGGACAGCACCTAGGCCCTGAGTTCAAGCCCTAGGACCTCCGTGAAAGAAAAGAAAGAGATGGCTTTAAAGCAAAACACGTGTGTGTGTGTGTGTGTGTGTGTGTGTGTGTGTGTGTGTGTGTGTGTGTGTGTGTGTGTGTGTGTGTGTGTGTGTGTGTGTGTGTGTGTGTGTGTGTGTGTGTGTGTGTGTGTGTGTGTGTGTGTGTGTGTGTGTGTCAGTTGTGGGGCTTGAACTCTGGGCTTGGGTGCTGTCCCTGCACTCTTCAGCCCAAGGCCTGTACTCTACTGCCTGAACCACAGCACCAATTTCAGTTTTCTAGTGGTTAATTGGAGATAAGAGTTTCATGGACTTTCCTGCCCGGGCTGGCTTTGAACCATGAGTCTCAGATCTCAACCTGAATAGCTAGGATTTACAGGTGTGAGCCACCAGCACCCAGCCTAAGACAAACACTTTTGATGTTGGTACTGAGGCTTGAACTCAGGGCCTGTTTTTCCTTGACTTTTTTACTTGAGGTTGGTGCTCTAACTGAACTACACCTCCACTTCTGGCTTTTTTTTTTTCCTGGTTAGTTGGAGATAAAAGTCTCATAGATTTTATGCCTTGGGTTGGCTACAAACTCTGATCCTCAGATCCCAGCCCTCAGAGTAGGTAGGACTACAGGCCTGAGCCAGAAACAACCTAGCCTTAGAATAGTTCCTTACTATTAATAGTAATAATTAACCCCTTACTAACCAATAATAATCTAAACTATTGTAACTTTTAGTATGCTGCTTCTTATTATGAATATCAGAAACATCTGACTGGTAACACTAGCAAGATCCCTCTCCTCTATCTTACAGCTTAAGGACCAAACCTCTTAACTATCCCAATATGACAGTGGATGTATTTATAGCTTATGAAGATGCCCTGGAAGCTGCAGAGTTCCAGATGAAAGTTAGCTCTGTCATCACCACCTCCTCTTGTTGTGGGCGGCTTTTCCTGTGCATGCCTCATTGCTGCAGCTAAGCGAATTTCAGAGAGCCAGGACTATGGCCTGCTTTAGTTTGCATAGCTATAACACTACACTTGATATGGAGAGTGTGGAGGGTATTCCTACATATTTGGTAGACTATATAAATTACTGTATCAGAATATAAAGTGTCATACATCTTAGCAAGGTCAAAGCAGTTGTGCAGAATCTGACTTTCTAAATTATTAGTAGTCCAAACATTGTTTTAAACAATAGCAAGAAAATTGCAAGGCCTACCGAGAAACATGGAAGTACGCCCCATTCAAAGGGAATCAGTAGACCAACAGAAATGACCATTCAGCCAGCTCCTGTGATCCTCGCTGCTTAGGAAGCTGAGGTCTGAGAATCGCAGTCTGAAGCCAGCCAGGGTAGGAAAGTCTTTGAGACTCTTACTTCCAAATAACCAGCAAAAATGCTGGAAGTGGAGCTGTGGCTCAAGTGGTAGAATGCTAGTCTTTAGCAAAAGAAGCTCAGGGATAGCACAGACCCTGATTTGAAGCCCCGGGACCAGCAAACACACACACACAAAGAAAATCAGATGGTGAACCTACTATTTAAAACAAGTCTTAAAAATATGCTTAAAAAACAAAAGGATGATGTAGAGAAGAGCAAGAAAAATTTCAAAAAGGGTAAGTATCAAGCCAGGCGCTAGTAGTTCAAGCCTGTAATCCTAGCTACTCAGAAGGCTGAGATCTGAGGTTTGCAGTTCAGAGCCAAACTTGGCAGGAAAGTCTGTGAGACTCTTACTTCCAATTAATCATCAGAAAACTGGAAGTGGCACTGTGGCTCAAGTGGTAGAGTGCTCGCCTTGAGCTGAAAAGCTGAGGGACAACACCTAGGCCCAGAGTTCAAGCCTCACCAACGGACAAGAAAAACAAAAACAAAGAGTCTTACGGATTTTCCTGCTTGGTCTGGTTTAACCCATGATCCTCAGATCTTAGCCTCCTGAGTAGCTGGGATTACAGGCACGAGCCACCAGTGCCCCACTATTTATTGCCTGTCCTGGGACTTGAACTCAGGGCCTAGACTCTTGCTCAAGGCTAGCACTCAGTCACTTGAGCCACAGTGCCACTTCTGGCTTTTTCTGTTTATGTGGTACTGAGGAATCAAACCTAGGGCTTCCTGCATATGAGACAAGCACTCTACCACTAAGCCACATTCCCAGCACCTTCTGTTTATTTTATTTTATCTTATTTTATTTTTTGTTGTTTGTGGGGCCTGAACTCTGGGCCTAGGCGCTGTCCCTCAGCTCTTCAGCTCAAGGCTAGCACTCTACTACTTGAGTCACAGCGCTGCTTCCAGCTTTTTCTGCTTATGTGGTGCTGAGGAATGGAACCCAGGGCCTCATGCATGCAAGGCAAGCACTCTACCACTGAGCCACCTTCCCAGCCCTTCTGTTTATTTTAATATAAGAAAAAATATCTTATTTTCCTATCAAGGAAAATAAGATTTTAAGAGGTTTACATGTCTTTCTGGCTTGAATACATTTCCAACAGGAACATATGGGCTGCAGCTAAATACATCTATAGACTCCTTTGGTTATGCCTTCCTTGCTGTGTATTTTAAATGCTGTCTGCTCACAGGTCTCTTTGTTTTCCACATTTCCTCTTTCAGGGGAAGACGGAGTCTATCACCGTGGTGAAGCTGCTGAGCTGCTTTGATGACCTGGTGGCAGCTGGCACCGCCTCAGGGCGGGTGGCGATTTTTCAACTTGTATCTTCATTGCCTGGGAGAAATAAACAAGTGGGTACTCAGACTATTAGTATGTCTTCACTTTGTGGCAAATTCCTCAGGGATTTTAAAAATGAGAAGTCCTCATCTGCATAGAAAACTTATTCTGAGCAGAACGCTGTGCTGTTTATAATAACTGGATAACATTTCTGTTCCTGCGTGGCATAAAGCACATAGGAATATTTTCAAGTTTGCCTAATACCCTCTTGCTATGTTCTTTTATTTTTGGGTCCGGTCGTGGGGCCTGAACTCTGCATCTTGCTGTGTTCTTAGGAGGTTTGTCCTGTTCTTTATTTTTTTTGTGGTACTGTGGTTTGAAATTAGGGCCTTTCTCTTACTAGGTAGGCATGTTACTGCTTGGGCCACACCCTCAGCACTTTCGTCTTTAGCTATTTTTCAAATAGGGGTCTTGAATTTATTACTGGGCCACCCTTGGACATCGATCCTCCTATTTATACTTCTGGCATAGCCAGGGTGACAGGTACTTTTGTTTGTTGTTTGAGACAGGATCTTGCTATGTAGCCCAGGTTGGACTCCTGGTTTTCCTGCATTAGCCTCCTGAGTGCAGGGATTACATGAGTACACCACTAAGCCCCACGTCTCTGAGTTTTCAGTATGAACAGACAGACATTGCCTTGTACAGGATTCGGTATGGAAGACTAGCTCTCCATAAATAAGTGATGTCCACATAGCCCCAGTTACTGCATAATCCTCTTCCTTGTGTGTTTTTATTGTTTATTCATAGCTTCGGAGATTTGATGTCACTGGTTTTCACAAGCATAGCATCACAGCTCTGGCTTGGAGCCCCAATGGAATGAAGTTATTTTCGGGAGATGACAAAGGGAAAATTGTTTATTCTTCTCTGGACCTAGATCAGGTAAAATTACTTTCAGAAATATTGTTGGCTATTTTTATTTTTATTTATTATTTCTTTTGCTAGTTGTGGGGCCTGAACTCTGGGCCTGGGAACTGTCCCTCAGCTCTTCAGCTCAAGGCTAGTACTCTACCACTTGAGCCACAGCACCATTGCTGGCTTTTTCTGCGTATGTGGTGCTGAGGAATGGAACCCAGAGCCTCAGGCATGCAAGGCAAGCACTTTACCACTGAGCCACCTTCCCAGCCCCTGGCTATTTTTATATTAGAAATGATGATATTCCAAATTATATTTTAGCTAGATGGCTATATTCCTGACTATAGTCCCTTTTTATTGTCACTAGATATTCATGGGCTTTTCCAGTATTTTGTAAGGTCTTACTTCTGTGACTGAAAAATTAGCCTGCTGGAACGTTCACTTCTTCAGTGTTATTATTTTTGTGCCTGTTCTGGGGCTTGAACTCGGGGTCTGGGCACCATCCCTGAGCTCTTCTGCTTAAGGCTAGTGCTCTACCACTTTGAGCCACACCACCACTTCTGGTTTTCTGGTGATTAATTGGAGATAAGAGTGTCATGGACTTTTCTGCCCCAGCTGGCTTCAAACCATGATCCTCGGATCGCAGCCTCTTGAGTAGCTAGGATTCTGGAGTTGAGCCACCAGTGCCTGGCCCTTAAGGAATTTGTTACATTATTTAATCCTCAAACAGTGCTTGGAGCTGCTTAGCAACCAGCCCAGGGGCACAAGCTCAGGCCTGGCAGATTCACTTTGAATTGAAGTTCAGCTCCAAAGCTTATTCCTTTCCTACTGTCAGTAGGGATTTAGAATTGCTTATGGGTTTGTTTGGTTTGGTTTGGTTTGGTTGTGTGCCAGCTAGCTGCACTAAACACTTGATCTTTCCTTTTCTCATTTGTAGTCTTCATTGGCAATGTTAGAGTCTAAGAATTTATCAGTTTTTAGCTGAATGGCTTTCATTTCACTCTCTATGGTGTAAGATTGAATCTTTGTCAGATACTCTCTAGCAGTAGTTCTTTCTGCTCTCAAGACCTCTTATATTCTTTTTTTTTTTTTGGGTCCGGTCATGGGGCCTGAACTCTGGGCCTGGGCGCTGTCCCTCAGCTCTTCAGCTCAAGGCTAGCACTCTACCACTTGAGCCACTTCCGGCTTTTTTCTTTTTGCTTATGTGGTGCTGAGGAATCGAACCCAGGGCCTCAGGCATGCAAGGCAAGTGCTCTACCACTGAGCCACCTTCCCAGCCCAAGACCTCTTATATTCTTAAAAAGACACTCCAGAGAATTTTTGTTTGTATGGGTTATATCTTACCAACTATACCATGTTAGAAACGTAAAAGTATTGATTTTTGAAATAATAAATTTGTTATATGTTACCATAAATAACATCTTTGTGAAAGTAACTATAATTTCAAAACAAATGACAAGAGTGGATTTTTTTTGTTTGGTCCTGGGGCTTGATCTCCTCTGGGCTTGGATGCTGTCACTGCACTCTTCAGCTCAAGGCAAGCACTCTACCAGTTGAGCCGCAGCGCCACTTCCGGTTTTCTGGTGATTTATTGGAGATGGGTCTCACAGACTTTCCTGCCCAGGCTGGCTTTTAACCATGATCCTCAGAGCTCAGCCTCCTGAGTAGCTAGGATTACAGGAGTGAGCCACCAGCACCTGGCAAGAGTGGAATTTTATATTTTATAAATTTTATATTTTACAAATTGCTTTTTTTTTTTTTTGGTCATTTTTGTGGAGCTTAAACTTGGGGCCTAGGCACTGTCCCTAAGCTCTAATACTCATAGTGTAATTTATTTCTGCTTAAATCTTTACAGATTTTGCTTCTTTGAAGTATTTACTAAAAACCTTTTTTAAATTATTTCATTTTATATATTTTTTGTTGTTATAGAGCAGTAAATCTTTTTTTTTTTTGTCGTGGGGCTTGAACTCTGGGCTTGGGCGCTGTCCCTGAGCTCTTCAGCTCAAGGTGAGCGCTCTACCTCTTGAGCCACAACACCACTTATTTTTTGTTACAATGGTGATGTACAGAGAGGTTACAGTTATATAAGTTAGGTAAAGAGTACATTTATTTATTTTATTTTATTTTTTTAATTGTAAAAATACCGTACAGAGGGTTTACAATTACCTGGGCAAGGTAATGAGTACATTTCTTTTTCTTTTCTTTTTCTTTTTTTTTGGGTCCGGTCGTGGGGCCTGAACTCTGGGCTTGGGCGCTATCCCTCAGCTCAAGGTGAGCGCTCTACCACTAGCCACAGCACCACTTCCTGCTTTTTCTTTTTGTTTATGTGGTGCTGAGGAATGGAACCCAGGGCCTCATGCATGCCAGGCGAGCGCTCACCACTGAGCCACCTTCCCAGCCCCTTGTCCCTCCATTTCTGTGCCTCCTGCTCCACTCCCAAAGACAGATAAATAAACAGAACAAAAAGAAAAGGAAATGAAAACAGGAGAAAAAAAGTCTCTCTCCATTTCCTGCAGTTCATTTCCATAAGTATCGTTTTGTATGGTCAGACACACATAGGAACTCAGGGTCCCCTGTGTACTAACCAAGCACTGGACCACGTAGCGTGCCAGTGCCTCTAGCCCATTGTCCAGTTTTTGTTGTTGTTTTTTTGTAGTTCGTGGGGCCTGAACTCTGGGCCTGGGCGCTGTCCCTCAGCTCTTTAGCTCAAGGCTAGCGCTCTACCACTTGAGCCACAGCGCTGCTTCCAGCTTTTTCTGCTTATGTGGTGCTGAGGAATCGAACCCAGGGCCACCTGCATGCAAGGCAAACACTCTACCCCTGAGCCACCTTCCCAGCCCTAGCCATTGTCTTTAAACTTCTTTTTTTGTCTTTTCTTTTTTGTTGCTGGGATTGAACCCAGGACTCTGCAGTTGTTTGGCAGCGCTCTACCACTGAGCTACATCCCAGTCCTCTAGCCCACTTTTTTTTTTTTGGGGGGGGGGTCCGGTCGTGGGGCCTGAACTCTGGGCCTGGGCGCTGTCCTTCAGCTCTTCAGCTCAACGCTAGTGCTCTACCACTTGAACCACAGCGCCACTTCTGGCTTTTTTCTTATGTGGTGCTGAGGAATCGAACCCAGGGCCTCGAGCATGCAAGGCAAGTGCTCTACCACTGAGCCACCTTCCCAGCCCCTCTAGCCCACTTTTTTATGCTGTTTGAGGTAGGCTCTCACTTCCTACCCAGGTGCTTGCCTTGACCACAGTCCACCTATTTTATGCTTCCTGGAATAGCAAACACAATACACAGATCCTTTTGTTGAAGTGCAGTCTCCCAGATTTTTCTGCCCAGGCTAACCTAGAACTATTATCCTCCTGACGGAGCCTTCCATATCCACTGATCACTAGACATAGATGACAAGTTCATGTCAGGGCATCCAACTGTTAGTTGAGAACTTTTCTGCCAGACTGGCCCTGAACTGTGATCCTCCCAACCTTAGCCTCCCAGTATAGCTAGAATTACAGGCATGAGTCACTAGTGTCAACTTACTGAGAACATGTTAAGAAAAATTAAACAATCTTTTAGGTGTTTGTTTCTCTTTTTCGCTTTTTTGTTTTTTGGGGGGTACCTGGGCAGTACTAGGGTTTGAACTCAGGGCCTCTCACTTACTAGCAAGCACTAGCACTAGAACTACCAACCCAGCTCTTTTTTGCTTGTTTTTCGGTCTGTCGTGGGGCTTGAACTCTGGGCTTGGGCTCTATCCCTCAGCTCTTCAGCTCAAGACGAGCACTCTACCACTTGAGCCACAGCACCACTTCCGGTTTTCTAGTGGTTTATTGGAGATAACAGTCGCACGAATTTTCCTGCCCGGGCTGGCTTTGAACTATGATCCTCAGATCTCAGCCTTCTGAGTAGCTAGGATTCCAGGCGTGAGCCACCGGTGCCCGGCCTTCAGCTCTTATTTTATTCACATTTACTGCTGGACTAGCACCTACTGCAGTCCTGCTTCCGTCTCTCAAGTAGCTGGGACGTGCACACGAGGCACCTTGATATGGGCTTGCTCTGTTGCCCAGGCTCACCTCTCTGTCTCTGCTTCCTGAGATTACAGGTGTCCTCCATCATGCTTGGCTTAAATGTTTGTTTCCAAGTGATATGGCATGAGGTAGATGTTAACATTTACTATTATTAATAAGGACTTTTCCAAATTGTATTGCAGTAGGTTGACACTGAATCTAAAGAAATCAAAACAGCTGGGCGCTGGTGGCTCACGCCTGTAATCCTAGCTACTCAGGAGGCTGAGATCTGAGGATCGCGGTTCAAAGCCAGCCCGGGCAAGAGAGACTGTGAGACTCCTATCTCCAATAAACCACCAGAAAACCGGAAGTGGCGCTGTAGCTCAAGTGGTAGAGCGCTCGCCTTGAGCTGAAGAGCTGAGGGACAGTGCCCAGGCCCAGAGTTCAGGCCCCACGACTGACAAAAAAAAAAAAAAAGAAATCAAAACATACTTGCTTTTGGGCGGTGCTTGAGCTAGACCTCAGGGCCTTGGCTTGCTCGGCAGGGGTTCCACCACACAACATTGACCCCAGGTCTCACTGATTCTCACAGGGGATCTGCAACTCACACTTGGTATTGGAAGAACCATCCTCCATTGTACAGCTGGATTACAGCCAGAAGGTGCTGCTTGTTTCTACCTTGCAGAGAAGTCTGCTCTTCTACACAGAAGAAAAGTCTGTCAAACAGGTTGGAACTCAACCAAGGAAAAGGTACATTTCATAAAGACTTTTTTGCTCTCAGTGTTGGGCCTTGTCACAGAAGTGGCCCTAGGGGCTGGGAAGGTGGCTCAGTGGTAGAGCGCTTGCCTTGCATGCAGTTGGCCCTGGGTTCGATTCCTCAGCACCACATAAGCAAAAAGAAAAAAGCCGGAAGTGGCGCTGTGGCTCAAGTGGTAGAGTACTAGCGTTGAGCTGAAGAGCTGAGGGACAGCGCCCAGGCCCAGAGTTCAGACCCCACGACCGGACCCAAAAAAAAAAAAGAAGTGGCACTAAATTCTAGCCTTTCTGTGTGCCAGCTGTGGACACACCCACTCTGTCCTGGAATTGCCGGTGGCCTGTGCTTGCTTAGACACCTCCTGGGATGCTCTGATTAAGGAGCTGAGCCCCTCCACCTCAGGGTGCTGTGCCCAGCTCTGGTGTGGCCGGCACAGCCCGGGACTCAGTTATAGAGCACCTCGTTGCACAGATGCCCACGTGCTCGTGCCGTGGCAGCCTGGGTGTGCTCTCCACCAAGCCAGCCTTGGCACGGCCAGGTAGCAGAGCAGTGTGAGCCATCTATGCTGGCTGATAGTTGTCCTGCCAGGAGCAAGCACCGCCCTGCACGCAAGTGGCAGCAGCCAGGAAGGGGCCAGTCCCAGCTGAGAGAGCCCCTCCTGTGGTAACCAAAGGCCTGAACTCCTACCACCATACCAGCTGAATGGCAGATGGAGTGCGTGTGTGACTTGCATTCTCCACCCTCATCCCAACCTGAAGCACTCTGCAGCCAGCTTGTGTGGGATAGGTGAGGAAAGGGGAGCAGAGCAGTGAAGCTAGTGAGAAGAAGGGGAAGGAGCCCAGATGGGCACGGGGGACGGGGACGCTGGCACAGGCTGGTTGTCAGCTGGCTGGTGGGAGTGGAAGGAGCTTACGTGTCTGTCTCTCTGTTCCTCTCAAGCAAGGGGCACTGCTGCCTGCAGAGAACCAGAGAGGTTGGCAGTGGGCCAACCAATAGGACATGGTTTGAGGCAGGCTCTGTGGAGACTGGGGAGAGAGGCAGCCTGTGAGCGTCCCCGGGCCTGGTGATGCCGTCGGTGTCGGCTGGAAGGCTTGGGTGAAGTCAGGCGAGTGCAGCCGGCTGCTGCAGGCACACTTGTAGGCCACTCTTCTGTACCCTGCTTTGCAGACACACAGTAGAAGTCTGTTCTCTTCGCACTGTGGGCCTTTAGCTCTTAAAAGATCCTCTTGGGCTGGGAATGTGGCTTAGTGGTAGAGTGCTTGCCTTGAATGCCTGAAACCTGGGTTCAGTTCCTCAGTACCACATACACAGAGAAAGCTAGAAGTGGCGCTGTGGTTCAAGTGGTAGAGGGCTAGCCTTGAGCAAAAGAAGTTCAGGGACAGCGCCTAGGCCTTGAGTTCAAGCCCCAAGACAGGCCAAAAAAAAAGGAAAGAAAAGGGGCTGGGGGTTTAGCCCAGTGGAAGGGCGCCCGCCCGGCGTGCAAGGCCCTAGCTTCGATCCTCAGCCCTGAGGGGGGGGGGGGGGGGAACTACAAAAAGGAAAGAAAAGATCCTCTAATACTCCCCTTCGCCTTCCATTTAATTCTACCAGATACCAGACTGGCCTTTTCATGACCAGAATCTTCATGTTGGCCCTGGAAACCTCAGCGGGGTTTGCACTCTGGTTGTTGCAGTCTGGGGGTTTCATAAAAGTGAATTCTGACTCTCTGTAGCATGTAGCACTCTTCCCATAACCCTGGCATTAGGTCCTGGCTCACCTACTGGTGCTTTCCTGTGTCTCAGGAAAGCGGGGTCTAAAGAGAGTTAAACGCTAATTAGTTAAGTTGGACACCGGTGGCTCATGCCTGTAATCCTAGCTACTCAGGAGACTGAGATCTGAGGGTCTCTGTTCAAATCTATCTCCAGCAGGAAAGTCCATGAGACTCTTACTTCCAATTAATCACCAGAAAACTGGAAGTGGCCCTGTAGCTCAAGTGGTAGAGCATTCACCTTGAACTGAGTCGCTGAGGGACAGCCCCAAGACCCAGAGTTCAAGCTCCAGGACCAGCATGCACACATACACATTCATACACAGCTAGTTAGCTTTTTGGTTTGTTTTTTTTTTTTGGTCAGTTGTGGGGCCTAAACTCTAGGCCTCAGTTCTTCAGCTCAAGGCTAGCACTCTACCATTTGAGCTAAAGGGACACAGGCTTTTTCTGCTTATGTGGTACTGAGGAATTGAACCTAGGGCCTCATGCATGCGAGGCAAGCACTCAACCATTGGGCCACCTTCCCAGCCAGAGCTAGTTAGTTTTGTGTAGATCCTTTACCTAGCTGCCGCTCAGACCTAGCCTTCAGCTGTGTGGAGACCTAGGCAATTTTAATGGTGAACCTCTTGAGGGTGTTGTTTGGTCAAGGTCTTTTGGCAGCATTGACTAAAAGTATACTCTGCCAGGGACGGCCTGGATACAGAAATAAGTGAATGTGTCTTCTTTCTTAGAGGGAAGAAGCTTAACGCAGTAGAGGCAGTGCAGGATAAACTCAAGGGCTGTTTCGCTGTCAATGGTAATTTGAAAGGACAGAGATGAAAGCTGAGAATCCCTTTCCAGTGGCTTCTTTATTCCAGCATGGTGGGCAGTCACAAAAGGGGACAGGTGTGGTGGCTTTGCTGGGACGCTAAGGGGGCTCCAGGTGGACCAGAGGAAGGGGCGGGGCTCATGGGTGGAGCTGACTTGATTGGAAAAAGCAAAGGAGGCAATGGTTGCCCTGCTAGAACTCTCTGGGCACCTCTGTCTAGAGGATTTCTCCAGAACAAACCCACCAAAGGCAGTCATCAGACCCCAGCATCCTATTAGATGTGTGCAGGAAAGCTCTTTGCTACCAGAACATTCTTGGCTAGTTTCTGGAGCTTTATTCCAGAGCCAGAGCTGATATATGATATCCTCCTCAGATTTAGTTACCTAAGCACCAAGGGGCCTAGTGGGACATTGACATGTAGAGCCCCACCCCTAAACACCTCTAACTTCCTGTGAGGCCCTGGGGGGTGGGCCCAAGTGGCAGTGGGGATGGTGGATGATGAGCATGCCGTGGGGAATCCACGCGATACAGCAGCCCCTCTGCAGGGACCTGGAGTGTCACAGCACTGCTGGTGGTCTTTATGTAGACTCTCCATTTCATCTGCAGCCTCCGTGACAGAGCCTGACACTAACACAGTTTAGCAGGCAGGATCTGCACACACCTCACACTTCTTAAATGTCAGAGTGTATATCGAGCCCAGGCCTTACTCTAAAGCCAATGCTTTATCTACTGTCTATAACTCAAGAAATATTTCAGAGAATAACAAAGTTTAGGATTGAGCAGAAATGCTTAAATTTAAAGTAGAATTCTCTGCATTGACAAAGATGTGAAACTGTGAGGAGTCACATAGCCAGGAAGTAGAGACTGGTATCAACACATTGAAGAAAGTTTGTGATTGCTTTTTTTCTCCTTTTTTCTTTTTTCTGTTAGTTGTGGGGCTTGAACTCAGGGCCTTGGTGCTCTCCCTGAGCTTTTCTTTTTCTTTTTCTTTTCTTTTTTTGTCGGTCATGAGGCTTGAACTCTGGGCCTGGGCGCTGTCCCTCAGCTCTTCAGCTCAAGGCGAGCGCTCTGCCACTTGAGCTACAGTGCCACTTCCGGTTTTCTAGTGGTTTATTGGAGATAGGAGTCTCACGGTCTTTCCTGCCCGGGCTGGCTTTGAGCCACGATTCTCAGATCTCAGCCTCCTGAGTAGCTAGGATTACAGGCGTGAGCCACCGGCGCCCAGCTCTCCCTGAGCTTTTCTGCTCCAGGTTAGCACTCTACCACTTTTGAGTTTGAGCCATAATGCCACTTCCTGTTTTCCGGTGGCTTATTGAAGATAAGAGTCTCATGGACTTCCCTGCCCGGGCTGGCTTTGAAGCACGATCCTCAGATCTCAGCCTCCTGAGTAGCTAGGATTACAGGTGTGAGCCACCGACACCCGGCTTCAAAAACTTTTTGCCTGGATTGTCTTTGAACCATAGTTCTCCTGATCTCTGCCTCTCAAGTAGCTGGGATTACAGACGTGAATCTAATGCAGTTGCCTTTTAAACTTGCATCAACTCTTACACAACAGTACAGTAGTTCTACTCGACAGATTCTTAGGCCCACACATGAAGAAGTGAAAGAAGTAATAACTCAGGTACCCACTAACAAGAGTGAATAAATTGTGGAATATAACAATCAAAAGTGCAGTCAATGCTGATGGCTCTCACCTGTAATCCTAGCTATTCAGGAATCTGAGATCTGAGGATCTTAGCTCAACCAACTGGGTCAGAAAAGCCCAAGAGATGCTTATCTCCAATGAACCAGCAAAAAGCCACAACTAGAGGCATAAGTCAGGTTGTAGAAGGCCATTTATAAGCCAGAAAGCTGAGAGAGAGAGTGCAAGGCCCAATACTGGAACAAACACAAAAGAGTGAGTGCTAGAGCTTCTTTTTTGTCCTGGTACTGTAGCTTGAAATCAGAATCTGGGCATTGTCCCTAAGTTCTTTTGCTCAAGGCAGCACTCTACTACTTGAACCACAGCTTTACTTCTGGCATTTTGTGGCTAGTTGGAGATAAGAATCACACACACTTTCCTGCCCAAGATGGCAGTGAACCATGATCCCCAGTTCTCTTAAGTAGCTAGGATTATAGGCATGAGCCACTGGTGCCTGGCTACACCTTTTTATCAAGGATAAGTCTTGGAACTTTAATGTTAAGTGAAAAAAGGTTTCAAAAGTATACATATGGCATCATACTATTTTTTAAATAAAAATGAGAGACAATACTAAATTATTTAGGGTTTGGGAGCATACAGATGTGTGAATAGATTATCAGGAAAGGCAAGAAAATCTGACACAGTTCAGTTCAGTAATCACTGCCCAGGACCATGGGGGAAGGTAGCAGGAGCACCGAGTGGGTCTGTGGTGCGGCTGCTGTCCTGAGTTGGAAGAAGCGTTTCTGGGTGGGTGGGTGGCCCACTGGACTTCATAGCTTTTATTAAATACATTCTTTTGTATATGCCAGCAATTTCATAATTTTAAAACACAACAATACCAAGCCAGGGGACGGGAAGAGGTGAGAGTGTTCTGGATGGGTCGGGGATTCTGGAAGGGTGACAGTATAGAGGAGTGGCTGTTACTCTTGGCAGAAAGCTTGTTTGCTGAGGAGCTTGGGGTGATTATGGCCATCAGATGATAGAAGGAACAGAACTTCAGAGCAGAGCTGGCAGGGACAGTCTTGGCCTTGTCCCCTTTTGCCTCAGTTTCATCTTCTGTAACACTGGAATGTAGTAACTGCTTCATTGCTAGACATCAGTGCCTCATGCCTATAATCCTAGCTACTCAGGAGGCTGAGAGCTGAAGATCACAGTTTGAAGCCAGTTTGGGCAGGAAAGTCCATGAGACTCCTATTTCCAATTAAGTGAGCAAAAAGCTGAAATGGAACTGTGACTCAAGTGGTAGAGTGCCAGCCAGGAGCACAAAAGCTCAGGGACAGTGTCCAGGCTCAGAGGACTCCAAGCCCCAGGACTGACCAAAAAATAAATAAGGGGTTAGTGGCAGAGTGCTTGCCTAGCATGCATGAAGCCCTGGGTTCAATTGCTCAGTACCACATAAGCAGAAAAAGCCAGAAGTAGTGCTGTGGCTCAAGTGGTAGAGCGCTAGCCTTGGGAGAGTGCCCAGGCCCTGAGTTTAAAAAAAATTTTTTTTTTGAAATGAAAAAAAAAGGGGGGGGGGGCTGGGAAGGTGGCTCAGAGGTAGAGGGCTTACCTTGAATGCAGGAGGCCCTGGGTTCAGTTCCTCAGCGCCACATAAACAGAAAAGGCTGGAAGTGGCACTGTGGCTCAAGTGCTAGCCTTGAGCTGAAGAGCTGAGGGACAGCGCCCAGGCCCAGGGTTCACGCCCCACGACCAACAAAAAATAAAATTTAAAAAAATCCTCATGGAGTTGTGAGGGTTAAGGTGAGCCATGGCGGGTACTCAGGATGTTCCCAGGAAGCCAGGGTGTGTGCTCTGGGAGCGCCACTGTGAGGACAGGAGGAGGGTGGGATGTTGGTGGTGGGTGTGAACAGTAGGAAAGGTAGAAAACAATTGTTTGATGTTTGCCAAAACTTATAGTTATTTGATTGTACTGGAGTTTGAAATCAGGCCTTGCCTAGCCAATAAATCATTATAGTTAATATCAGGGGTTAACCGTGACAAATTACTTTAAATCAGTTCATGCCTGTTTTTTTCTTCTTTTTTTCTTCCAATTTTAGTACTGGGAAATTTGGTGCTTGTTTTATACCAGGGCTGTGTAAGCAAAGTGATCTCACCTTGTACGCGTCCCGGCCTGGACTCCGGCTATGGAAGGCTGATGTCTATGGCACAGTCCAAGCTACGTTTATCTTAAAGGATGTCTTTGCTGGAGGGATCACGCCTCTTGAGCTCTACCCAAGGCTGGAGTCCTCCGATAGAGGGGGTTGCAGCTCACCTGAGAAACACCTGGGACTCGTTTCATGTTTCTTTCGAGAAGGCTGGGTGCTGAGCTGGAATGAGTACAGCATCTATCTTCTGGACACCATCAACCAGGTAGGTGAAGGGGTCAGAGGCGAGGGGATGCTCTGCCTGGCTCCCAGAGTGGTGAGAGGAGATCAGCACCAATGCCTTCCACTTTCTTGTGAGCCAAAGAAACCAAATGAAGGCTTGGAAATTTTTGTAGATTTCAAAAGTAATCTACTTCAGTTGGGCGTAGGTGGCTCAGGCCTGTAATCACAGCTATGGGGAGGCAGAGCTGGAGAGGATAGAACTTCAAGACCAGTCTAAGCAAGCGGTTAGAGATTCCATCTCAACCAACAAGCTGGGCGTGGTATACACCTATGATTGTAGCTACAGTGGAGACAGGAAGATCACAGTTGGGAGCTGTCCTGAGTAAAAACTTGAAACCCTATCAATAAATAAATAAATCTAAAGGTAAATGGGCTAAGGGCATGGTTCAAGCAGCAGAAGGTCCTGAGTTCAAACCCCAGTACTACCAAAGAATGAATAAGTACATTAAATAAATAAAGTGCTTTTAATAGTCATACTCCTAACTTTGCCCAAATATTAGATGTCTTTTTGTTGTTGTTGCTGTTGTTTTTTGTATTTGAGCAAAAAATTTTTTTTTGTTGTTGTCTGTTTGGGCCGTGTTTTTCTCCTTTGGGGCTTAGGGTGCTGGGGACTGAACTCAGGGAACCTTGTGCATGTCGAGTCTCCACCTGTATCTCCTTGGCCATGTGTTTCCTTTCTTTCTTTCTTTCTTTCTTTTTTTTTTTTTTTTGCTATCCTCAGCTCTCAGTCTCCTGAGTAGATAGGATTACAGGTGTGAGCCACCAGTGCATGGCTTACATAGCTTTTTTTTAATGCTTTCAACTGTTACTATTGCCTGGTCTCCTGTATTTATTTATTTACTTTTGGCTAGTTCTGGTGCTTATGAACTCAGTGCTTGTGAGCACTGTCCCTGAGCTTGTTTTGCTTAAGGCTAGCACTCTACCACAGCGCCACTTCCAGCTTTTTCTGTGTATGTGGTACTGAGGAATGAAACCCTGGGCTTCATGCATGCTAGGCAAGCATTCTACCACTGAGCCACATCTCCAACCCCTTATGTTTTTCTTTCTTTGTTTATCTTAACAGGCCACAATTGCTGGTTTGGAAGGATCTGGTGATATTGTGTCTGTTTCCTGCACAGAAAATGAAATCTTTTTCTTAAAGGGAGATAGGAACATTATAAGAATTTCGAGCAGGCCTGAAGGACTAGCATCAATAGGTTTGTATCCATTCTGAAGAGTGCTGTGTGCAAGGCATGTACACTGCCTTTTATAATGCGAAGACTGGTCAGGGGCATTTGGAGGCTGGTTACGATTCTGAAAATAATATTTACAACACTTTGCTTGGAAATTACCTGCCTGTGGGTTATGTCAGGCATCTCACAATCGGTGGGGCTGTTTCCCTGTGTGAAAGTGACTGCCGAAGGCAGTAAGTGGGTGACTGCTCCAGTAACAACTTTGCATAAGACTTCAGGACAGTTGAAACTCATCGTCGTCCTTGTGGGATCTTGGTGCCTTTGACTTTTGTTCTGTAATTCATATAGGCCCATTTTTTGTTTGTTTGTTTAGATTTGGTTTTGTTGTTTTGTTTGGTGTTTCGGGAGGTTTTTTTTGAGAGGGCCTTACTATGTAGCTGGCTGATTCACCATCCTCAGCTTTGGCTTCCAGAGTGCTGGAATTACAGGTATGCACTACTATGTATAGTTTTTCTGCTTTTTGCTTGTTTGCTTGTTTTTCACTGTTGGGGATTAAATCAAAAGTTTTTTGCATGATACTCTATCACTGAACTGTATCCCTAGCTCCAAGCCCAAGCTTTTATTAGCAGAGAATCTTTTCTTTTTTCTTTTTGTCAGTCATGGGCCTGGGCACTGTCCCTGAGCTCTTTTGCTCAAGGTAGTACTCTGCCTCTTTGAGCCACAGCTCCATGCCAAAGCTCCACTTCCAGTTTTCTGGTGATTAATTGGAGATGAGTATCACAGGGCTGGGAAGGTGGCTCAGCAGTAGAGCTCTTGCCTCGCATGCAGGAGGCCCTGGGTTCGATTCCTCAGCACCACATAAGCAGAAAAGGCTGGAAGTGGCGCTGTGACTCAAGTGGTAGAGCACTGGTCTTGCGCTGAAGAACTCAAGGACAGCGCCCAGGCTAGAGTTTAATCCCCACAAACAACAACAACAAAAGAGTCTCATAGGGCCTGGGAAGGTGGCTGCGTGGTAGAGTGCTTGCCTAGCATGCATGAGGCCCTGGGTTCGATTCCTCAGTACCACATAAGAAAAAAAAAGCCAGAGGTGGTGCTGTGACTCAAGTGGTAGAGCTCAAGCCTTGAGCTGAAGAGCTGAGGGACAGCGCTCAGGCCCAGAGTTGAAGACCCATGACCGACAAAAAGAAAGAAAGAAACAGAAAATTACCTTTTCTCGCCGGGCGCTGGTGGCTCACGCCTGTAATCCTAAGTACTCAGGAGGCTGAGATCTGAGGATCGCGGTTCAAAGCCAGCCCGGGCAGGAGAGACCGTGAGACTCCTATCTCCAATAAACCACCAGAAAACCGGAAGTGGCGCTGTAGCTCAAGTGGTAGAGCGCTCGCCTTGAGCTGAAGAACTGAGGGACAGCGCCCAGGCCCAGAGTTCAAGCCCCACGACCGACAAAAAAAAAAAAAAGAAAAGAAAATTACCTTTTCTTCCTTGAATCTGTTAGTAGTGCACATGTAGGTTTTTGTTGGGTTTTTTTGTTTGTTTGTTTTTGGGTCAGTGGTGGGGCCTGAACTCTGGGCCTGGGATCTGTCCCTCAGCTCTTCAGCTCAAGACTAGCACTGTACCACTTGAGCCACAGCACCACTTTGGCTTTTTCTGCTTATGGGGTGCTGAGGAATCGAACCAGGGCCCCATGCAAGCAAGGCAAGCACTCTACCACTGAGCCACCTTCCCAGCCCTACACATGTAGTTTTCAAACACCCTTTGAGTGCTAATTAAGCCGTACTGAAGGATGTGAGGGCAGTCTGGCTATGATGTGTCACCTCATTCGTTGATGTCTAGGGTTGATTCAGCTCATCTGGCTGGCTAGGCGGGTATCCCCCCTTTTGGTATATGAGCTTCCTAGAGAAAAACTACTTAGAATCTCTATGTGGTTGAGTTTTGTTTCTGTAAAAATTAGAATTGCTCATTTCTTCATCAGGCTGGTACCTTGGTTCTGTGCTGGCTGGTGTTTAGAGCCAGCAAACTGAATAGGTACTGATTCTCTAGGAGAATCAGTAGTGAATCTGCACTCTTCTTCCTCCTCAGTGAGAGATGGTCCGGAAATGTCACGATGTTCAGAGCAAGCACACATACAGCGTCTGGAGAAGCCACTGGGGGCTGCAGTGTCTGAGACAAGACTTCCAGGCTCTTCTGTGGCGAGCTCTGTGGCCAGTGAGCCTCGGAGCCGGAGCAGCTCACTCAACTCCACTGACAGTGGTTCGGGGCTGCTGCCACCTGGGCTCCAGCCGGGCCCTGAGCTGGGCAAAGGCAACCAGCCCTCTTCACAGAGGTTCAGTGTAATCAGCTCAGAAGATTTTGACCAGGAACTCATTGTGAAACCTATTAAAGTAAAGAAGAAGAAGAAGAAGAGAAGGACAGGTAGTGTCTATGCAGTGTCCGCTGGCTGGTGTGGCTTGACTTGACCCTGTGGAGATAGACACAGGCTGGGACTGCTGCTGTTCACTGAATGGCCTCTTGCCCATTCAGGGAAAAGCAGAGGCCTTCAGAAAGTGAACCCATGCCTCCCAGAGGACTTTCACTGTGAAATGTGTCACCAACTAACAAAGAATACAGAGACACACACAAAGCAGCTTTGTAAGTGTGAATGATTGCAGAACATTTCATCTGTGCGTCATGCCCTACTTGTAGTCTAAGTGCATTCTTTTTATTTTATTTTTTGCCAGTCCTGGGCTTGAACTCAGGGCCTGGGCACTGTCCCTGAGCTTCTTTTTGCTCAAGGCTTGTACTCTCCCACTTGAGCCACAGTACCACTTCTGGCTTATTTGTTTATGTGGTACTGAGGTATCCAACTCAGGACTTCATACCTTCTAGGCAGGCACTCTACCACTAAGCCACATTCTCAGCCCTCATTCTTTTTAATATTTAAATTCAGCTGGGCGCTGGTGGCTCACGCCTGTAATCCTAGCTACTCAGGAGGCTGAGATCTGAGGATCGCAGTTCAAAGCCAGCCCGGGCAGGAGAGACCGTGAGACTCCTATCTCCAATAAACCACCAGAAAACCGGAAGTGGCGCTGTAGCTCAAAGTGGTAGAGCGCTCGCCTTGAGCTGAAGAGCTGAGGGACAGCACCCAGGCCCAGAGTTCAAGTCCCACGACGGACAAAAAAAAAAAATACATTTAAATTCAAAATGTTGCTTTATCTGTGAATGCTATTTACTAGATCAAAAAGTCCATAAACATGGATTTGGAAGGTGTACACATGGGATATTTGAACTTTTTTTTTTTTTTGGTCAGTCGTGGGGTATGAACTCTGGGCCTGGGCGCTGTCCCTCAGCTCTTCAGCTCAAGGCTAGCATACTACCATTTGAGCCACAGTGCCACTTCTGGCTTTTTCTGCTTATGTGGGGCTGAGGAATCGAACCCAGGGCCTCATGCATACAAGGCAAACACTCTTATCACTGAGTCACCTTCCTAGCCATTGAACTTTTTTTTTTTTAACTTTTTAAACTTTATATTCCTATAACTTTTCTCTAGCTACTGGAGTATTAAAGGAAATCAGATATGAGATTCCTATACATTTTTTTTTCACAGCTCTAAGGATTGAACTCGGGGCTTTGCACTTGATAGGCATGCACTCCTAAGAATTCTGATAATTAAAAAAATTGGCCTGTGAGCCAGCTGAGCATGCCCTTTGTTGACTTTCCACCACCTTAGCATGTCTGGAGTGAGGCCTCCGAGACAGTAGATGTATATGATACTTGCGTCGCTATAACACATCCTTTTGTTGGGATAAAGAGATTATTCTTTACCTCCTTCATTCAAAGTACTTTTTTCAAAGTAAACGGCACATATAAGGGGGAAAATTATTTTTTTCAGCCGGAGCCAGTCAAGTAGCTATAATCCTAGCTAGAGAGGCTGAAATAGGAAGATCATGTTTTGAGGGAAACTGGTCAGAGCCCTTCTGACCTGCAGCTGGGGGTGGTGGATCATGCCTGTCTTCTCAACTTTATCAGGAAGTAAAAAGTAGTTCAGGCATGTGCCTGGTCAAGAAGCAAGGCCCTATCAAAAATACACCGTGCAAGCTAGGTGTGGTGGTGCAAGCCTGTAATCCTAGCGACTCAGGAAGCAGAGATTGAAAGATCAAGGTTCAAGGCCAACCAGGTCATAAAAGTTCATGAAACCCCATCTCATCCGATGACTGGATACAGTAGTGCATGCCTGTTATTTCAACCTTCAGGAAGTCACAAATGACTGTGATTCATACCTATCGTTCCAGTGACAAAAGATGACAAACAAATAGGCTTACTCTAGGCCAGCCTAGGCACAAAGAGAGACCTTATCTTAATCATAGCCAACAAAAAAGGGGCTGGCAGAGTGGCTCAAGTGGTAGAGCACTTGCCTAAAAAATGTGAGGCTTGGGGCTGGGAAGGTGGCTCAGTGGTAGAGCGCTTGCCTTGCATGCCTGAGGCCCTGGGTTCGATTCCTCAGCACCACATAAGCAAAAAGAAAAAAGCCGGAAGTGGCTCTGTGGCTCAAGTGGTAGAGCGCTAGCCTTGAGCTGAAGAGCTGAGGGACAGCGCCCAGGCCCAGAGTTCAGGCCCCACCACCGGACCCCCAAAAAAAAAAAAAATGTGAGGCTTTAAGTTCAAACTCTAATATTGCCAGAATTTTTTCTTCTTAAGCCAAAAAAACTTTTTTAATGTCCTCTTGCCATTTATGTAGAATCATGTCTTATTTTAATGTTCTCATTTTAAATTAGAAGGTGGAAATAAGAACATGTGTCACAGTTCCCTGGACTCAACCCCCTGCTCCGAATTTCCTGCTGACAGCCCACAGTCTCTGCACACAGACCTGCTGTCCATGACTTCCAGTGTTCTGGGCAGCAGCATGGACCACCTGAGCACAGAGTCTCCCGACCAGGAGAGCACCTTCAGTGGGGAGGTGAATGGTGTCTCACAGGAAAATAATGACCCTGAAGCATTCAGTGTCCTGGAGGTTCCAGAATGCGCCCCTGATGCACTGCACGAAGAGGAGGACACTAGACCTGAAACTGCACAGCGTCTCCACACGTGTGAAGTGGGGCTGCTCAGTGGAGCCTGGCGTCTACCCTCGGCCCCAAGGGAGGGTGTGGCAGCCAGTGACATTACAGGACTGCAAGGGGATCTTGGTCCTGCAGACGACAACACAGACCCCACACCGTTGCCATTTGGAGACCAGAACGGCTCTGCCGAAGCGCACGAGGTGAAGAAGGCAGAGCCCAGTGAGCCCTACAGCACTCCCGAGGGCCCCCTTGTGGATTTGCGCACGGTGCCTTCTTGCCTCAGCTGGCTTCCAAGTGCTGGGCAGTGGCTCCCCGGGGCCCTGGCTGATGGAGGCAGCACTGAGGAGGCAAACCAAGACCAGGATGCCGTGGCTCAGGTGGGCACCTCCAGCCTCCTTGCCACAAATTCCTGGCATGCAGTCCCTGATGATGACGACAGCAACAATGATAATGACAACACAGCAGCCCCAAAAGCACCGTCGGCTCTGGAATGCCAAGTAGCGGGGAGTCAGCTGAGCCCTCTGACTCCTGCCTGGGTGGCTAGCTCCCACAAGGCTGGGCTGGAGCAGCCTTTCCAGGACCAGGCCTTGGCATCCAGTGATGATGAAGACATCTATGCGCAGGGACTCCCATCGCCATCCTCAGAGACAAGTGTGGCAGAGGCTGGGGCTAGTCACTCTCTGCAGGACCTAGGCCAGCCGGGTCCAGATGACGCTGCACTGCTCAAGACAGACCAGGTATGTGGGAGTCATAACTAAGGTTGGGTGTGTGTGTGTGTGTGTGTGTGTGTGTGTGTGTGTGTGTGTGTGCAAGACTGATTCTTTTCCTCATGTTAAGCATACCTGTCCTGCTCCAGGTAGCAGAAAAGCTCATTTTGTGGAGTTGGGGGGTTGGGACGAGGCTATGGCTTGCCACAGTGAGCAGAGCCAGATGGAAAAGGGGAGAGTGCCATTTCCTTTGAAACATTTATCTTCTTTATTTGTGCAAATATGTTGATTTCATTTGCACTTTTGGAAATTTATTAAAGTATATTTAGCTTCGATTTTTGTTGTTAAAAGAATCCTAGCACTGACGGCTTATGCCTGAAATCCTAGCTACTGAGGAGGCTGAGTTCAAAGTCAGCCTGGGCAGAAAGTCTGTGAAACTCTTTGATCTCCAGTTAACTACCCAAAATGCTGGAAGTGGAGCCGTGGCTCAAATGATAGAGCGCTAGCCTTGAACAAAAAACGAAGGCCAGAGCTGGGATGCCGCTCAGGGGCAAAGCACTCACATAGCCAAGTGCCATGTCCAGGTTCAAACCTCACTTCCAAAAGAGAAAAGACAAAAATTTCTTAAAAAGAAAACTTATTACTTTTAGGCTGGGAATGTGCCTTAATGGTAGAGTGTTTGCCTAGCATTCATGAAGCCCTGGGTTTGATTCCTCAGTACCACATACACAAAAAAAAAGCCAGAGGTGTTGCTATGTCTCAAGTGGTAGAGTGCTAGCCTTGAGCAAAAGAGCTTGGGGACAGCACCCAGAACCTGAAGCCTCAAGCTTCAGAACCAGCAAAAAGCGAAAAAAAGAAGTTCTAGCAAGAAAACTTTAGTCTACAAATTCATTGTCTTCAACCAACCTTCTGCCAGCAGTTCCCACAAGATACTCGAGTGTGAGGGTTGGAACAGTGCTTGCAGAATTACGGGAAAAACTGGGCAGTGATAATGCTGCTCTTCCAGTACATCTGCTGTAAGTCAGCTTACATGCAAGGAGAGGTAAAAACGCCCATGTGTAAAGTGAGGCGTGCCACAGAATGAACCCAGATCAAAAATATCCAATACGGGCTGGGAATGTGGCTTAGTGCTTTCCTAGCATGCATGAAGCCCTGGATTCGATTTCTCAGTATCACATATACAGAAAAGGCCTCGAGCGGTGTTGTGGCTCAAGTGGTAGAGTGCTAGCCTTGAGCAAAAGAAGAAGCTCAGGGACAGTGCTCAGGCCCTGAGTTCAAGCCCCAGCACTGGCAAAAAAAAAAAAAAAAATCCAATGCAAGCCAGGTTCAGGCCTATAATCCTATCTACTCCAGAGATGGAAAGGCCAATCATATCATAGTTTAAGAGACTAGGTCTCAATCAACCTATGCTCTGAGCACTACTTTGGAAGGACGTTACAATGTGAAAAACGTTATCCAGGGATACTACAGCCTTTTCGAGGGGCCACATTTTCTATCCCAGAGATAGAATAAAAGAGGGGTATCTCAGTAAGGCTTCTCAAAGATCAGTTCAGCTGTATCGTTTTAAGCATTCTGCCCACTTTTCTTGATGACAGCAGTATGACAAATGCAGCTAGATGCTTGCCACAGAACTCACCACTCTGTCCTTGTTAGTTTGCAGAGAGCTGGATGGGCTACTCGGGTCCTGGCTATGGCATACTCAGCTTGGCGGTGTCCGAGAAGTATATTTGGTGCCTGGACTACAAAGGTGGCCTGTTCTGCAGTGCCCTGCCTGGAGCTGGGCTGCGCTGGCAGAAGTTTGAAGATGCTGTCCAGCAGGTGGCGGTCTCCCCTTCAGGTTTGCCTCCTTGGCTTCCTGCTCCTAGCCCCATCTCTCATCAGGTCTCCTGCGCCATCAGCACACAGGCCATCCAGTGGTCTGGGGCAAGTTCTTCCAACAATCAGGAGTTGTTTCCTTTTATGTTAACTAGTATCATAATGGGTACTCAACTTGAGTGCTGTTTTTGTTCTTATTTATTTTAATGTTTTTGCTATTGTTTTGTCCTGGTTTGATGGTACTGGAGACTGAACTCAGGGCTCCTCACTGGTTGCTAGGCAGGTACTCTACCACGTGAGCCATACATCCAGGCCTTTTGGTTTTAGTTTGTCTCTGAGCTTCTTCCTGGGCTTTCCTTGGACACAGATCTTTCTATTTGCACCACTCAAGTAGCTGGGCTTACAGGCCTGCACCACCACTTCCATCCCTGTTTTTTAAGTAATTGCAGTGATACCACTTGCACGTATTTTTGTAAGCTTATAAATAATTTGGGTTTTGATGGTTTTTAGACATTAACATACTTAGTCCTTATAAAAGCTACATGTATTTCCACTTGTCAGTGTCACAGAACTAATATTTTACATGGTGACAGAGGGTGAATTATGGAAAGTTCACAGTGAAATTTCAGAAAACGGGTCCAGAGGCATAGATTCAGCCTTGTTCAGCTTCTGTTCCAATGTGCTAACAAGAAACCAGAGTCCTTGCCTAGTGTGCAGTGACCCTTCTTGTCACTGCTCCCTGGAGACAGGCTGAGCTATAGAGATAATAACCCCCATTACTGTGTGATATGATTACATGGCTTCATTTTTTTTTCTTGTTTTTTACCTTTTTACCTTGGGGTTCATCTCCCTAGTGACTTAGAAACTTTGGTTCATTCTTGATTGTCTTAATTACTTCCTATTTCCCAACTGTTTGATCAGTCCCTTGTTGCTCTGGCCTCAACTCTGTGTCTCAGTGACATTAACGTTCTCAGCTGGACTGTCCTTAGGGACTCAGATCTGCAGGGGGTCCCAGAACCCTTGCGCCATGTCTTGTTTGGGAGGAGGGGATGCAGCTCCTGCGGTCTGGCTCAGCTCATGCTCAGTCAAGGTGATTTCTTGCCTGGGCCTCCCATCCACAGTGCTCTCCCAATTGCCTCTTTCTGCCTTCCCTCCTTCATTTGTTTGTCAGAACTTCACCTAGCTTAGATGAAGCTCTTCTGTGTAGCTGGGTCAGAAGCTGTCCCTCTTTTGAGTTCCTGGCCAGGCCTTGGGCAAACACTGTGTTAGACCTTGTCTACTGGGGCACTCACCCTCATCCGATGGATGACGTCATCACTGCTCTTCCCAGCCCCCCACTGCTGGGTCATGGGTCTCCTCACCTTCAGCCTTTAGGGGATAGCTCAGTTCACAGATGAGGAAAACGAGGCCTGGACACACGAAGGCATGCGATGCCCAAATTCACACAGCTTCTTGGCGCTGGCCCAAAGTGCAAACCTTGGCACAGTGGCAAGTAAGCAACAAAGAGTGTTTTAGGAATCTGACCCTTATAGTGCCTAGAACAGTGTCTCTGCTTAGGTAATTTCAAATTTGTTGGCATTGAATAGAATTTTTATTACCACAGGTGCTCTCCTCTGGAAGATTGAACAGAAATCTAACCGTGCTTTCGCTTGCGGGAAAGTTACCATCAAGGGGAAGCGGCATTGGTATGAAGCCCTGCCTCAGGCAGTGTTTGTGGCCTTGAGTGACGACACAGCCTGGATCATCAGGACCAATGGAGACCTGTACCTGCAGACAGGTAGCCCCAGCCCCACGAGGCCACCTTGCCTCTCGCCATACCTGCTCAGCTAGCCACTTGCATCAACAGTCACAAAATCAGAGGCTCACAACTAATGAGAATTAAGAAAAGGTTCTAGAGCTAGGAAGGTGGCTCAGTGGTAGAGCGCTTGCCTTGCATGCCTGAGGCCCTGGGTTCGATTCCCCAGCACCACATAAGCAAAAAGAAAGAAAGCCGGAAGTGGCGCTGTGGCTCAAGTGGTAGAGTGCTAGCCTTGAGCTGAAGAGCTGAGGACAGCGCCCAGGCCCAGAGTTCAGGCCCCATGACCCAAAAAAAAAAGAAAAGAAAAGGTTCTAGAAAGACAGTGTTTGCCATGGAATGTGTTAGTAGTTTCCTGCTCCTCTAACACAGTAGCACAAAGTTAGGGCAGGAATTAGTATGGTTTTTTTTTTTTTTTTGGGTCCGGTCATGGGCCTGAACTCTGGGCCTGGGCGCTGTCCCTCAGCTCTTCAGCTCAAGGCTAGTGCTCTACCACTTGAGCCACAGCGCCACTTCCGGCTTTTTTCTTTTTGCTTATGTGGTGCTGAGAATCGAACCCAGGGCCTCATGCATGCAAGGCAAGCACGCTACCACTGAGCCACCTTCCCAGCCCTAGTATGGTTTTTTCATGAGCTACAAAAGTAGAATCTTACTCTCATCACAGTTGACCATCACATATCTCATGCCTGCAGTGTATAGTCTTTGAGGAAAGAATAATAGAATGATGATAGGAGTCTAGAGGAATAGCCCAAGGGGTAGAGCACCTGCCTAGCAATCATGAGGCCCTGAGTTCAAACCCAGTGCTGCCCAAAATAAAAAAATGATACTAGAATCATTTTCCCCTGGAGGCTTAAGTAACTGGATTTTTTTTTCCAGCCAAGCCAAAGCTCAACTCTTAACGCACATGTTTACATGTGGGTCAGGTGAAAATAAGTTTCTCTAAATAGCACTTCAACATGTCCTAAGAAACTGCCCTTAGGGAAACCTTGAGCTGCTAGAAGTGGCACGTGGGACTTGTTTATTAAAAATGAACTATAATGAGCCAGTGTTTGTTTACTGTGCACACATGGGAAATGGTTTGCCAGCAGTAGTGTATTCTGTCGGGACTGGGAAGGACTAGGGGCACAAGTTGTTTGAGTTGTCTAGTGCCCATATTGGATTTATGTAAAAATCCATCTTCCAACCATTTAATATGCTGCTTCTGAGAGCAGTTTCTCATAGGACCCTCACTGGAATGGCTCTTGGGATTGAAGGCCTTGGCTCTTTGACTCCTTCCCAGGTGTGGAGGAACTTTCTGCCCTGAGGGAAGCCATGTGTTAGTGCTGGCCTCCAGCCCCATTCTGTGTCTTTCATCCACTGAAAATAGCTCTGGCAGCTCACTTGCATATCTAGCTTCCAGGACATTTCAGTTTTGGTGTTGGCATGACAAGGAGACCACACTGGGGCCTGGGGATGAGGAGCAGTAGTAGCAGAGCAATCACCAGGGCAGTGGACCTGTGGAGTGTTAAGCCTCCAGGGGTTGGCACAAGAGTTTGAACAGGAAGTCCAATAGGTGAAAACCATCTATGGTTGACCATGGATGCTTTTGTGATTATAGTACTAAGACCTAATTGCAGGCTGAGGCAGTCTTGTTTTGCTAGCTCCCTTGGAAGTAGCCTTTGAGCTCATAGATATACATTACTGAGGCCACAGTGGGGTGAAGGAAAGAGCCCTAGAGTGCTGGTCCTGCCACAGCCTAGCATGATGTTGGACCTCAGATTTCATTTGCTGAAGCCTAGGAAAAAGGAGCTAGTCTTCGGAGCAGCTGTACAGAGGAGAGCTGACAGCTCCAGTAGCAGTGACTGGGCAGCACAGCATCCTGGCAGAAGGCGGCCCCTGTGCACTTGGCCAGGAGGTGCTGCTGTTCTGCCTCAGCTTCCTGGTCTCAAAGGTCCCACTCTGAATGATACTCCCTTGATTTCCAAAGGAGGTCTCCTATAGATTGTGACATCGAAGTTGAATGTACCTTTTTCTGTTGACTAAACCTTAAAAATGTTTATGAAAGGACATAGCAAAGTACTGAAAGATAAGAATGCATACACAAGCTGGGTGCTGGTGGCTCACACCTGTAATCCTAGCTACTCAGGAGGCTGAGATCTGAAGATCATGGTTCAAAGCCAGCCCAGGCAGGAAAGTCTGTGAGACTTATCTCCAATGAACCACCAGAAAACTGGAAGTGATGCTGTGGCTCAAGTGGTAGAGCGCTTGCCTTGAGCTGAAGTGCTAAGGGACAGGCCTAGAGTTCAAGCCCCACAACTGACAAAAAAAAAAAGAATGCAATACACAGTGGTCTCAAATACTGATGGCAGTCAGGTGCCAGTGGCTCACGCCTATAATCCTAACTATTCAGGAAGCTGAGATCTAAGGATCATAGTTCAAAGCCAGCCTGGGCAGGAAGGTCTGTGAGACTCTTCATCTCCAATTAACCACCCAAAAAACCCAGAAGTAGAGCTGTAGCTCAAGTAGTAGAGCACTAGCCTTGAACAAAAGCGTTCAGGGACAGCGCCCAGGCCCTGAGTTCAAGTCTCAGGACTGGCCAAAATGAATAAAATAAGTAATAAAAATAAATAATAAAAGAAGTGCTGCTGGTGAGCCTTTGGTTTCCTTTCCCTCTGGCTGGCAGGTCTCAGTGTGGATCGCCCCTGTGCTCGAGCTGTGAAAGTCGACTGTCCATACCCGCTCTCCCAGATCACTGCCAGGAACAGTGTGGTATGGGCACTCACAGAACAGAGGGCCCTCCTGTACCGGGAGGGCGTGAGCAGCTTCTGTCCTGAGGGGGAGCAGTGGAAGTGTGACATCGTCAGGTAGGGGCCAGGGAGGCACCACGTGCCTCCTCCTCTCTGTGTTTTTACCAGCATGACTCTCCACCAGACACCTGAAGGTTCTCTCAAGTTGTCAGCAGTCTGGTCCTAGGGACACTGTGTCCAACTTGTGGAGCCACATACCCAACAAATAACACTTAGGACAGAGGATTCTGAGCAAGGTGCAGAGCGTGTGGCACCACGAGGTTCTCCCACCTGCCCGCAGGGACCGGGGTGGCAGCATGCCAGAGGAGACCCACAGCCAAGCTTTGAAGCGGACAGGGACACCCCAGATGGGGGAGGGGCGGGGAAGCAGACCTAACAGAGAGGGTAGTGTCTGCTCAGGGACAGCTATATAACACAGCCTGGCATGTAGGGTTGTTGACAGTCATCTCCTTAGGGGGAGAGAGAGAGAGAGAGAGTAGCTCATAGGCCTTAGGTGGTTTGCTCTTGCTCCATTAGTGGGCCTTCTGTATGTCTTTCAGAAGCTGCCACACGCCTGCACAGTTTATGTGTGTGGCAGTGTCTTTCAAACTCACACCTCCTTCCCTGGCACTTGATTGTCCTCGCCGGGGAGTAGGGGCATATTTCTTCTCTACACCAAGCTTCCCCAGAGACACTCAGGGAGGTGACCCTCTGCCTACTAAGGAGACTGACTCTGGTGTGCTCCTGCTCATTTTCAGTGAAAGGCAAGCTTTGGAGCCTGTCTGCATTACCCTTGGGGACCAGCACACTCTGTGGGCCCTGGACATCCACGGTAAGCTGTGGTTCAGAACTGGAGTGGTTCCAAAGAAGCCCCAAGGGGACGATGACCACTGGTGGCAGGTAGGTGCCGGGGCTCCCTGACCTGGAAATCCTCCCTCTTCCTACCTCCTCTCTTTTCCTTAAGGAATTGGCTTACTGTTCATCTTTACTATTTGGGTTAAACTTTCCTACGTTTGAATGCATTAAAAACGCCAAGAGCCAGGCCCCAATGGCTCATGCCTGTAATCCTAGCTACTCAAGAGGCTGAGAGCTGAGGATCACTGTTTGAAGCTAGCCAGGGCAGGAAAGTCTGTGAAACTCTTATCTCCAATTAAGCACCAAAAAAGCCAGAAGTAGAGCTGTAGTTCAAGTGGTAGAGTGCTAGCCTTGAACACAAAAGCTCAGGGATAGCACCCAGACTGGTACAAAAACAAAAGCAACGATGACAACAACAAAAACATCAGCTGGGTGCCAGTGGCTCATGCCTGTAATCCTAGCTACTCAGGAGGCTGAAATATGAGGATGGCGGTTCAAAGCCAGCCGAGGCAGGGAAGTCCATGAGACTCTTATCTCCAATAAACCACTAGAAAACCAGAAGTGGCGCTGTGGCTCAAGCAGTAGAGTGCTCGCCTTGAGCTGAAGAGCTGAGGGACAATACCCAAGTCCAGAGTTCAAGCCCCACGACCGACCAAAAAAAAAATCAAGGACTTCTTTTTTGTCAGTTGTGGAGCTTGAACTCAGGGCCTGGGCACTGTCCCTCTTTTGCTCAAAGCTAGCACTCTATCACTTTGAGCCACAGCTCCACTTCTGATTTTTGAGTGGTTAATTGGAGATGACGGTCTCACAGATTATCCTGCCCCAGGCTGGCTTCAAACCATGATCCTCAGATCTCACTCAGCCTCCTGAGTAGCTAGGATCGCAGGCGCCCAGCCAAGGACTTTTCATCATAGGAAATAACTTGCAAATGTTTCTCGCATAAATAATACAGGCATTATTTATTTATTTAGGTGTTATTTAGACATTCAGCATTATAGATTAGATAAACCCAGTGACATCCATTTGAAGATCGAGGTAATAACGATGTTTAAATCTGTACAAATGTGTTAAGAAAGGGGCCTAGACAATAGGTTAGGAAACCCAACCCACAATTAAAATTCATTCATCTCTGTGTGTCCGAAAAGCCTCCAAGTAAATGGCATTTTAACCAAGGAGAATTTCCCACATGTTACCAGAGAGGAGCATGCTGTGAGAAATGGGAGGCTGGATCCCATTATCTTTCTGTGTGGTACATCCTGGCCAGTGGGACCTGGGGCAGGAACACCAGAGGATCTCCACGTTCTCTGGTTGGTACCATTCAGTACTGCTCCTCAGTCTCCCTCCGTGGGCGAAGGTCGCTCTGGCACATGTGAAATGTGCTGTCTTACATCTTGTGCCTCCATTGGTTCACTTGACCCGAGGCTTGTCTTGCTCTGGCTTGTCTGACTAAAATCTTTCAGATGAAAATGCAGGAAAACAAGTCAGGTTTGCTACTTGATGACCATGTATATTGTGTACTATGTCTTTGAGTTAAATTCTAGGCCATATTTGGTAATATGTAATACATATTAAAATACATATTGTATACTTAAAAACCATACATAACATACACACATGCAAATACAGGTATATGTATACATTATGTATTACTAAATTCTATTTTTAAAGTAGTGATAAGGAAAACTCAATATGATTTTACTGTAGTATTCAGAGCATTATGAGAAAATTAACTTAAGAGAACCATCTTGAGGTACTTGGAAGAGTTATTTTAGAGACTCTGTGAGGTTCCTTTATAGAACTGGGGTCAGTGTTACTAGTTGGCTGCTAAACCTTTCCTTTTGCTTTCAATTGGCAACCCCCTTGTGTGCTTATCTTGGGAGCTAGGACCAAATCTGCATTGGCTGTGGCCTTGGCAAAACCACTGCTGCCTGGTGAGAGGAATGTTTGCAGTACAGAGCTCCCAGCCGCCGATCACACACTGCATATGCACCTTTGAGCAGGGCTAGACATACAGGATCCACACGGCCAGAGTGACCGAGAGCTCAAGCAGGGGCTGCTGTGGCAGAAACTACCTACAGCCGCTTTAGCTAGGGCCATCCAGTGTCCTTCCGTAGACCAGAGAGGACACATGTGTGTATGTGTCATAAATGAGTGACTTAAAGTAATTCCTTTTTTTGTTTGTTTTATTATAAATTAAGTTTCCTGCAATATATGATACCACTTTAACTCAGCATTTCCTTGTCTATGTGCTAGAAATGTGTTCTAGAAGTTGGGTATTTGTGCTGTTTTTTGGGTTTTTTTTGTGGGGGGAGGGGTCTGGTCGCGGACCTGAACTCTGGGCCTGGGTGCTGTCCCTCAGCTCTTCAGCTCAAGGCTAGCGCTCTACCACTTGAGCCACAGTGCCACTTCCGGCTTTTTTTTTTTTTTTTTTTTTGCTTATGTGATGCTGAGGAAGAGCCACCTTCCCAGCCCTTTGTTCTGGTTTTGTTGTTTATAATTGAACCCAACTTGGAAAGGTATGAAAGTCATGTGGAGTCAGGCTTTGACCTGTCTCATAGTGAACTCTCAGACTCAGCTGCCCAGCAAGGACAAGTTCCCCTGGAGAAGACAGTTGCCATAGAGGATTTCTCTAGAGGTGTGTGTGCAGATGCTTTTTAGGAATGTCTCCAAGGTGAGTCACACGGTAGAGCAGCCAAGTGGCTTCGAGATGCCTGGGATTGTTCTGGTCTAAGCTGGTAGTCCCAGATAGCACATAAATTATTTCATCAACACACTGGCCTACCTTTGAAAGCTCATACTATGAGTCTAAGTCTTATATGCCATTGTCAGTTGGAAACACCTGAGTTTAAAAGCAAAATTATTCTTTCTCACTCTGAGTAGACAGAATGTGAAAGGGTACTGTTGCTTGTTTCAACAGATCCACTTAACATAACATCCAACCTTTGGATGTATAATAGCTGTCAGGTGTTCTGCTAGCTCTGCCGTCCCTGTGCAGGTGTGTGTGCATGCCCAGTTGTCTCGTGGCTGTGGATATGTGGAACCTGCCCTGGGGGCAGGTGGACTCCTGCGACTGCACTGACAGTGGGCTTTGACGTTCCTCCTGCAGGTGAGCATCACAGACTATGTGGTGTTCGACCAGTGCAGCTTATTCCAGACCATCATGCATGCCACCCACTCCGTGGCCACCGCAGCCCAAGTGCCTGTGGAAAAGGTAGCAGATAAACTGCGCATGGCATTCTGGTCCCAGCAGCTTCAGTGCCAGCCCAGCCTACTGGGGGTCAACAACAGTGGTGTTTGGATCTCCTCAGGCAAGAATGAATTCCATGTTGCCAGAGGAAGCCTTATAGGTGGGTAGATTACCTTTGTGTTTATGTTGGTGAGATTTATAGGAAGCTTTTATATATATATATATGCATATTATATATTATATATACATATATGCATATTGTTTTTTTAGAGTTTGTGCACCAGTGACTCACGCCTGTAATCCTAGCTACTCAGGAGGCTGAGATCTAAGGACTTCGGTTCAAAGCCAGCCCAGGCAATAAAGTGTGTAAGTCAACCCCAGAAAAACTGGAAGTGGCACTGTGACTCAAAGTGGTACGGCACTAGCCTTGAGCAAAAAAAGCTCAGGGACAGCTCCTAGACCCTGAGTTCAAGCCCCACAACTAACACAAAATGTTTTTCTAATTTGCAGTGCTGGGGCCTCATATGTTTAAAGAATAGCTTTAAGATCGCAACTTGAAGTGGCGCTGCAGCACACAGATAGAAGTGCCTGTGAGAAAGGCTCTCTATTCCTTGTGACCAGTTGTTCTCTTTTTTTTTTATTATTTCAGTCTATTATTCCTAAAACTTGGTCTGGCTAGAATGTAAACAGTTTGTTATGAGAATCTATTGAGATATAAGGAAAACAAATGGAGCTTTTTAATTATTTTTGGTGTTGCTGGGGCTTGAATTTAAGGCCTGGGCACTCTTCTGAGCTTTTTTGTTCAAGGCTAATGCTCTACTACTTGAGCCACAACTCCACTTCCAGCTTTTTTGGAGGTTAATTATAGATAAGAGTCTCACGGATTCTCCTGCCTAGGCTAGCTTTGAACTGAAATACTTAGACCTCAGCTTCCTGAGTAGCTAGGATTATAAACATGAGCCACCAGCACCCAGCTGGAGCTCTTTTTTTGTTGTTATTATAAAAGCAATATACAGAGGTTTATAGTTACATAAGTCAGGTAAGAGGACATTTCTTACTCTCTCCTAGTTTTTCTTTACCATCGTTTTGTTGGTGGTGGTGGTGGTGGGTAGTGGTTGTCGGGCTTGAACACTGGGCCTGGGCGCTGTCCCTCAGCTCTTCAGCTTAAGGCTAGTGCTCTACCACTTGAGCTACAGAGCCACTTCCAGTTTTCTGATGGCTCATTGGAGATAAGAGTCTCATAGACTTTCCTGCCCAGGCTGGCTTTAAACCACGATCCTCAGATGTTAGCCTTATCAGTAGCTAGGATTATAGGTGTGAGCCACCAGCTCCAGCTCTTCCTCTTCGTCGTCGTCGTTGTTGTTGTTGTTGTTGTTATTCGTCTTGGGCCTGAACTCTGGGCCTGAGTGCTGTCCCTCAGCTCTTCAGCTCAAGACTAGTGCTCTACCACTTAAGCCACAGTGCTACTTCTTGCTTCTTCTGCTTATGTGATACTGAGGAATTGAACCCAGGGCCTCATGCATGCAAGGCAAGCACTCTACCACTGAGCCACCTTCCCAGCCCTCTGGCTCATTTTTATGTTAGTAATTTCACAGAATAAAAAAATTTCAACTCTAGAGATAAAGATAAGAGAATAACTATGACCATTGTTGAATTTCTTGCCCAGCAAGGACATCTGTGCATTCTCTTCCCTGTGTGGCCTCTCTGAGCTTCCATTGGCAAGATGTGGCTCTTCTTGACAGTAGTCAAGAAGAAGTGAATAGCAGGCTGCGCTGACGTCTACCTCTTAGTTTAAGAATAGTAAAATTTGGGGCTAGGAAGATGGCTCAGTGGTAGAGTGCTTGCCTTCCATGCATGAGGCCCTGGGTTCAATTCCTCAGCACCACATAAGCAGAAAAAGCTGCAAGTGGCACTGTGGCTCCAATGGTAGAGCACTAGCCTTGAGCTGAAGAGTTGAGGGACAGTGCCCAGGCCCAGAGTTCAGGCCCAGGACTGACCCAAAGAAAAAGAAGAAGAAAACAGGTGTTGGTGGCTCACGCCTGTAATCCTATCTACTCCAGAGGCTGAGATCTGGGCAAGAAAGTCTGGGCAGCCAGTCTGGGCAAGAAAGTCTGAGAGACTCTTATCTCCAATAAACCACTTGAAAACCAGAAGTGGGCTGTGGCTTAAGTAGTAGAGTGCTTGTCTTGAGCTGAAGAGCGGAGGGACAGTGCCCAAGCCCAGAGTTCAAGCCCCATGACCGACAAAAAAAAAAAAAAATAGTAAAATTGGGCCTGGGATGTCTACTCGGTGGTAGAGTGCTTGTCTTGCATGCATAAGGCCCTGGGTTTAATTCCTCAGCACCACATGAGCAGAAAAACGCCAGAAGTAGTGCTGTGGCACAAGTGGTAGGGCCTAACTTTGAGCTGAAGAGCTGAGGGACAGCGCTCAGGCCCAGAGTTCAGCCCCCTTGACTGACCAAAAAAAAAAAAAAAAGTAAAATTAATTTTAAGAGATTTTGAAGACTAGCTACAGTCAAGAACCAAAACTATTGGATGCCAGTGACACAACTGTAATCCTACCACAGTTTAAAGCTAACCAGGCCAGGTGCCAGTGGCTCACACCTGTAATCCTAGCTACTCAGGAAGCTGAGATCTGAGGATCACAGTTCAAACCCAGCCTGGACAGGAAAGTCCATGAGACTCTTATCTCCAATTAAGCACCTGAAAACCAGAAGTGGCACTGTGGCTTAAGTAGTAGAGAACATGTCTTGAGCTGAAGAGCTCAGGAATAGCACCCAGCCCCAGAATTCAAGCCCCACAGCTGACAAAAGATAAAAAAAAAGTTCTTAACATTCCACCTCCAACAAAATAACCACAAAAAGCCAGGCTGGAGGCATGATTCAAGTGGCAGAGTATCAGCTAATCAAGTGGCAGGCCTTGAGTTCACAGCCTAGTACCAAAAAGAAAACCAGAAGTGGAAAGGTAGCTCAGTGGTAGAGTGCTTGCCTTGCATGCCTGAGGCCCTGGGTTCGATTCCTCAGCACCACATAAGGAGAAAAAGCTGGAAGTGGCACTGTGGCTCAAGTGGTAGAGTGCTAGCCTTGAGCTGAAGAGCTGAGGGACAGTGTCCAGGCCCAGAGTTCAGGTCCCACACCTAAAAAAAAGAAAAGAAAACCAAAATTCTGAAGTATTTTCTCCTTTTAATGCAGTCTTCCTATTTATTCTTGGCAGGGACTCACTGGGAAAACGTTGTTCCCCGGGGGACAGCTTCTGCAACAAAATGGGCCTTCGTGTTGGCTTCCACTGCACCCTCCAAAGACGGTCAGTCAGTCTTTGCCTACTTGAGAAATCTAGCTCAAGGGTTAGCAGTTGAAAAAGTTCAGGCTGCTGTCTGTCTGTCCTCATGGGGCTGTGGCAATGTTGTTGGCCAACCCAAGTGGCTGAGCCGAAGCCTACACCCAAATAGGCAAGGGAGAGGTAAAGAGACAGGAGAGCACCAGCAAAGCAAGTTGAGACCCTGCATTCACATCCCAATGCTGCCAAAAAGAAAGGCTTTATTCAAATTAAAGACTTCCAGGCTGGGAGCTGGTGGCTCATGCCTATAATCCTAGCTACTCAGAAGGCTGAGATCTGAAGATCACAATTCCTGACAAGAAAGACTTTTTATCTCGAATTAATCACCCAAACACCAGAAGTAGAGCTGTGGCTCAAAGTGGTAGAATGATAGCCTTGCATGGAAGAATTCAAGGACAGTGTGTGGGCCCTGAGTTCAAGCCCTGCGACCAACAAAAAAGAAAAGTAAAGACTTCACAGCTCATTATAAATGGGTCAGAGATGCTATGCCAACATCATAGCCTTTATTGAATCTCATATGCTCTGCTTTCTTTCCATTTTTAAAAATATCTCAGCTGTGATCTTAAGTGCTGGTCATGGCCTTTCCCGGTAATTTAGAAGTGCGTGGCAGCTCCCGCCCTCCCGTCTGTGTGGGTTCAAGTAAGTGAGCCAGCGTACCCAGCCAAGTAGCAAAGGTTGCCTTCAGACAGGACAGGGGTGGCCTGGGGCAGACAGCAAGCAATGACAAATATGAACCTTTTCCACAGGAAGCTCCTTGTGGCTATGCCAGAGCAGCAAGGACCTGTGCAGCCTCAGCGCCCAGAGCCCACAGTGCCGCCCCTCCACCGTGCAGCTGCCCCCCGACGCCGAGATGAGGGCCTACGCTGCCTGCCAGGATGCGCTGTGGGCCTTGGATTACCTTGGCCAGGTGTTTATCAGGACGCTGTCTAAGAGCTGCCCTACAGGCATGCACTGGACGAAGCTGGACCTCTCCCAACTAGGTACAGTGTCTCCTGTGATTGCCATAAAACCAAGTCAGAACCAGGCGCCGGTGACTCATGCCTGTAATCCTAGCAACTCAGGAGGCTGAGATCTGAGGATCTCAGTTCAAAGCCAACCCGGGCAGGAAAGACCGTGAGACTCTGATCTCCAATAAACCACTAGAAAACCAGAAATGGTGCTGTAGCTCAAGTGGTAGAGCGCTCGCCTTGAGCTGAAGAGCTGAGGGACAGTGCCCAGGCCCAGAGTTCAAGCTCCATGACCAACAACAACAACAAAAAAAAAACCCGTCAGGATGTAGCTGACAGAATGCCCTCCACACATTCACCACATTCACCACGGGTGAATTCTTGGCTGATGTTTGTCAGTTGCTGGATCACAGGAGACTACACGGGCTCCTTAAGTTTCTAAGAACCTTCACGTTGCCCACTGCCTACAGTTTGCAGGTTTTCAGAACACGAGGAATTGTAGGGTATTAAGAAATTGCCACCAGAGTCGCTTGAAATAGTACTGTAGGTGCAGCTGTCTCTGCCACTCCTTGTGAATATGGAGAAGCGCTCTGTGACCTTTCCGTTAGACAAGGCAGTGTGCCCTGGAGCAGACAGCACGTCTGTGCCTCCTCAGCCCCAGGAAGAGAGCCGAGCGTGGGGAGGCATGCAGCGTGTGTAGCGTGGGCTTTCATTCAAGCAGTTCATGTGCTGCTACTGACTGCTTGTCTCTGAACCACCCCAAAGTGTAGAGAGTCATGGATTAAAGCTAGCCCAGGCAGGAAAGTCTATGAGATCTTATCCCCAATTAACCACCAAAAAGCCAGAAGTGGACCTGTGGTTCAAATGGTAGAACATTAGCCTTGAGCAACAAACCTAGGGGATAGCGCCCAGACCCTGAGTTCAAGTCCCGGGATTGGCACAAAAAAAGAGGAGGGGGAAGGGGAGGGGCTGGGTGGTAGCTCAGTGGTAGAGTGCTTGCCTTACATGCATGAGGTCCTGGGTTCAATTCCTCAGTACCACATAAGCAGAAAAGGCTGGAGTGGTGCTATGGCTCAAATGGTAGAGCGCTAGCTTTGAGCTGAAGAGCTGAGGGATGGCGCCCAGGCCCAGAGTTCAGGACCCAGAAAAAAGGAGAGAGAGAAAGAGAGTCAAGAAGAGATAGAGGGCTACCTGCCCTTTTCCTGAGCTCTTCTGTACTGATAGGTCCCACCACCACCCCCATTCCACCTTGTCAAGCAGGCATCTCCCCGGTGCTCCTGGCCAGGCCAGTGGCACTGAGATGCTCAGCAGGCCTTCAACTCCATTATCCTGGCAGCACGCCCTGCAGTGGGTGCTGCACAGCTGCCGGCTGGCACGGGATTCACCCCCTGTGTGACAGGCAGCACTCCGTCCTGGTCTTTACCCTGCTCTGTGCTGTACATTTTGTCTACTTTTTAAAGTTTTTACTGAGTTTTCTCATTAATACTGAAATGTTGGTGGACTCCTTGTGCCATTTTCTCCATTTCCTGAGAATGCAGCAACTCCAGAGTCCACAGACTCCTGCTGGGGCAGTGTGGTAGGCAGGTGCACTAGGAGGGGAACTTGCCCTTGCATTGTGGCAACTTCACTGCTAGAGCTTTTGCCTCTGCCAAATTAGACAGCAAACTGCAGCCAGAGGCACCAGTGTTCAGCTGTCAGGCCCTCTCCAGGTATGGTCTAGGTTACCTGTGGGAAAGCATGTGGGTCAGATGTTTTAAAGTAATTACTTAAATCAGGGGCTTCATTTTGATTTCAGTGCTTCCTGCCCACCCCAGTGCCAAGTCAGTTGCTTCATTAAGATAAAGTTAAATCTGAGCCTGGCACCAGTAGCTCATACCTATAATCCTAACTATTCAGGAAGCTGAGATATGAGGATCGCAGTTCAAAGCCAACCTGGGCAGAAAAGTCTATGAAACTCTTATCTCCAACTAACTACCAGAAAACCAGAAGTGGTGCTGTGGCTCAAATGGTAAGCAGTGGCCTTGATCTGAAGACCTCAGGGACAGTCTCCAGGCCCAGAAAAAGAAAGACGGAGTTGTGGACTAGGGACTGAGCCCAGGAGCCACCATTGGTGGGTGACCTTGACAAGGCGTCCCCCTCCCCATCCAAAGAAAAAGTTAAATCTGGGCTTGGTTGTGCATGACTACAATCCCAGTGCTCTAGAGACTAAGATAGGAGAGTCATAGGTTTGAGGCCAGCCATTAATTGAGATGAAGTCTTGAAACTTCTTTTTTGCCCAGGCTGGCCTTGTGTCATGATCTCAATCTCTTGTGATAGATATGACCACTGTGCCTGGCAAAAGATTCCTTAGATGATTGGTTGCTGAACCCAGCTGTAAAGACTCAATACAAGTTTTTGTCAGATTTATTGTAACCTTGTTTGGGAAGAAAATGTGCATTATTTAGCAGATATTTAAGAAGCCCCTAACATTATATTTCCCAGTATGCATAAATACACCTTATATCAGGCTTTGGACTGTTCAGCAAACGAATGCAATTTGTAGTGCAATTCATCTGGACACCACCTGAAATGAAGTATTTGGGGTCAGTATGTGCCTTAGGTAACAAGCCTGATTATGGTATGCAGTGATCTCTGTCCCTTAGGACTACATTGTTATTCCTGAAAAACTTGTTAATGGGAGAAGCAAAAACAAAGCAGGGAAGGCAGGGCAATGTCAAGTTGGGTTTTATGTTACAGAAAGCTCCCAGGTGAGCAGCCTTCCTCACCAGCCACTCCCTACCCCGCTCCCAGCACACTTTTCTGGTTTAGCTCCCAAGTGATAGATCAGTGCCGCTCATTGGAACTGCTCACCACTGCCTAACCAAGAGAGCAGAGAGGAGCCCAGAGGGCTGGGGCAGGGAGTGGGCTGTGTGCGCATATCCTGTTGGAGTTCACTCAGCCCTACGGAGACCCGTGAGATAAAACTGCAGAAAAGCAGACTGGGAAGGTGGCTCAGTGGTAGAGCGCTTGCCTTGCATGCCTGAGGCCCTGGGTTCGATTCCTCAGCACCACATAAGCAAAAAGAAAAAAGCCTGAAGTGGCGCTGTGGCTCAAGTGGTAGAGTGCTAGCCTTGAGCTGAAGAGCTGAGGGACAGCGCCCAGGCCCAGAGTTCAGACCCCACGACCGGACCCAAAAAAAAAAAACTGCAGAAAAGCAAGCCCTCACTCAGACTTTTTGTCTTTCACTTGGCTCTTCATTCAGAATTGTTTGGTTTATGATGCACTGAAGTATATATTTTACTGCTAAAATAAATATTCATTCAAAGCCAACCTGGGCAGGAAAGCACATGAGACTCTTCATTTCCAAATACCTACCAAGAAGACAGAAGTGGAGCTGTGGCTCAGGTGGTAGAGCAGTTAGCCTTGAGTGAAAAAGCTAAGAGACAGTCCAGGCCCTGAGTTCATGTCCAGAGCTGGGGGGTGGGGGTGGAGGGACACAATTGTACTCCTAATAGAGAAAAGTGGAAATGACCCAAACACCTATCAACAGGTAAATGCAGAAATTCACCATGGTGTTTCCATAATAATACTTGGCAGCAACAGGAGTGATACATAGCCGAAGCTCGCTCACACTGGAGTGGATGAGCTTTCATTCTGCGAATATTAGCCTTGGAGTACAGGGCACTGACAAGGAACAGACTGCTCCCATGGATTAATTTATCAAAACTAGACTTGAGCTTGGTGCTTGTGGCTTACTTCTATAATCCTCACTGCTCAGGAGGCTAAAATCAGAGGATCATACTTCAAAGCCAGCCCAGGAAAAAAAAAGTTCACAAAACTGCATCTCCAGCAAAAAAGCTGGACTGGAGGTGTGGCTCCAGCCAAGCAAGCGCAGAGTTTAGAATTCAACCCCCAGAAATGCCAGAACTGGGACTATCTATGGGTTTTGCTGTCTGTAAAGCCACAGAGGTCACCCGGCCCCTCTCTCCCCTTCCTTCTCGCTTAGCTTCAAACATTGTGAACCTGGGCACGTCTCTTTGTGACTGAGTCCTGGCCGCCTCAGGAGTCAACTGGGATAGCAGGAACTGCACTGGGAGTAATAGTCACATTACAAAACAGTAATAGATAGTAATGACCACTAGGAAGCCTGAAGTGAGGCCGAGGAGTGTGCTCAGAGCTTGCCCCTGTGCAATGTAGTAAGAACTGGCGGTGGCACTTTTTACTATGCTGTCCCTCAGCTCTTCTGCTCAAGGCTAGCACTCTACTACTTGAGCCACAGCGCCACTGCCACTTCCAGTTTTCTAGTGGTTTGTTGGAGATAAGAATTTCACGGACTTTGCTGCCCAGACTGGCTTTAAACCGAGCAATCCTCAGATCTCAGCCTCCTGAGTAGATGAGATGACAGGCGTGAGCCACCAGCACCCAGCTCCGAATGGTAGAGCCCTAGCCTTGAGCAGAGAAGCTCAGGGACAGCTCCCAGACCCTGAGTTTAAACCCCAGAACTGGCACACAAAGCAAAAAGGAAGACTTTCTGAGACTGTGTTTTCTTAATTCTACCAGTAAGTATGGCTTCCCTCACCACAAATCCAAAATTTATTGGCAACAGCTGCACAGGGGATGAAGGTGATGCTTGACCCCCACCAAGCTCTTTATCCCCTGCTGGGGCCCAGGGCGCTGTGTTGGCAGCATTGTGACTACTTTTCTCAAAACCTCGCTGCTGGGGCTGGGGATATGGCTTGGTGGTAGAGTGCTTGCCTAGCAATGCATGAAGCCCTGGGTTCAATCCTCAGTACCACAGAAAAAGCTGGAAGTGGTGCTATGGCTCAAGTGGTAGAGCACTAGCCTTGAGCAAAAAAGCAGCTCAGAGTTGGGCACCAGTGGCTCATGCCTATAATCCTAGATCCTCAAGAGGCTGAGATCTGAGGATCATGGTTCAAAGCCAGCTGGGGCAAGAAAATACGTGAGACTCTTATCTCCAGTGAACGACCAGAAAACCAGAAGTGGCAAGTGTTGCTGTGGCTCAAGTGGTAGAGTGCTTGCCTGGAGAGCATAGGCACAGCGCCCAGGCACAGCGTTCAAGCCCGATAGCCGACCGAAAAAAACGGGTGGCAGTGGCTCACGCCTGTAATCCTAGCTACTCAAGAGGCTGAGATCTGAGGATTGAAGTTCAAAGCCAGCCCATGCAGAAAAGTCCGTGAAACTCTTATCTCCAATAAACCACTAGAAAACTGGAAGTGGCGCTGTGGCTCAAGTGGTAGAGTGCTCGCCTTGAGCTGATGAGTGCAGGGACAGCTCCAAGGCCCAGAGTTCAAGTCCCATGACTGACAAAAAAAAAAAAAAACAACCTAGCTGCTGGATGGCACCTGACACCAAGCCAAGTTTCCACACCAGCTACGGAAGGACTCAGTAGATCAGGTGACACATGCCAGAGTTCAATTGCAAGTGTAGCCTCCTCTCTCCTCTGAAATATAAAAGGAAGTCATAAACTAAAGGAAAAATTAGTCATGCCACAAAACTAATTACAATGTATGTTTTGCCTCTGACTCTACAGGAGCCATCAAATTGATCAGCTTGGCATGTGGAAACCAGCACATCTGGGGGTGTGATTCCAGGGGTGGAGTTTACTTCCGTGTGGGAACCCAGCCTCTGAATCCCAGCCTGATGCTTCCAGCCTGGATCATGATTGAGCCACCTGTCCAGGTAAGCCAAGGTAGCTAGTAGAATCTTGCTTTTTAGCAATACAAGCTGTTAGGACACTGTAGCTGGCCTGTTGGGCCCTCTGGTGCCTGAACCCAGAATCAATGTTCTGACTCTCCTTCACTGGCGTCCGATATTTGGAATTTGATAGGAAGTTTAGAGCTGTGAACACATATAAGGATAACTTGAGCCAACACCTGAGTTATTCCCTCTAAAAACAGAAATATTTCTGACATTTTATAAATGGAACGTTAAAAAAAATCAAGGCTGGGAATGTGGCTTAGTGGTAGAGTGCTTACCTAGCATGAATGAAGACCTGGGTTCCATTCCTCAGTACTACAGACACCAAAAAAGCTGGAAGAGGTAGCGTGCAAGCCTTGAGCAAAAGAGACTCAGAGATGATGCCCAGGACCTGAATTCAAACCCCACGACCGACCAAAAAAAACATTTGAGATCAGTCTACAGGAGACTTTGATTGAGTCTGAGGAGTGATAGGGCCTGATAGAGCAGGCTGTCTAATGATCTTGAGAGTCACGTAGCTTCTTCCTAGAAGCACTTCATTAACAAACCCCGTGTTACCCTCCCTTGGTACTCCCCCATCCAGTGGGAGCTGTGATTATCTTTTTCAGTAAGTCTTTGCTATTTTACTTATAAAAACAAAGAAATTGAAGCTGGGCACCAGTGGCTCACACTTGTAACCTTAGCTACTCAGGAGGCTAAAATCTGATGATCACAGTTTGAAGCCAGAAAGTCCAGGAGACTCATATCTCCAATTAACCACTGAAACAGCTGGAAATGGAGCTGTGTCTCAAGTGGTAGAGTGCTAGCCTTGAACAAAAAAACTCAGAGAGGGCTGGGAAGGTGGCTCAGTGGTAGAGCGCTTGCCTTGCATGCCTGAGGCCCTGGGTTCGATTCCTCAGCACCACATAAGCAGAAAGAAAAAAGCCGGAAGTGGAGCTGTGGCTCAAGTGGTAGAGCGCTAGCCTTGAGCTGAAGAGCTGAGGGACAGCGCCCAGGCCCAGAGTTCAGGCCCCACGACCGGACCCAAAAAACAAAACAAACAAAAAAACTCAGGGAGAGTGCCTAGGCTCTGAGTTCAAGTCCTAGGACCTACACACGCATGCATGCGTGCATGTATGCACACACAGAATTTGAGGTAGCTACATTGCAAGTTCCAAGTCAGAGACAAGGTGGAAGGTCAGGAGGGGCCTGCATACAGCTCAGTCGTAGAGCACTGTTTAGCAAAACAAGGTCTGTGGACCGAGCTAGCAATTTCCATTTCTAGTCTTCCTGTCCCTATTTCTGCCAAATTTTAGTTTACATTGTTATTTGACATGAGGTTTTATGTTTTTATTTTTTGGCTATTATAGCACTTGAATTACAAGCACAGAGCTGGGCACTGGTGGCTCATGCCTGTAATTCTGACTACCAGGAGGCTGAGATTTAAGGATTGCAGTTTGAAACAAACTCAGGCAGAAAAGTCCATGACATTCATATCTCAAATTCAACACCAAAAATGCTAGCTGCAAGTGGAGCTGTGGCTTAAGTAGTAGAGTACTAGCCTTGAACAAAAAAGCACAGCAACAGTCCCTAGGCCCTGAGTTCAAGCCCCAGAGCTGGCACAAAAATAAAAAATTACAATTACGAGTAGAAGTCTTATTTGAATAGCGTGGGTCTTTTTTTTTTTTTTTTTTTGTCAGTCGTGGGGCTTGAACTCAAGGCGAGCGCTCTACCACTTGAGCTACAGCGCCACTTCCGGTTTTCTGGCGGTTTATTGGAGATAGGAGTCTCACGGTGTCTCCTGCCAGGCTGGCTTTGAACCGCGATCCTCAGATCTCAGCCTCCTGAGTAGCTAGGATTACAGGCGTGAGCCACCAGCACCCGGCTAGAAGTCTTATTTGAGTATGCTAATAGCCCTACTAATTCCTGTAGGACATATAGACTTACTTCCTGTGCAACACAGTTTCTATTAAAGTTTATCATTAGAGGCAATGACTTAATGAGCTTTTCGCTCAAATTTCTGCTAATCTTGGTTTTGTTGGAAAATGCTTGAAGTTGCCATATGCAGAGACCTCAGGGGAAGCCAAGAGTTTGGGTAAATTCCTGGGGGCCACTATGTATTTTGGGTGTCCTTTCCCTCAGGATGAGGTGACTAATGGCGTGTGCTGGGATACTAGCCAGGAGTCTGGCCCAGAGTTCTGTGGAGGCCATTTTTAGCCCTCAGCAATGGGCCTTCCTCTTCACAGCTGGGGAGAGCATTGTTAGTTACACGGCACAGTGCAGACATGTAGCTGTATGCGATGAGCTGAGACACATGCTCCATTTTTTTCTCTGCACTTGGTGAGGACTAACAGCAGACTGGAAGCGTCCACAGCAAAGAGGAATACTCTATCACCAACTGTGTAGCACCATTCTGTATAGTGATAATGAAAAGCAGGCCAGTTTGCAGTTCTTTTGTCTTCTTGTTGCATGTATGTACCTAAGTGGATTCCTTTGGTCCATTACTGTCAATACATTCTTATTTTTTTTCCTAATGGTTTTATATAAAAATCATAATTCGCAGCCAACCACTGATGAATTGCACCTGTATTTGTAGCAACTCAGGAGGCTGAGATCTGGAGGATCCCTATTCAAGATTATCCTGGCGGAAAATTTTGCTGAACACTTATCTCCAAAATAACTGGCAAAAAGCAGGGCTGGAGGTGTGACTCAGATGATAAAACACCAGCATAGCAAGCCCAAGGCCCTGTGTTCAACCTAAGTACTGAAAAATATATATAAAAATTTATAATTAAATATAAAACAAATCCTTTTATAGAATAGTCACTACTGTCCAATTCAAGACCATTTCCATCACCCCAAAAGAAACTACCAGTTAGCACTTACTCCCTTTTCTTCCAGAAACCCCAACTCCCTCAGCCCGTCAAAACCACTAACCTGTACCTGATTCCATGGATTTCTTCTCCTTCTATAAATTCCCTATAAATAGAATCATACAATATGTGGCCTTTTTGTCTGACCTCATTCATGTAGTATCTTGTTTCCATAGTTCATACTTAATATAGCATCTACCAGTTTCCATTCCTTTTTATGATGGAACATCATTCTGTTGAGTGGCTGTACATTGTTTTATTCATTCATTGGTTGGTAGACTTAAGTTGCTTCTCCTTGGTGGTGACTCTGTGAATGAATCTTTTTGGGGGGGCAGTGTCCCTGAACTGCTTTTGCTCAAGACTAGCACTCTACCACTTGAGCCATAATGCCACTTCTAGCTTTTTTTGCTTATGTGGAATGGAACCCAAGGCTTCATGCATGCTAGGCAAGCTCTCTACCCCTGAGCCACCTTCCCAGCCCTGTATATGAATCTTTGGGAAGATGTTTTCCATCCTGTTGGGCATCTGCCCATCAGAATTGCAAGTCATCTGGCATTAGGGAGTATTTAACTTCTAAGGAACTGCAGCATGTTTTCTTTTTCTTTCTTTTTTTTTTTTTTTTTGTCAGTTGTGGGGCTTGAACTATGGGCCTGGGCGCTGTTCCCTCAGCTCTTCAGCTCAAGGTTAGTGCTCTACCGCTTGAGTCGCAGCGCCACTTCCAGTTTTCTGGGTAGTTAATTGGAGGTAAGAGTCTCACAGACTTTCCTGCGTGGGCTGGCTTTGAACCATGATCCTCAGATCTCAGCCTCCTGAGTAGCTAGGATTACAGGCGTGACCACCGGTGCCCAGCCTACAGCATGTTTTCTGCAGTGACAGCCCATTTACATGTGGTCGCTCCCAGTTTTTCTGAATTCTCAAACTCTAAAGTTCTTTTTCTGATTTTTTTTTTTTTTTTTTGCATTCTGTCATTTCAGTGTGGAGTGGGGCAGCCTTGTGGTTTTCATTGCATTTGCTTCAGGACTTGTGATCCTGAGCATCTTTTCACGTGATTTTTTTTCTTTTTTAAATTGTACTGGGGTTTTACACTCAGAACCTTTTCCTTGTGAAAGCTGCTTCGCTGCTTGAACCGTGATCCCAGCCCTTTTTGCTTTAGCTATTTTTCAGGTAGGGTCTTGCGTTTTTTTCTGGGGCCAGACTTAGACCACCATCCACCTCTGCCGCCTGGCAGCTGAGATGATAGGTGTAAGCACTGTGCCCAGCCTGTAAAGCGTCTTTTAACAACTGTATCTAAAACACTTTTTAATTGGATTATTTCATAATTTTTGAGTTATGGGAGTTGTTTATGTATTACGGATACTAGGCCATTATCAGATATATGGTTTGTAAATATTTTCTCCTACTTTTTTATGTCCTTTGATGCAGAGAAGGCTTTAATTTTTATGCAGTACAAATTATTTTATTACTTATTTTCTTGTGCTTTTGATATCATATTTAACTGGTGCCCAAGATGGGCACCGGTGACTCACTCCTGTCATCCTAGTTACTTCAGGAGTTCAACGCCAGCCTGGGCAGAAAAGTCATCAACACTCCATCTCTAGTTAGCCCGGAGGGCTGGGGTGGGAGGAAGGTCTGTCAGCCTAATACAGTGGGGCTGGGCTGCTCTGGCCTGTGCTTGGGGTAGGACATGGGACACCTGGCAGCAGAGCCTCCATGCTAGCCATGTGCTAAGCCACATGCTTCTGGGTGCCTGCCCCCATCAAGACTCTAGAATGACCTGCCAGAAGCAAAACTAAAGAGGGAGAAAGCTGGGGCTGGGAGGGTGGCTTAGTGGTAGAGTGCTTGCCTTGCACATATGAGGCCCTGGGTTCGATTCCTCAGCACCACATAAGTAGAAAAGACCGGAATTGCACTGTGGCTCAAGTGGTAGAGTCCTAGCCTTGAGCTGAAGAGCTGAGGGACAGCGCCCAGGCCCAGAGTTGAAGTCCCACGACCAACCAAAAAAAAAAAAAAAAAAGAGGAAGAAAGCTTTAATTGACGGTAATGAACAACAGCTTTTCCCAGGAAATTGGCCCAAACAGAACAAGGGCCTTGAAGCTGTGCTCTGAATTCAGTAGTGATTGCTAAGTGGGC